AGTACAATACTTTCGCGTTTCGTCTGGTGAGTGAGGTGGCCGGAACCCGATTTTCAAAAGAAAGATAGAAAGAAAATACATTTATTTACCAAAAAAAAAAGGTTGTCAATGCATATGAAACTCTCGGGTAGAGCAGATGTCTATGCGCGGCGGTATTCACTTAACATCAGGTGAACCGTCTGCTCGCTTGGCAACTTTTCTCATAAAAAAAACCCACGAAATGACAAAAGCAATTGACTTTAATCAAAGAAATGAAAATCGATATCGATCAAAACTTAACTATTACTAATTCGCAAAAACTGGTAATGAAACCTATGATAGCTCGTATAAGGCCCACAGTTGAAGGCCTCTCTGTGTAGAGGGTACAACATCTGAGTGTGTTCTCTACTCTATTGCTAATTAAAAGTCTTTGCGTACAATTAAGTTGTCCTCAAAAAGTCTTAATTGAACTTAAACCATGAAAATTTTAAATGAAAAAACTTTTGAAATTCTCGACGTTTCGAAACCTTTCACAGTGTTTATGGCCACGGGACAGACTGGACAGTCTCAAACAGAATAAAAACGATAAAATCCGAAAAAATACGATAAAATCCGTAAATTAGTAACATTTAATATGTATAGTATTCGAGTAAAATCAAGAAGCCAATACATGAAAATTTTATTAAAATGAAACTTTTATTTGGATTTAAGATCTTCAAATGAATTTATGTACTTTTCGGATAGCTTCTTTGCCTATAAAATAGTAAATTTAACCATAATACATATAATTGAAATGTTAAGTATATAAAAGAAAAGAAAAAATTCTTTTTTATGACAATCCGAGTCAAAGGAATTTTAAGAAAGTTGATGACCGATAAAACACAAAAATCCGTCGTCGACAGGATACAGAGCCCTTTGAGGATAATCCTCTGATCGCCTCTTCGCGAGATAACGGAAACGTAAGGAGAATATCTCGCTTGAAATATTTTTAATGATATTGAACAGAACACGTGCTTCCTTATGAGTATAGACAGCACATAAATTTTGTCGGAAAAACCTTAGAGATTGTACAATAATTATTATGGTAATAAAATAACGAAATAAAAGGGAACCTGACCATTGTATGTTCAATATTTACCCACCTAAATAGCTAAAAGTAACGTTTATGAACTTAAACTACAAATGAACTTTTTAACGTGTTTTGACTTTCTGTTATGTTATTTATTTCTAGGATCAAGTAATTTGACTTGAATCGCTATTGCTTTGACTGATTGTATAAAACAACAATAGATTTCAATTCATACAAGTCAATTCAATCAAAAATAAATGCAAAGTACCGATCTTGGGATTTCCCTTTATTGATTTTCACACAAATCGCTTCAGAGGAACTCTCCCAAACTTTACACAAAAGGAAAAAAGTGCTTTTAAATTTGAACTGCTCGGGGCCATTCATCCGAAATAGGTCACCGACAGCTGATAAATATCGAAAGGGACAAACTTTAAACAAAAAAAAGCTCACCCAAAAGCGAAGTTTACGACAAATATGATTACAAGATGTAAGCCGGCCCACCCCCTGTCCCCTCTAAATTTCTAAGTCTTCGCTGAAAGTTGTAAGTCCCTTCACAATATACTTTTCTGCTTGGCAAGGCGGAAAATCTAATTCGCGCCATGCATGAGTTCAAAGGAGCTTACGTGTGTTAATATGATTTTCTTTTTTCGGTACATATTTCACATTCATATGGAGGTCACCTATGTCTGTATGTGTAATTTGTGACATATAGCATTAGCCTATACATGTACCACTGCTGGGCAAAAGTCTCCTCTGTATAGAGGGTATCAGGGCATAGTCCACCACGCTTCTTCACTGCGGATTTGGTGGACTTCACATATCTTCGAAATATTTTTTTCGTTATCATTTCTAAAATATGCAGGTTTCCTCACGACCTTCCTTTACCCGTGAGCATGTAATAAGTCAGCAATTATAATTAACAAATTCATTGGTGCTGGCACCAGGGATCGAACTCGGGTTGCTCCACTCCTCGCACTGTCAATGGTGCCCATGGGTCACGGTAGCAACTGACCGCAACGTGAACTGCTTAGTAGTTTTCCAATTTCTACAAAACGTAACCGAATTTTCTGTTGTGTCTATTATTGGATAAGCAACAGCTTCTGCTGTTGCACAAAGTACCAGGGCCTCACAGAAGACTGCCATGAAGTGGAACTGGTCAGGTGTTGCAGTGTCCATGGGGGTGGAAATCGGTTAAAATCAGATGGAACGCCTGCTCGATTGTCACATTTTCACATAGACAAAATACTGTTTTTATGAAGCCCTCACCAACACAAGCAAATTGAAAGGGCCAGTAAGACAAATCGAGGTTGAAAGGTGCTAAGGTCTGCGAGAGCTCACGTCCGATGTGATATCAATAAAATTTATCGCCGCCATTTCGGACGAAATAGAGGGCCATTCCGGGACTGCAGCGTGAAAAACCTCGATAAACGAACGATTCACGAAAAATACTCACTATATTCCAAGATACGAATGGGTGCAATTTTTATTACATTTCTCATATTTCGACCGATTGATTTTGCATGAGCGTTTAAGGTGTATTCTAAATTAAAAAATACGCTTTTTTCAATTTAGAGTACACCTTAAAAAAATGCTTGCCTTCTAAATTTAAAAAATGCTTTTTTAAATTTAGAATACACCTTAAATATAAATAACGTACATTTATACCTTAATATAGCGTACATTTGCACTGCCCTTAACTTCTAATTTATACCTAAACACGGACACGAAGCTTTACCGCTTCTGAACATAGGCCACCCCGAAGGGCTGCCACGATGCTGCCTGCATCCATCGACTTCCCGCACATTCACATGGTGATAACGTGGAATAATATCGGCGATTCTCCAACTTCCGTATCAAAATTCCCACGGCAACACTGCAAAAGCAAAGCTAAAGGGCGGGAGTAAACAAAACCGCGAGCGGCGGACACTCGAAAATGCAACGACGCCAGAACACGCCGCGAATCGCGAGCCACGTGAACGATTTAACTCCGCAACAGGTCCTGCGTTGATGTCGAAAAAATAGACTGGAGCGGGCACCGAGAGGGGACCGCGTTGAGAAAACACGTATACCTCCACACCATATAAAGGATGGCAGAACGAACTGCCCCGTCGGCTGTTTGCACGAATAAATAAACATTCGGCGAAAATTAAAGAGGGCGCCGGAATAGGGTTGACGCGTCCTCTACGGAGTCTCCCCCCACCCCCACCCCTTAAACATGTAGTTAATGGCGCACTCGTCCTTTAGATTTATTGCGCTGATGTGGTGACGGTGAATTTTTTCAAACCTCATTATTAAGTTCCGGTTCAATTCATAGCGTGAGTCGATCATATGGTTGAATTTATTTAGGGCCCTCATCAGGATCAAATTTACCAACAACATCTCCAATGTACTCTACAGCGCTTTTTTGAACAACTCACAACATTTGTAAGGTTTATAAATAGTGAAATGAATGCTATGAAATGATAACTGTGATGGATACGGTGTCAATCGGTCTCTCGGTCATTTTTGTTTCATAATCATAAGCCCTAATTAGAAGGAAGTAACCGTGTCGTTTCAAACCATTGAATAACTCGATAAAAATCTCATTGTAACTGCAGTGTCGGTACAGTATTTATATCAGATTTATGAATTATTCTCTACAATCCGTAAAACATCGATCAGATAAGACACATCATGCAATATAAACCAAATACAATAATGCAAGAAAGATAATGTCGGCACTCTGTTACACACATATCATCACGAAAACACCGCGCTCGTTTTCCATGCACGTTCGTCTATTCTACGTATACCAAAGCTTCAGCGCTGTAGTCCACGGCTCACAGAATAGGACTAAGGTATCTCTTGCCTGTCGTAAAAGGCAACTAAAAGGGGACACGGATTGGCAGCAGCTCGAAGTGGCCTCGAGCTGCTGGAAGATGGCGAGGGAATCGGGGAAGATTCACCCTTCTTCGAGGCGTGCTCACGCCCAGTACCGACTCCAAACGTACAAAACGTACAAAAGGTGGCCACCTCATCTTTCGAAGATTTCCCCCCCCCCCCCCCCCCCCGATACAAAAAAAAAAAAAAGGTGTCTAAGCTTAGATTAAAACTAGCAACTAGAAGTTGGATGGCAAGCAATTCTTAAGTTAAGATATACACAACAGTGACTAGTTCACTTCCGTAAGCTTTGGGGCTTGCTGTACTTTGTACCAGTCACATGTGTACTTGTCAATAGAAGTATAACTCCTAGAGAACAGATTTGGAAGTACTCGTGCAATAAATTGTGAGAATTTCGTGAAGGAGTCGGAATTTAAAACCCGCATAAGATAGAGCACGAAGAATAATTGTCAGTAATTTGGATGCACACTGTAACTTGGTTGTATAGAACACATTTTTTTTTTCATATGAGAAGATGGTAAACGTGCTGGCGGTTCACCTAATGTTAAGGTTCGATGACTCCGTGGTGCAGTCGTCAAGGTATTGGCTTCGGCGTCGGGGGTCGTGGGTTCGATTACCACACGGGACAACCATTTGTGTGACTCACAGACAATTGTGTCGGCTCTGTTGTTCTTCCCAAGAAGGGTTGACCAATGCCATTAATAATGGTCAGAGGTAATCATTTAATATCAGGTAAAAAACTGGGTGTTTGTCCACGTGAAATTTATGTATGTAAAACGTCCTTGCAACACAGGATAATGTCCTAAAGTGGGATCGCAAATGCGTTACCACCTTCATAAAGGGGGGCACCGATGACCTAACTCGGAAGACACACTTCCACTTCACGCCGGTGTTCTGTGAGGTCATAGTGCTTCCCCGGGCGGACCTGGCCATCGGTGCGACAACAAAGACTTGCGCGGCGCTATATACCGACGCGACAACCATCATTCCGTGCATACTGTTCAGCTGCAATTTTGGCAGTTGACTATCCTTGATTCGGGCCAACCCAAGCGGACTTAGTGGAGGGACTTACTAGGGTCTTTGATGGCGGTCACGATGAGCTTGAAACCGTTGGCGTCGGTGCCCCAGTTGTCGGTGACGTACTTGAGGGTCACGAAGTTGCTGCGCGTGAACATCGCCCCCACCTGCTGCTTGGTGTTGCGGCACGAGAAGTCCGCCTGTGAAGGAATTAGTCATCTATAGTCGTGTAAACTAAAGTGTGACTAAATTAAAAGACTTTATCAATAAATCGCCTAACGTATGCGACATTGGGTGATTTTTTGAATATTTTCATATGAATATCCGAATGCCATAGTGGGTAGTGTACCTGCCTCCTGCGCCAGAGGGTGTGGGTTCGATCCCCACTACTGGAAAAATATTGTGTGATAAACATTGTGTTTTTCTAATGTCTCGGTGTTTATTTATGTTTAATATATATTTATTTACAAAAGAAAAGTATTAAGTATGTTTATCTGTTATCTAGTACCCATAGTACAAGCGTTGCTTAGTTTGGGACTAGAGGATGTTGTGTAAAAATGTATCCGAAAATATTTCTTTCTTTATTTATTTAAAAAACAATCACCAAGGAGCAAAGATAGCATAGCATAAATTCTAAACATTTTCTAAACCCAAGATGTCGTGAAACAATGTTAAAAGCAAAACTTATTATTTCGCATGTGCCAGAATTCAGATTAAGATCGTTAATTTAAAAATCATTCATTTTTAGAGAATTAGTAATGTTTCATCGGAATATATCACTTATTTTATAACTTATGGTAAACGTTATAAAATAACGCTCACTTAAATAAGAAAAAAATCTCATATGTATTTTGTAACATCACCCTACGAGTATATAAACATCATTACTGATAAAGGCGATGACATATGATAACATGTTGTTTAACAAAAGATTCGTTTTGATAGGAGCGACTATCTATCTATAAGAGCAATTTCTTCAAAATTCTACTTTCGAAGTCCAAACGTCATCGCAGACGGAACTGAGCTATAATCCTAGCAAGACTTCAGCGATGGGGCGTCAACAGCTGAATCCACTTACATACGTCTTATTTGGCACTTAATTGATGTTTACCGAGCTTCATTTACACATCTCTGCTGTTGGAGGGAGGCGTGAGAAGCAACAGAAGGCGGGTGCTCCATTAATTAGACGGCTACTTGCCGCTCCAACATTGCCAACGGCGTTTAGCCACTGCGAAAGTCCTTCTCCATGTTTTCTCGACTTACTAATGAAGTAGCTATGCTCCAATTGTGATAAAGTCGGGCCTAAGACGCACTCGCAGCCGTCGGCACTCAGCCCGCACGTCGCACGTCGCACTTCCCCGCGTTTCTTAATTAACAGATGAATTCGTACGCCCCAGCGAGCGTTGAGACGCGTCCCTCTCTGATGCCGTTTCTCCTACGTCATTATTTCAACCGAGCAAATTGTTCCCAAGGTTTTAGAACAATTGCCATTGAAAAAGATTTACGTATGTTACTATTTTAGTTTATTAGTACCGATACCTTACAATTGTTACAGGACAATTTCGACCTACATCATCCGGTAAGTTAAATGAGATGTAAGTAAAATTTATTTTTATTTAATTGAAAGGATTGAATTGGAGGAAGGAAGGAAAGGACCACTGTCAGCATAAAACGTGCAAAAAACGTATCAAATACCACAACATAATCCAAATACGGTTCCTCACAACGCCATTAGGGCTGCCGCGAGACAAAATGAAGCATCGCATAGCGGAAGCACTTCATATACGTCGAACAGCGGCGTCTTAAAAGAGCTTCCACAATAAAACCTACAGAGACGGGACGTCCATAACGGCCTGATGGGGGGCGCGGGGGTCGATCGCTAAGCGCTCAGGCGCCGGCAATATTTCGCCCATCGAACGGGGCTTACTGAGAGATGGCCGCGTCGCCGTCATTTCTCAGAGGCCACGTGCCAGCTTCGGCCCCCGACCCCGCCCGGAGCGCGGCGGACCTTCGCAGCTCTATTCCACTCCTTTATGTAAAGTTTAATAAAGGAGCGGGCGTTGATATTAAAATTCCTCTCTATGAAATTTTTCAGATTACAGACGGCGGCGTCGGAATTCCTAGCGAGCGCTTCGCCGCGTGCCGCCTTCGAATGCGAATCTCATTTGTTCGGAATGGATATGACGATCGGTTGGCTGGTTCGTAGATAAATTAATGTGTAATTAAAGCGCCGCCTCTTTTAATCCATGCACACGGATATAGGAATACTTTAATTCTTAAAAAGTAATCGTTTTCAATAAGAACCCAGCACGCAATCTTCTTCTCAATTCTTTTCGTGGTTGCTGACTTTTTATGCCAATTGAAATTTTGTATTATTTCCTTAATTGCCATTATACTACTTGTCGCCACAAGAAGTATAATGGAAAAAAATATGAGAATGACATATTAAACCCGACACCCAAAAAGCGACATGATGATTTTAGTTGGTTTTTCCCCTTCACAAACAACTTCACGGTATTAGTATAGCAACCTATAACAACTTTTTACTTACAATTCCAAGTTATCAATTGCATTTAACATTGTTTCACAAACAGAGTACCTACTGACACAGGGGAAAAGTTATTTAGTTACTTTATATTTTTAGTTACTTTTCTTTTGTTACACTAATGTTTCCCGTATTCAGTTTATTGTTAAGATTGTACTGTTTGCTGATCTGTGTACCAAATAAAATTAAATTAAGAAGTATAACTTCTTACGTGCGTACGTAATCAATTGTGTATTCGTAAAGCGTTCATATAGTTTTTCATTCATCTCAAGCGATCGTAATCTTGATCTTAAGAAGAGAGTATGTAACATACTCTATTCTTTAAATTATTTCACGTACTTCATTATTATTCGGTCATCCTCTCCGTCTATCAACAATCTTTAACCGACTTCAAAAGGAGAAGGTTCTCAATTAGACTGTATTTTTTTTTATGTTTGTTACCGGTTTGGTACTGGTGCTTCCCATGTGGTCCCATATTAATTTCTTGGTATTGGATCTTGGGCTCCGGAGATATTTAGGGAACTCCTGAAAATCAATTATAAAATGAATACAGAGCGACATATTTGAAGACAGCTTTGTTTTTCGTTAGTAGAAAATTGATTACAATCGTAATATACATGGTCAAAGCGCGCTGTGCATTCGTCTTGTTGATATCTTTTTAAGTCCGCAGTGCTCTTCAAACTTTCCGTCGCACTCCGGGATCATAGACGAAGCTCGCTGGGTGATTAGCATTCCGCAAACCGCCAAAGTTCCCGGCGGCGGCGTTAAGTGAGTGGATCGCTCGAACTATCCCCGAAGCCCTAAACTTGGAGCCGCGGCGCCCGGGGCATCTGCTTAAAATTCAGTGCGCGTCGGCTGCACCGCCCTGATACCGGGATCACGAGAGCCCGCGTAGCACTTCTGGTCACGCTCCGCACTAGTCCCGGACAATGAACCCGCTAACAAGGGGGAAGCCGAACTGGACGCGAGCGTGACGCAATGTGCGGTCTCTTCAACTAGCCAGTTCTATCGTACAGTGGACCACGTTTAGTTTATTACGACAAACTTTGATTATGAAAACATCACAAATTAGATTTTGTGCCTAGTTTGACGCAGGTGGTTCGTTGCGAAAAGAAATTGTAACGTTACACGGAACAAGAAATAATCATATGTGATATTCAAGCCGAAGCGGAAGATTTAGTCTACTTGTCAATTTAATACAATTTGTGGAATCACTCTTTTCCCAACTCGGTATGCTGCACTTCTTAATTTGTAATGCCTCGCCCAAATCATTGATCACGAATTCCTAAACCAACAGATTAGGAACTCAATCAATGATTCGTTTTCTAGAATTTATTCGCTCATGATTTTGTACTTGGATGCGTTTTGTGCCTATATAAAACCTAAAAATATTCGCTTATTGTTAATTAATAACATTAAGATGTTTGGTAGGCAACAACTAATCATAAGTATTTTGTTTCATATACTTTCGATGACTCGGTTTAGGTGAAAAAAGTTTATTAGATTGATTTTCTGTCTTACTCCTTATTCATAAGTAACTTTATCGTTTTCATACATAAGTACAAAGATAAAATCTTCCCAAGCTTAAGATGTATGTCACTTCAAGGTAATAGTGAATAAATGTTTATATATATAACACATATTCAGAGTAGAAACTAAAGAATACATGACTATTCGATCAGGTGGCACAGTCATTACTCGACCGTGGCAAAACATTTCAAGCTCAATGTAATGATGTTACCTACCACTGTTTCTAAGGTAACTAAACAGCAAAAGCGTGGGCAGCCCACATTGTTTCTACTTGAAGCCGTAGATTGTTGCAGATTCGCGCATACTTGACGGATAGTTACCGGCATCGCAGGTGGGGAAACTTTGCCCTTTGCCTCCATAATGAATTCCAAACATTGTTTCAGAGCTGCAACTTTACTCGGTGTTTTGAGAGGACCGCTCGCCGCGCTCTTGTCGATCGACGGGGAATCCCGTCGGACTCGCATCTAATTTAACTCGAACGGGGTACAGACGACGGGCAGTTAGTTTAGAACAAACGTGTCGTCGACAGCGATAGGCGGCTTAATTGAGTCTATAACGCCCTCGGAGCAGACGTCTCAATATTATGTGACAGTGTTAAGTGCTATGCCGTGTAATCCAGTTAAGACATTGGCGTTCACTTCGGCCGCAGAGCGGCAATCGGAATGAACATGCACTAGGCCAAGTATAAATTGAGTTACTGCTAATTGAGTGGGCGTTAGCCGATTTGTAGTTGTGATATCGTATGTTATAACTGCATTGGCTTTACATTTGCTTCCCATATACGGTTAAATGATATAAGGTTGGTTTAATTTTACTGGGAAAATTTCGTAATAAGTGTTAATACAGCATGCAGGATCCAAATTCTCTTATCGGTCGCTGCGAAAAGTAGCAAATGTAAAATGTAAAATATTAAGCATTACTGTACTAGGGTTAATACTAAAAACCTATCTGTGGTAGGGCCACGCAACAATCTTCACTGTTGCATGAACGGACAGTTCCGTCCGGGGAAGTACCACGGCCTCACAGAAGTCCAGCTGTGTGAAGTGTTACACTTCCTCTTCACGTGTGTTCAAAGGTGGCAACGCGTCTGCAACCCTCCGGGATTTTCCAATGTCCGTGGGCGGCGGTTATCACTTAACATGGGGTTAACCGCCATTTACTGGCTGTCTTTCTGGTATAGTAAGTAGCGCTAATCGCTAACTGAGATATTTATCGTGCCTGTAATGATTACCTTTACACTAGAAAAATATCTGCGACAGAAATCTGAAAGAGCGAAAACTCATTAGAGCCGTGTAGACTCCACTCTTTGCGTTATCAACAAGCCCAGTTAGTTCGATGTTTTATTAGATTAACGCACGATTGTTGCCAATACGTCTTGTCTATATAATGCTTCCAATATTTGAAATAGAATGAATTGAATTTTGCTTTAAAAGAATTCACTATGTCATCCTTGACTACAAAGTGACGCATTTGCCAAGCTATTTGCTTCGATTGAGTTGAATAACACGGATTATGTGTTTGAGTGACCCACGGAATTTTTTGTTGACATCAATCAGGCGGCCGGTGAAAAAAATCTAGCAAGTATTATTAACGACATGGCTCATTTGGCCAACCTCACCTAGGTTTGATAAGAGCAGGAGAAAAAAGAAGGGCCTTGTCAACAAAAAAAGTGTGTGCGTGTAAACTTTACGCGCGATTGAAGTAAAACTTCTTTGGCGTTGACGGCATATATCACTGAAATGATTCAATATTTAGTAACGTCATAAGTATATGTCATATTTTAAAAATATGACATATACTTATGACGTTACTTCCGTCAGAAAAAATCTGAGTTACTCCCTAGTCGCGCCTAAAGAAGTTTTACTTCAAAAAAGAAAATCTTTACTTAGATACAGAACCACCGTAGTGTGTAATATTAAAGTTAAGACTACCGAAAGTGAATGTACAAAATCCAATAAATTCTTAGCAGATGAATAATGAAAAAAATTCCCGTTACATTAGCGGGCAAAGCGGAGCCGTAAAGAGCAGCCTTAGTATACAAAACTTTACCATGTCCTCGACTGTATAACGCTATTATGTATTTGTGAAGGGCCATGAATATCTCTTACAATATAGCTTAAATGGGGCGTACAAATAGTTGTGCTCTGACGAGACAGCGGTCTCGTCGTAACCGGCGGGTTAGTATCCCGTTTCAATTTCAAACAGTACTTTCGGGTATCGAGCAGAGGTATGGTTTGATGTTAATTGATTACTACCACCTTACAAAAATCGTGTACAATATGTTGCCAACCAGCCGCCCCTGACTCAGCTAAAGAACACTAAAGTTACTAATTCTTTTACTATTTGCTACGTCTTCTGGGAGGACATCGTGCTTTCCATATAGACCGGTCGGTTCATGTAGAAGGAAATTGTATTTTATTTGGATTTGGCTAATTTTCCATCGATAGGAAAATCGTCACGGCTATTTAGCTGTCAGTTTAAGCTTACTTATTTCTCCGTTATAGAAAACTTTAAAAATATAAAATGTACCTTAATTTATTTTTTGACAGAAATCGAAAGTAAGTTGAGAGGTACTTTTTTATTCTTAAGCCAAAAAAATTGTTCTCTGTATAAAGATATAACTACAGCAAGGCTATGTGAAGCGACATAATTAATTACAAACAATTTCTTTTTTGGCTTCAGTTTTTTTATTATCTCTGGAAATGATTATATGAAAAAACTACATAATAATTAACTCACTACTAACTTGTATTTGCACCATTGTAGTAGGTACGTAATAAAATAAAATAAAAAACAATTAAAAAAATGTAAATCATTTATAAAACACAGATGAAAACACAGATGACAAATATGAAAATTATAAAAAATTTAAATGACATATGCACGTGTCACGCTCCGGTAGAATTTCGTCGCATCCCTCGGTATTTAATCAACGATGAGGCATTGAATCAATATTCACCGTTTAGCCGTTCATTAACATAATCATCGACAAATGGCGCATTATAAGCGAAATCATCGTCGGGCGAGCGGCTTCAAAGTGCTAGCATAACGCCCGCAATTATTGCGCTGATTGGGTATCGACCGGAATTTTCAATAGGGTTTAAAAGCGTATTTGCGTCCCATTGTCTATCCACGTGCGACGTGTGTGAGGTGATTTATTTGGGATGATAATTTGCGACGGTCGTATGTGTTTCCAGTTCCCGTTCGCTCGGTCTAATTTGGCTAAATTCGTCTTTTGTGCGTCCTGACAAAGTATTACCTACGGCACTAATTTAAACTTTATTTACGGATTTATTGCGTTTATTTTTAAATTTTATTTCCCGGCACCTGTCCGTTGACTATGAACGCTGAAACGCTGAAAATGCTTCGAAACGTCGGGAAATAAATGTAAAATAATCGCGATAAATCGCATAATTACGAGAAAATACATCGTGATGGACTAATAATGGTAACAAATTCCTACAAGACAAATAGGCCAGTTAAGTCAATTTGGACCACGCCCTCACAGAAGCTTTAGGTCTCGTCCGATGACTAAGTTAACTGCTCATACTCTCGGTGGTTGCCGATAGACCAGCATCTCTCTATTATACATATAAGAGTTCTAACGTTTTTACCTTGACCCTAATATTTTAACTATTACTGAACTTGAATATTAACAACTATTATAACGACAAGCGGCACTAGCGGTATATCACCGTCCGGGAACGCAATCGAAATCCAAGTGACCACTGCTCCATGCAACCATGTGACCCTTGGCTCGAGTAGACAACGTCATATCCGGTATACAGTATTGCCAGCGCCAACATACATAAGCAAAGGTCTTTACATCGGAGAGGTGCACCGCTTGGTAAAATACCAAAGTGAGATAATGTCTGGTGAGGTGGATAACTGGGGCCCATCTTTGTCAAAGGTTGTTCTTGTGCCGCCACCGAGATATCAACTCGCGCTAGTGTTCCCAATAAAAACTGGACTGTCTGATAACTGGTACTATATATATAAAAAAATCTATACTTAGAAAAAAGGATACAAAGTTTAGAAGGTAAGATAGCAAACACGTTAAAATCTGTACAAACATTGACAAAACAGTGGAGCACGAGATTTTAAACTAAGCCCAGCGGCAGGTGCGAAAGACAGCGTCTCGCGACGGAAGAGCCCCATTAACAATTAAAATACTTTAATTCGTCGGCTCGCGCTGCCAAGTTGTACTTGTCGGGACTTTAAAGCAAACGGTCCGCCACTTGGCCTGAGCCGCTTCGAATGGGAGTCGCGAATTGTCACTTTAAATTAAACGAAACTCCGTCCTTGACGACGTATCAGCGGTGTCGGAAAGATTTTCAGCTGCCAAACCGGTTACGCTAACGCGGGTGATGTATACTTCAATTCGTAACTTCCGATTTACTTACTATCCGCTCTTTGGTTATAACAAAAAGGGTTTTTGGATTTACATGAAACTAATTTTAATTGAAAATGTGTTCTTTTTAGGTTATGATTTATGAGTAACCTAATGACATTTTATTTATGCCTATTTAGATCAAACGCTTAGAGATTTTTGTCTGAGTATATTTTTATTCTTTACATTAAAATATCCTAAACGAGGGCGTGACGGAAGGCATTTCCAAGGGCGGTGGTAATCGTTTAACATCAAGTGAACCGTCACCTCAATTGACAATTTTCACATAAAAAAAAACAATGTTATCAGCAAAAATCGCTTATGGAATACATCCCATGTCGCTTGCTTAGTCACCACGACACAGTACGTTTCGATGCACGAGCTCTTTATCCGTAAAAGCATCGGAAATCCGCTTGTTTCCGTAAAAGGGGCCAGCGCCACAAACGGGTACGTGCGAGGCGTCCCGAAAAAAGACACTTAACGGGGCGCCCTCTCCAAATAGCCGCAAAACAGCAGCCGCTGGTACACGCAAATAGAGGAAAGCACGTAAAACGGAATGCGCTCCGCCGGCCAACGAAAGCTGTCAATTTTATTCGTTTTCAACCATGGAACACATTGTCTCCGGCCGAACTGGTACGAACTGGTTCCCCGGTGTGGGTGAAAATTGTGAATGTGACCTATGAAATAAAGCAATTGTTACAGTGAACACACTCGTGAGTTCCTTTCCTCCCAAGGGAAAAGATGATAACTTGATTTCTACGAAAATTTAATACAGTGAAAACACTCGTGTGTTCTTTTTCCTCCGAAAGGAAAAAGAACGCTTATGTATTCTTTTTCCTCCGAAAGGAAAAGATGATAACTTGATTTCTACGAAAATTTAACGAGCAGCTTGTTGAACGAAGGATGGTTTAAAACCAGCAAAGAAGGCGGTGCGCAGTATGCGTGGTAACTAGGTCGAATGGAAGCCTTTATTTCACTTCCAAGAAACTAGTTACCCGATAGGAGCGTAATATTGTTCCATATTTTACAGCTTATGATACATTTCCTCCAATTAATCAGATCGCTGTACTCGCTATGTTATATTTCGAAACGCCTTTGCTAATTATTAATTTACCAAGTATCTTCCAATTTAACTCGCCCTTAAAATACATGTTTCATGATAGAACATTTCAGAACATCGATAATTCAGACTTTAACATAGTGATCCTATGTACACACTCACATTTTATAATGGCGAAGGAAAAACGTTTAAGTCATAGACGTGGATATTGGTACTTCTTTAAGTACTAGTTAATATTATAAATTTTGCGTCGAGTAATTCTACCCATTAAAAATGTTATCACTTTTATGCAATTTAAATACCACTTAGTTGCTTTTCAATTAGTCGGTGTATAACTATCATGTATGAACTACACAGCAGTGTTTGAATTTCACAGCTGATTCGAAATTTCTTTCTTTAGTATGATATAATCCTCATTAACTTGAACAGTCTGTTTATATATTCAACAGGACATTAACATCAGAGCATAGAAAAGCTGGCCGTAAAGGTAATACGTTAAAATTACGACCAAGCAATCGGTTATAACAGTGGAATAACAAAGGCCCCTTTTAGGGAGGGCCCCTTCGCATAACAAGCGCCCGCGTACGTGCGCTGGGTCGGGGCGCATTCCGTTTGAGCACCGCCTAATTGTGTGTGTTTAGGATAAGGGAACGTAAACAAGCCGGCCCGCAAAAGAAAACTACGCGGGAGTCTCCAGCGGGCGGCCAAACTTCGTCGTGGTTCGAATGTAAAATGCGCGAAGTTGTCCCTCGCAGGTTGTTAATTATTTAGCGGAGCGGCGTCACCTGGCGCCCCGTCCGAGCCATCAACACTCCGCCGTTGAATAAAATATCGCCCAACATACGCCTTTTGTCTGCTTCGAAATTAATCTCATCTCTAACAGGTTCTGTTTATACGCTCCGTTTAAGTAAGTGTATTAAAGGTCTCTGTTTGTCGAGCGTTTAGATTAATAAATGAGTACACAGAACAGATTAATTGTATAGATGATAATTTCAACCAAGAAACAAATAAATGCTCGGCAAACCTCATTAGAAAATAGATATATAAATTTATAAGATCTCACTCAGAGACCGTGAGACGCGCGATTAGTAATAAAACGCCATATTTCTCATTTATTTTTGTACAAAAGAAAACTACGCGGGAGTCTCCAGCGGGCGGCCAAACTTCGTCGTGGTTCGAATGTAAAATGCGCGAAGTTGTCCCTCGCAGGTTGTTAAATGATAGATGGGATGCGGTCATTCTTTGCGTCCTACCCATGGGGGCAGATTTGCTTCTCGCCGGATGATCCAGACGTCGTTGCTGACTCAGTGACTGATGTGGTGCTTCAAGGTATGGAACTCTTTATTCCGTTCTCTGCAGTGCCCATTGGTGGCAAGTCGCAGCCTTGGTTTGGTCGCTCCTGTAAGTTGGCATTACGCCGAAAGCGGGAATGCTACCAGGCTTGGGCTGACGCTTCGTCGTCTAGTGATGTAAAAAACCAGCGCTTTAAAAAAGACGTATAACTCTGCCTCTAGGTCCTTCAAAAGTGTTATTGCTAAGGCGAAATCGGAACACATTGGCAGAATTGGCGAGAGATTGGCGCGTCTCCCAACGGGAACACGTGCGTTTTGGTCTCTCGCCAAAGCTGTCTTGGGAAATTTCTGTAAGCCTTCTTTTCCACCCCTGCACACGGAGGATGACTCGCTGGCCCATGCCGCGAAGGAGAAAGCCGATCTTCTGGGCTCTCTCTTCGCGTCCAACTCGACTTTGGATGACCGAGGAAAATTACCACCAACAATCCCGCGTTGCGATGCTACGATGCCGGAGGTTCAATTTCGGCAAAGTGCAGTTCGCACAGCACTCTTTTCCTTGGACATTCATAAGTCGAGTGGGCCCGATGGCATCCCTCCGATCGTGTTGAAGACATGTGCTCCAGAGTTGGCACCGGTTTTGACGCGTCTTTTCCGGCTCTCCTATACTCTAGGCGTATTCCCAAAAACCTGGAAGGCCGCTTTAGTGCACCCGATCCCTAAGAAAGGCAACAGCTCGGATCCGTCCAACTACAGGCCTATAGCCATCACCTCCTTGCTCTCCAAGATAATGGAGACCATCATTAACTGCCAGCTCCTGCGGTACCTAGAGGAGCACCAGCTGATTAGCGACCGCCAGTACGGCTTTCGTCGAGGTCGCTCAGCCGGTGATCTTCTGGTTTACCTGACACACAGATGGGCAGAAGCAGTTGAGAGCAAGGGGGAGGCGCTTGCAGCCAGTCTGGACGTAGCGAAAGCCTTTGATCGGGTGTGGCACAAAGCACTTCTTTCGAAGCTGCCTTCCTATGGGCTTCCCGGGAAGTTATGCAACTGGATCACTAGCTTTTTGGCAGATCGGAGCATCAAGGTCGTCGTCGACGGTGCATGCTCTGATCCTAAATTTGTCAATGCTGGTGTTCCACAAGGCTGCGTACTGTCCCCCACTTTGTTTCTTCTGCATATCAATGATATGTTGCAAATCAGCAGCGTTCATTGCTATGCGGATGATAGCACTGTGGATGTTTCGTACACAGGCCGTGCTAACATTTCTCGGGAAAACGTCTACGAGAGCCGGAACAAACTTGTGTCTGAAGTCGAGACTTTGTTAACAAAAGTCTCAGACTGGGGTCGACTAAATTTAGTCCAATTCAACCCCGATAAGACACAAGTTTGCGCGTTAACCGCTAAAAAGTCCCCATTTTTGTCGTGACTCCTCATTTTGAGAACACTCCCCTGTCTGTCACAGCTAGTATCGGAATACTTGGCGTCGAAATCTCGAGCAATGTCCAGTTCCGCGGTCAATTGGAAAGTAAGGCCAAATTGGCCTCTGAGAAGCTCGGTGTGCTCAGCAAGGCGAGACAGTACTTCACGTCGGCTCAACGCCTAAACCTTTATAAGGCGCAAATTCGGCCCCACATGGAGTACTGCTCTCACCTCTGGGCGGGAGCCCCCTGTTACCAGCTTCTTCCATTTGACCGCATCCAACGTAGGGCAGCTAGGGTTATCGACGATCAAGGTCTTTCCGATCAGCTTGATCCTTTGGCTATGCGTAGAGATGTTGGGTCACTCTGCATCTTCTACCGCATCTATCACGGGGAGTGTTCCGAGGAATTGTTTGGATTGATCCCAGCGGCTGAATTTCACCATCGGACATCGCGCCAAAACCAAAAATTTCATCCACACCACCTCGATGTCCAGCGTTCCACAACAGCGCGATTTTCAAGGCATTTCCTGCCTCGCACAACCACTCTGTGGAACCAGCTGCCGCCGGCGGTCTTTCCGAACCGTTACGACCTGGGAACCTTCAAGAAGAGAGCGTACTCATTCCTAAAAGGCCGGCAACGCATTTGTAAGCCCTCGGGTGTTGCAGATGTCCATGGGCGGCGGTGATCACTTACCATCAGGTGAGCCTCCTGCTCGTTTGCTGCTTTTTTCCCATAAAAAAAAAAAAAAAAAAAAAAAACAACATTACCTACCTCTTCAATAAACTTTTAACTACATCGTTATACAATAAAATTAGCACTAGTTATTTTCTCTGTCGGTCTTAATAGATTAATCATATTCACATATCCAAACCTACGTTTATATGATGCGTAAGCCTTTCATAGTCTTATAATATACCGACTTTAATAGGAGTCCTAATGGATTATATGCATTGTTATCCTAATGGATTATATGGCAAGCCATATCTTTTTGAACCCAGTATGCCTCGTTTTGATAGATTCCTCGTAACAAAGAACCTCCGGAGGTAGTGGAAACGGGCAATTAACGAAAAACATTAAGGTCCTTCGTACCTGGATCGCGGCGGTTGGTTGGAGCGAGCGTCGCGCCGAAAAGTCAATTGTGATGGAGACGGAGGGGATTCCAGCCAGATCTCGTTAGCGTGCCGCCGAAAGCGCCTTTAATAAATTAAAAGCCGCGATCGGGAACAATCGGGAATAATCGGTCGTCGTCGGGATAATTGACGCCCCGACTCCTTGGAATGCCTCCAAATTGGAAACGATATCGACGGAGACTGAACGCGACGCACATCGTGCGATAATGCGGTTCGACTATACTTTAGTTTCCATTCTGCGAATCGATATGAGACCTTTCGTATTTGTTAAGAGATCATAGTCTTCGATAATCTGAAATAGTTAGAGAGGCCCTCTTGAATACTGTTTGCGGATTATGCAGAAATAAGAACGGTGTTATGACCGTTATTATAAAGGATTTTAACACTATTTACAATGTTATACTCTATTTGTTAATCTATACTTTATTACTTTTATAATTTCGTAAGTTTGCATTTTTACACTGGATCTTATTATTAATACAAGTGAAGTAAACTGATAAAAAATAAACTATATATGTCCCTCTACTGAATAACTGGAAAAATCGTCCTCCGTAAAGAAAGTTTTAATGCATAGTCTATCACGCGATCCTACTTTTGATGACAGCGGTCTTCGCGTATCTTAGGAATACGAATTTTTTTATTATTTAATAAAATGTAGGTTTTCACGATGCTTGCTTGTGATTTCATTGGTTCCAGCTTTGGGTTTTGAACTCACCTTGTTCGTGTATACTGAGTAGTACCTGGACACTAAGCTGCCTCGTCAATATTATTGTGTCGTATAGAAGTCCGTAAAGAGTGGGAATCTGTCATGCTTAATCTGTATCGTGTGTTAACTCACCCGAGGCGGTGCGGTGGGGTGGGCGCCATCGTACACGTACAAGTGGTCGTTACAGTCGAGCTGCAGCAAGTCGAAGTGCAGCATGAACCGCTGCAGGATGCTGTGCGTCTGGAAGGTGACCGTGCAGTCGAGGTTGCGCTCGTTGCGAGACCACAGGACCCCGCCATCGACCTTCCGGTACTGCCGCTGCAGGAAGTGGTCCTTGCACAGCGAGTCCATATAATCTGATGACAATCAAAGAGGACATTCTGAGTGTTCATCCTAGTTTCAAAACCTTAATCAAATTTCTGCGGTAGGGTCACCCAACTGCTTCTGCTGTTGAACGAATGGGTGGACTCGTCCGGGTAACTAAGACCTTTCGTCGGGTGTGTGAGCCAACGCATCTGCAACCCTACGGGTGTTGCAAATGAGTTAACATCAGCACTGACAGCTCGCATGCCACCTTCTCGCATTAAAAAAATGAGAAAAGTGCAATTGTTTGATTTTTGTGTTCATTTGTATTTACATTTTATCGTGTCATTATACTGTAAAGTTTAATCAAAAAATCCACAATCTCAGTGTGCTGTGGAATAACAACTGATCAAATTCCTTCTGCCCATCAATTAGGGTGGAATTGAAGAAAGCAAATAGCAAAGTGTCGTTCTTTGTAGCGTTCTAAGGGCTAAGACGTTTTTCAACTGTGAACGTGATTCGGCTGATGATGATGATGACGAAGAAAGGAAACATGACGCCTCCGTAGCTCATTTTTTTATTTTCCTTGTCATCAATATATAGGTGTATACATTTATAGGTTTTGGGGTTTTCGGAGTGTGGTTTTTATTAATATCGAAGTAGAATTTATATTTTATGTGATTTTATTTTTTATGTGAAAAGTTGTCAAACGAGCAGACGGTTCACCTGATGTTAACTGAATACCGCCACCCATAGACATCTGCTACACCCAAGGGTTGCAGATGCGTTGACAACCTTTTGAAAATTGGGTTCCGGCCACCTCACTCACCAGACGAAACGCGAAAGTATTATACTCTCACTTTACGCCGGTCTTCTGTGAGGTCGTGGTGCTTACCCGGACGAGCCTACCCATTCGTGCTACAGCCGAGGTTGCTGCGTAGCCCTCCCACCGTTAAAGATTTATTATTATTAGGGATTATATTAGATTATTATTAGAATCTAAGTGCAAATGGTATCGTAGTTTATCATTACACGATCGATTGTCATTATCCAAAATAGCATAAGAAAATAAACTGAACTATATATACTGGCATATTTTGCACTTACATCATCATAAATAAGTAGAATTTAACTTGAGTCTAAAGTCAAAGGACGTAATTAAAAAATTATTCTTTTGAAGTTTGCTATTTAATTGGTATTCAGGATTCTACGCAAACAAGTCAAAGAACAAGTATTTGACAACAATTGAAATCATTTAAAATCCAAGTCAAGAAAGTATTTCTAACGGAAATCTTATCTAATTCTCATACTTTCGTTGGGTGAATATTCTTTGACTGTTACGCAATTTGAACCGTCGCTTGTTCACTTTAAAACTCGATATGGGCTAGTTTTGCCAACCACACGACATATCTTTTAGATGTCTTTATCTTTTATCTATTGAAGTTATCAGATCGGCCCATCACTGCTTGGACCGTCACAATTTTGAATATATTCTGTGAAACTATGTCGTGAGTCAAACACCATGTCGTGAAAGTTGAGTGTTGAATTAATTAGTTTTAGACATGTGAGTTTCTTTATCTTCGTCTATATAGTGTTTATAATTTCGTACTGGATTACTTGTATGTAGTGATTCTTTTTGTTTGGCAATTTGAGACCTAAAAATATTTGAATTCGACCGTTTTCAAATATTTATTTTGTCGAGATGATTATTCACAGATTTGATAGTATTGTTTCACTTACTATAAAAAGCAGAACATTATCAAAGTTTCAGTTGTATTATATGGAAAAAAAGATAAAAAAAGATCGATTTATCCAAGATATATCTTCTATTGATAGTTAATTTCTGTAATCATTTATAGATTAAATATAAAGAAATTAGCATAAATATAAAGAATTATTTTTTATGATTCTAAACTACAACTTTTTAATATTTCAGGAGTATCTGTCGTGTATTGGCACTACTCATCATAATGTTTCTTCTGACAAACACGTCTTCCGCGCCAACTCCTCGGATCTTCGACACTCTGGTGTCTGGAGAGACTACGGGACTAGAAGTTCCAAGGGACCTTATAGCCGGCATTGGGGCAGGCACAGGGGCCATGCAACTGGTCATCAACGTGCACACAGACAGCCATGGCAACATCGAGGTATATACAAATTAGCGGTTAAGAAATTATATCAATAATGGAAACAAATTTGCCGCACAAAAGAATTTACTCACTATCCAATGATTCCTGTGAAAGACGATCGACGCCGAAGTATTATACGAGAGCAGAAATGAATTGCAAGGACGAAATAATAACGACTGTTGCGAACCTCGGTAAAGTAATGGCGCACTAAACGGACTGTAAAAATCCCGCCCATTGGAGCCCGCAATTTGACCACTGCGGCGAACCATTCACCCGAAACAATTGGCCCAGCTGGGCTACACCAAGCAAACAGGCTATTAAGATATCCGGCTAAACGGACCAAATTCTAACTTGGCCCCTACCAACTGAGAGCCATCGAGAATTATTAAAGTCGAATACGTCGAACATTATTGCAAATATTCGTCGTGGATTCCGAAACTTCCGAAGCGGGGACGAAATTAAATATACCAAATAATGGAGGAGATCGTGCGTCACGATTTAATATATCGACACGTAACCGTCGCGACAATTCATCGACGGTGGAGCGTTTGACATCGATATCCGTCGAATTTGCACAGTGGAATCTTCTCACGTCCCGCCTCGAAGATATGGAGGGCTTATCGTATCGTCGCCGAGCGATAAAAGGGGGAATTCCTGCGGTGGAGTGCGTCGGGAAAGGCATTTATTGCGACGCGCGCGTCCGGAATAGTGAGAGGACGCGGTAACGTTGCTGCTATGCTGTCCTAGTAATTCGCAAGTGTCTCATGCACCCTGCTCTTTCGCACACTATACAAGGGGTGTATAATCCTAACGCAATTAATGTCTCAATACGTTTTTTGTATAATACTAGGCTAGTTAGGTGCCCGTCCTTTGCCGCTGTACGTTTTGAAAGCTACCAATTTTTTTTTCTTACCATAAACCATTTTATTATTTTTTTTTTTTTACCATAAACGAACAAAACGCATACAAGGCAAAAAAAAGGTTTTTTTCTATACATGTTAAAACATTAGCGTCATTGTGTATAATTATTAGGGCTTGATTCTAATATTTTTGATAACTTCAAAAAAATATATAGTTGTTGAATTATGACATAATTTTAACAATGAAATCTGTGTGTTTCAAGCCCTAATGTGAATTTTTTAGAGGTACTAAATCTTATATTTGTACAATCCATTTTTAGAAAATGTTGAATTTGTTTTCTTTTACATAGAAAATATTTACTTAAATTTTTATTTGAAAATGTTATGTCTGAAGTGCCAAGATGCGATAGGTTGAAGCCCTTGGAAATTTGAACATTGCGACTTCTTCGTTCGAGTGCCAGGCGAGACACGATTAGAATTTCATTTACTTGAACACAATAGTCCTACACTAATTGCATGGCTGCAAAAACATACTTTATGTCTAAAACTTTACTTAGTTTCAATTATATTTTTATTGAAATCGTAACATGCCACCTTTTTATATAAAAGTCCACCGCATGTGTAAATCGGCAATGTGTGTTTAAAACTTTCGCTTTAAACATGTTCTTCTTTACGATGAGGACGCACAATGTAAAGATTGTTCATATTTAAAGCGACACCATCGTTGAAATGTATATTGATGTTTTTTTTACATTGTTTAATAAGCAAATAAAACGCACGTTAGCAAATTTACTCTTTAATTTAATTTTGCATCACGATATTAATGTTTTTCGTCTAAACAAAAAGCGTTCAAAGTAAAATTAAAAAAGATAAAGAATTCTCAAAGGCGTTGATAACATTTCTATGAAGACAAAGCGCAAAGAACACAAAGGGAACGGGTTAAAAGCAAGAAATATTTGTTTCTTCAGCGCCAAAACACTATCTCTTACACAGATATCTTTAATCTTGGCGTAGATCTAGGAATATTAAATTAATGGGAAGCTTTCTGACTTTAACGAAGTAATTTTGAAATGTTTAAACAGCTCTTTAAACTCTTAAAAAAAACAAGAAATAATTAATGTATTCATTCTGTTTCTACTATTTTTGTTTGTTAAACTGATTTTGACATTCTCTTGCAATTTGATAATTCATTTTAAACAAACTTATAAACTTAACCCTCTAAATTTATAACTTTGATTGAGGTTTCCTTGATTAAATTTTCTGTACAATCTGAGACGTCAATTTCTAACTGTATTAAAAACTTCAATAGAAGTGCCAAAATAATATTAACTTGTATACATCTAAATATTATTTCGTGTATCTATTTTTCCTCCCCCTCAGGCACTCCATATCTAATAGATAATTCCTACAGATAAAGTATACTTATGAACGCAATAATAAATACGCATATAATAAAGAGTAACTCACTTTGAGTTACTGTTCATTTCAAGAACTTATAATTAATATTTAATTGATCTATTTATTGTATTCTTCTAAGTAAAGAGGCAATCGAGGTGGCGGTTCACCTGATGTTAAGTGATAACGCCGCCCATGGACATTTACAACTCCCGTAGGGTTTCAGATACCTTCCGGCATTCTAATAAAGCGGGCCCCGGCTACCTCACTCACCAGCCGAAACGCAGAAGTAGAACCTATAACTATTCCACTTCAGAACTACAATTCTCTCTTACAAATACCCATAACATATTAAATCAAAGCTACCCGAGTCTTTCGGAAAATATAGACGAATCATAGATTCCGAGCATACCTTGGTCAGGCAGAGCTATCTGTAGATGGCTTATCAATGGACTGCCCGCAGTGTACATACAAAGCTATTTTGCGACAGGTAATTTTAATGTACAATAGCATACTCTTGTACTTTTACATGAACATGTTTTCAATCTAGGCTAATGTGTGTAAGGTTGTATGCTGCATGACTGGTTGCAAATATTCTTAGAACGAGCTGAGTTTCGCGCATTATAAATGAATTTTCCCTATATGCATTTTGCTGAGAACATGTCATTAATTTGTCTTATCTTAACACGTTTTATTTTTGATAACTTAGTATAAACTCAATCCGGAAATTTAATTTAAATTTGACTTTGCGTCGATTTTATTCACTTATTTTTACTTTCTTAATATCTTTATGTCCTGTTAATAAAGTCAAATTTCTGCCAATATTTTATAAAAATTTGTTTCATTTACTTTGAAATGTTCTTTTATGAATATCCCCGAAATCAATCTATACGTCGAAGACATAGTTATCGAGTGGCAAAATACATCGTCTAGTAAGTAGAGAACAAAATTAATGGAATGGGATTTGCGAAAGTATTTCAAGAGAATAATCTCGATGGCCTAAACATCGAGGACGGAAATGAAAAGAGGGAGAGCCGCGCTTCGGGATATCGCCGTCCCGTTCCAGCGCACTGAATACAGGGAGGCGACACTTTACGGGCATGTCGGGGTATTACAGTTCAGGCGGCCATAGAGTGTACGGAATGAGATACGAGACTAAACGTGTCAGTTAATCCAGTCGAGTCTATAAAAAGTTGTCGTGCCGTGCTCTGATGCGTCCAATTATTTTTAAAGTTCCAACTCCTTTTAAAGTTCTCATTTGCGAGTTATGTAACTAAAGTTAAAAGTACGCCAGCTTGTATATCATAGCAGCGTCTGTATATATTTAACTTTCATAGATGTCGCAATTAAAACTAAGTTGTTCTTTGATTAGTTATTGTATTTTATTACTTCAAGTAATCTCACTGATTGAGTTATCAATTTTTAAATAAGTTCCATTACGTATTTAAGATAATTTATTAATACACGGATTAAAGGATTCAGACTGTTTATCCCTCCGAACGTGTGATATGGATTGTTTTTTATATTAAAACTAACAATAAAAATGAACACTTTTAGCACAGCAATAGCATACAATTGGTTTAGAATTTAAAATTAGGGTCTGATGTTTAGAGACAAAGAATGTAAAACGAAAACTTGAAAGACTCACTAGAGTCCTAACCAAAAAGTCTTTCGAAATTTTTCAAGGACGATTACAGGAAAAATATATATCAAAGCAATATAAATCAAACGAGAACTTATCGCCGGTAGGGCCACGCAATAGCCTCGGCTGTTGCACGAATTAGCTATGATTTTTCAACTGTGATGAAATAGAATAAGATGTATAAAAGGAGAACATTTGATATTTTTTTAATATCGGGACAAACAGATGAGGATAGAACAGTGGTAGTTGCTTTACGTACGCATGACTCTATCTATAAAAATAGCTGTATGTACGGGATCAACCGCCGTTTTACTGGGCCCATTGTGCGTCGCCCGCGTCTGTAGGGCGCGTAAAATCCGCGGCGGAAATTTCCCGAGGCCCGGCGACGGCCGATGTAATTACATTATTAGACATCCCTCTTTTCGCTCCATAAAACCGCCGTTGCCGAGTTTAACGCGCCAAATTACTGCCACAAATGGCGTTTGAGAATAGCAATATTGTAATATATAACTGTCGAAGATACGAGAGCGTATGCTCGAAAACAATGGTTTTGCTAACTGTACCAAAAAACAGGTTTTTCAATGAAAAAATGTCAATAAGACAAGAAATAGTAATCAAATGGACAGCGATAATGAATACGTGGATATCACCTTCTCCATTGCTGGGCTAAGACCAACCTTTAACTATATTAAATCTTGATCAAATAGATCCTATACAATGAATCATGCTATTTAAACATTAGTATCACTGGAGCCGATGATACTCAAGTACATTTTAATGGAAAAAATAATATGAGAATGTCAATGTTTGTACAGGTTTCACGTAACAGAAGCTAGAATAAAGTTTGCATACACAGCGCATCGCAATCCCAGCGTGCGCGACGCCTCATGAAATCGAATCACGGCGTAAATCGACACAAGCTTGGTAGGTGCTCTGGCGGTATATAGTGCCAGTTCTGAATTGAAACTGTAACTAAACGCAATACACGCCGAGCTCTAACACGGATATGGTTCCGTGCTGTGCGTTCGTTTCTCCAGCTTTACCTAGTTGAGTGGGAGGAATCATTGAAAAATACAAAGCCGGTTGTTATATATAAATAAGTTTTTTAAGTGAAAAGTTGCCAAGCGATCCTACGGTTCACCAGATCTTAAATGAATACCGCCTCCCGTAGACATCCGCTACACACGACGGTTGCAGATGGGTTGACAACCTTATGAAAATTGGGCTCTGGCTACCTCACTCACCAGGCGAAACGCGAAAGTATTATACTTCCACTTTACGCCGGTTTTCTGTGAGGTCGTGGTACTTAACCAGACGAGCCTACCCATTCGTGCAATAACCGAGGTTGCTGCGTGACCGTACCACCAATAAAAAAATTCCGTACCATTCGGTTCCGTACCATTATCTGTAAAAAAAACCACGTCTGTTATATAGGAGCCACACTTAAATATTTTTTTATTTTGTTTTTAGTATTTGTTGTAATAGCGGCAACAGAAATACATCATCTGTAATTGTCTAAATATCACGGTTCATTAGATACACCCTGGTGACAGACGAACAGACAGACAGCGGATTCCTATTTTGCCCTTTGTGTACGGAACCCTAACAAAGGAATAATTCAATAAAAAATCTAAGGAATCATTAAATTCTTAGGAGTGCCTTGAAGCGACGTCATCAAACCCGTTTCAAGTTTCAAAGACGTTTCAAGGGTCAAAATTTAAAAACTGCGTATTTATATATAATTAAAAAAAAGATAACATGACCGCAAAGTTTCTTGAAGGTTCTCCTCTGGACATTACTACTTTAGTGAACCGATGGTAGTTCTTTGACGTTCAATGAGAGCTTAATTCAAGCCTATATTGAAAAAAAGAAATTTTGACTTTGATAAGGGTTACAATGTTTAAATGAGGCAATCGACGAAGTTTGATAAACTATTTATAATTTTCCTCATTCTAACTTGTGGCCTATCCATGCTTTAAATATAACAATCACTGAAGAACTATTTCGTTCTTTAAATTGTAATCGCTAATAAAAAACCGCCGCGCGACATTGCCTTCAACAATGGTACGTAGGAAATAGCTGAAAGGAGTACCGTGCTCGGGCGGCCATTATGGAAGTGGCGTCGGCACGTTGACCTAGATACGGACCGATGTATTCTTCACGCAAGGCGACAGACACTCCACAGATTGGAGTGGAGAAGGAGTGTCATATTCTTCGGCAGTATTGAGACCATGTCGAGGGCTGTTACCGCAGCATTAGGACTACACGGGCTCAACGAGGGCTAAAGAGCAGAGTGAGTTGAACTCTTTACCTTTAATTCTGCAAGTAAATCCTTATTCTTACTTCCTTAATAACATTATAAACGCGAAAGTTTGTATGTATGTGTGGATGAATGGTTGTTACTCTTTTACGCAAAAACTAATGAATATGTTTCAACGAAACTTTACAATAATATAGCTTATACATCAGACTAACACATAGGCTATAATTTATAAAGATATTGTGTGAATTGTCCAAAATAAAGGTAATGATAAGTGTCAACTATGTAGAAAAAAATTCGTCCATCTGCGAGATATTCTGGTTGGTGTATAATAAAAAACTCATTGTTAATTCCGTTTGGCCGCGCGGGAGAAGCCGCGGTTAACAGGTAGTATTTCATATGGCTGGTTTCATTTAATTTTATTCATCAGATTGTTTTATATGGACATCGCATGATTCATAATAGGTGTGCTAACGTGAAGGGGAGGAAATAGCTTGCTTCTAAGAACAACAGTTATACGAGGACGCTTATTCGTGTAGAGTGGTTTTGTTATTGACTCATGCGGAACCAATTTCGTATAGTTGCACGTGAAAGGGAATGTAATGACGATATGTGCAGGTTAATAGCAGTATACCCATTTGTTTGGAGCTCTGCAGATTAATTATAAAGATTTTTTTTAACTAGCTGCCTAAATTCAACATTTCAACCACCTTGAGTCCACTGAAGAAAATAGGCCTCCCCCACAGACTGCCACGAAGCACGATCCTCCCGTTCACCCGTCCCGATCCACTCATCGTTTTTCCCCATCAGTTATCGGTTCTACGAGCTAAATATATATATATATATATATATATATATATATATATATATACTAGCGGACCGGGCAGATTTTGTCCTGTACACACGACTTATATCCGATAACAACTTATAAATAACCAAACGCATACAAAAAAATCAAACATCGGTCCAGCCGTTTAGGAGGAGTTCAGTGACAACACACGTACAGTAGAATTATATATATATATATATATATATATATATAAAGATATTCAACGACTACTGTATGTACAGAAAGAAGTTATGTATTATTGTATTTAATAAACTATGAGCCTATAATATTACTATGCAAGTAGACTTTATAGTCTACTTGCATAGTAATATTATAGGACTTTATTATTAAAGTCTATAAAATCTTGAATATTTTTGAGATCAGCGAACAAAGTGTGTTTATAAGATATTATGCTAATTTTTGCCGTCGCATTAGTGCTGCTGGTGGTGACAAGAGGGCCGTTACTAACTCTAGGCATAAGTGTACCTATATGACCGTGTGAAAAATGCAGCCAGCCTTTTTGGCACAAAGCTCCAAGAGCTTTGACATAATCTTGGTTGGTGAAACGTTTTAAAATTGCAGCCCTAAAATTACATTCGCATATCGCAGAATTGTAGCTTAATCCTCACGGAAAAAGTTAAAGCAATATCTTATTTTAAATAAGTGAACAAGGAGAATTCAAACTGTCACGTGTTTGTTCTTTCTAACCTTCACACTACAAAGTATCGCATTTGGGGCAAACAGAGTCAATAATCATTAAGTCCCACATGAGTCAGGGAAGAATAAGATAATATCAAAATTCAAAAACCATTAATCTCATTGGTGGACGTGGCTCTTACGTACAAACCAAAAAAAAACCATTGCTCTGGAAACGAATATAGTTTTTTTTTTATGCCAAAAGCCGCCAAACGAGCAGACGGGTCCCCCGATGTTAAGTGAATACCGTCGCCCATGGACATCTGCCACACCCGAGGGTTACAGATGCGTTGACAACCTTTTGAAAATTGGGCTCCGGCTACCTCACTCACCAGACGAAACGCGAAAGTATTTGTCATACTTCCACTTTAGGCTGGTCTTCTGTGTGGTCGTGGTACTTACCCGGACGGGCCTGCACATTCGTGCAACAGCCTCGGCTGTTGCACGAATGGGCGGGCGGGCCCGACCACCGTAAAAAGTAATAATGCAGTATACTTCATTCTGCAGTTTTAATAGTGTCCGAACGCTCGATTATAATTTATTACACCCCATGAATCTGAGTTCTTGTCTCGGTGGTGGCACCAATAACACCTCTCATTGAAATTTTAAATGCTTATTAATCATATGCATAGCTACTAGACAAGCATCGCGACACAACCTGCATATGTTCTCAAAAAAATCATTCACACGCGAGACTCGTTGCAGCATGCGGACATATACTTAAAGGCTACACTTTTTATTTATTTAATCGCCTCTTGACTGTAAAAACATTAAAAATAAAATAAAAAAATTCATTCCTCACGTTACAACTTTAAATACATTTTTGTATTGAATAAAAGAAAAATAAAATGGACTTGAATATTTCAACGAACTCGTTGAAGAACTTTTAGTTTAAAAACTGTAATTAGAGAATGTATAATAAAACTGCTGTTTTCTCCACTTTCTGAAGCTTACTTTAAATGTTGAAGTTTCAGGTGACCTATTTCAGCTCACAACACTTTCAGTTTCATAAAATGAGATAGAATTATTATTTTTAATAATAATTGTTTAATCTACATAGACGAAGTTCGTCCATTAGGTTCTACAAAACAATAGTAACTTGATTGGTTTCCAAAATAATACGAAAGCATAAAAGATTTCACATCCTGTTTTTTCCCATGCAAATTAATTCACTTACAATTGAAGTAATTCATTAAAAACACTTTTGGCTGTGCGATTTTAGGAATATTTATTTAAGTTAATATATACGGGTTCACAGGAAGTATGCAGTGAACAGCTGGTGTTCTCTTTCGCGTGATCTGCATAAAGCGGAGCTATTTTAAAACGTGCATTATAAACATACACCTTCTATTTAGCCAAACAGTTTTTTCGTTAAAAAATGGGGCCTGTGGCCTGGGGAATATTTGCTAATGTCGTCGAAGGAACATTGCGAGGACGCCTGCACATTTTTTTAATTACAATAAAAAAAATATTCGTAGATATGTTAAGGCTGCCAATTTGCAGTCGGTTCGCTTGGACGACTATACCATAACGCCCTTTGTACATTCTAATGAGGCTTTTGCATATTAGGCAGTGGGCATAGATAGCCTAATACTTTACTTTTCTTTATTTTTTAGTGTTCCGTACCCAAAGGGTAATAAGGGACCCTATTACTAAGACTCCGTTGTCTGTCCGTCTCTCATGGACCGTGATAGTTAGGCAGTTGAAATTTTCACAGATGATGCTTTTTGTTGACGTTATAACCACAAATACTAAAAAACAGAATAAAAAAATAAGTTAACAACCAATTTTATCAGTCACATAAAACAAAATATTTGTGGAGCAAAACGTATTTGTATTGTTAACTACGGCAAAGAGGGATATCCTTCTCTCTATTATTAGTACTACATATTTACAGGGCATTATACAACCTAATGTAAAGCACGATATTTTATTATCGTTTGCAAAAGTACGAAACTTATTTCGAAGTACCATTATGTAATCTAATTCAGTACTATAACCAGCAGTACGTACTGCGTCTATTTCCCACTTCCGGCTATCCCACAGGACGTCAGCAGCCAACGAACCGGCATGGCAATTGCTGGATAGTGACAAATTATCGTCCAGTTATATAACTTAAATGACTTCACTGCCAAACGCAAAACTGATTCGCATTGACTTTCGAAACTGAACCAATGAAATTGAACTAGTTCCAATGCCGAGCATTGAGAATCCACCCCTAATAAAAAGTAGGGTATAGTACATAGTAAAAAGAATTTAATTCATTTTAATAATTATATGTTTTATTATTCCCGATAGGTATTCAGCAAAGTTGTATCTCTGAACTTCGATACTGAATAGCAATACTTCTGGCAAACTGTCTTCGAAATAATAAATTTTAGAATGAGAAAAGTTAATGTAAGAACTTTTATAAAATTTGAACTGTTATAAATTATCAATTTTTAATGTCAAAATTCAAGAAGAAAAGCTTCGACAGAATTAACGCTTCGCACATAAAGTTTGCCATGCAACGGCGCGCCGTCGAACTAGTATATTGAACCGCTCATTGTCTGCTTAAAGGAAATATTTACAAGAGATCGGTTACGCCCGCGAGCCATCCTTGAAGAGGGGCGAGCCTACGATCTCAGGGCGGGGAGGGGGAGGCTATCGACCCGCTCCATTATACCACTGGGTCGTTCAACCCGGCCCGCGTAGCCGCGACCGTAGCTCGTAGCCCCGTAGCCGAAACCGGCCCGCTGTCTTTTTTTATGCCGCCTGCGGTTATTTCAACGTTACGCCTGATCGTTCGTTTCGTTTTGTATCTGTGGTTTGTTTTGATTTGTTAAGATGACTTTGATGTCCCGCGCGGAAGTTTTTTGTATTGTTTTTTTGTTTTATAAAAGAGGATTGTTTTTATGTTTTTAGAGCGAACAATAGCGACTCGGTTTTTTGTTTGTATATTAAATAAATTTTTCATTGTAATCAAACTGAAAATAGTAATAAAGTATAGTAGTAGACAAAAACATAAATAAAAACCTAAAGTAATCGATAAGAGATCGGTTAAGGGTGCAAGTGGAGCTAATTTAAAATGCTTCCCTTTCAGTGAAACAAAAAACCTAATTTCACTCATGGAATAGTTTATATTTCTTTTAGAAATAAGCTCTTTTGAAATAAATAGATTTTCTAGCTAATTACGAGCATTTAGCTAATCGCACCTAGTACCTGCCAAATGTGAAGTGTACCAGTTTGTTCCCAGCAGTGGTTGGGACATTCTTTGCGATCGATGTATGTGCAAAAATCTCCGTCTCAAATTTACGACCGGCGTGTTTGTACATGCATCACGATTGAGACACAATAAGTTCACTATAAATTGAACAATAAGCATGCCTATTTCCATGAATATTCCCAACAAGTATAGAAGAAAGTGCACTTTTGTACGCATTCTTCGAGCTTAGGCAAGTGAAGAGGGAACGGCAAACCGCGCGGACGGCTACGACCACCGAGCCAATTAAACTTCCTTCACGCTACGCATACTGAAAAAAGTCACACGGAACCGGAAACATTTCAAGTCTCACCGCTCCGCTTCTATTAATCCCGTTCGCCCGCGAGTCGATACGTCCCCACGTTCGCGTAATTAAATTCCAGTTTATCGGCTGCGAGCGTTGCGATTGTGATCTGGTTTTTTATTTCTTTGTAACACAGGGTAAAGTCCGGAATGCGTTTCAGTACCTCTTCAATTTCTCTTGTACAAACCATCGAGGTCTTGCGCACTGAAACGTCATTGCGATTGGATGTATAAAATAAGCATTGGAAGGAGGTCAAAAACCATGCGTCTATCTATGTTTATTCTATTCATCGAATATACAATATTAATAGAATTAAAAAATATAAGGGCATTTTTATGCTTTAGTAACAACGGATTACTTACTATATTTTTTTTTTATTACCATTGCCAGGTGCAAACGCGTGGTTTGCTTGATGGCCGAACGTGAACTGACTGTTTGTCGCGTAATATTTTAATGCTTACTACGTATTGATGGACTTTAGGTAAAAAGTGCAAACAAAGCTGTTTGGTTCAATAGTGAACCGAACAATAGTCAAAGATTAAAAAAATATTAGTTTTCGTGTGCACATCGGTTACTTCGCTCACCAGGCTGAACGCAAAAGTATAACACTTCTACTCACGCCGTCTGCCTGCCGTAGCCTGCAACAACCTCCACTAGTGCATTTATGACTTTTTTTTAAAAAACGTTGCCATTACTTTAGGATAATATTACCCTGTGATGACTATCCTTACTAATATTATAAACGCGAAAGTTTGTATGTTTGTTACTCTTTCACGCAAATACTACTAAATGGATTTTAATGAAACTTTACAATAATATAGCTTATACATCAGAATAAGACATAGGCTATAATTTATATACATATTTTATGATATACATAAAATATGTATATAAATTATAGCCTCTTAATGTTACACCTTCAGCCTATTCCACGCAGACGTAGTCGCGGGCAGCAGCTAGTATGTGATAAACACCAAATCAGTAGAAGCCTATTTCTCTTTTCTCGTCCAACGACATTGTTATAAAAAGTAAAGACGAACTCTGTTAGATTGTTGTGCATTATTATAGATCGGATTATCCTTATTCACTAAAGTGAATTTTATTTTTAACGATCAGTGTAATAAAAGACACGATCAAAGCCTTATTTTGCCAAAATTATACGACGATTAACGACAAGCAAACATTCTTTTTCGGGGTGTAAACAATAACAAAAGGCGTTGAAGAAAAAATATACTTCTCGAACTTTATTATTGTTCTTAAACAACTAGTATAATCATTAAAAAAAAAACTTAAAGAAGCCCAAACATAAAGCGATCTACGAACTTCGCGAAATTGGCCCTGTTTAAAGGAACTCCGTAATGTATTCAGTCTTTTCAATCTTTCTTATATTGCTAAAACTTTATGAGAAATCCATCCGAAAGCGAATCATTGACAGGGCTGTAAATGAATGAGAATTATTAAAAATACTATTACGTTCGTACTACTGACAAACTTATGAAAGTTTATTAGAAAACTAAATCTAAACTAGTTTTAATAAAGAGGAGACAATACTGATCTTGATGATTTTCTAACGGAACCTTCTACTTGAACGTATGATCAGATTATTAAGATATTGGCTAAAATTACACGTAGCTGTTCCTGGGTTTGTTTCTTAAAAAAAGAAATATAAGTATAATCAGACGATGTGATAATATTTATTAAAGGAAATATATTACATAATGACCTCCGAACAATCTCTTTGACATTGACAATTAGTTCAGCTGTTGAATTTTTAATATACATTTCACAGATATTTATCTTATCCTTTAAACGAGCAATTCTTGTTTATATATATCGGATACGGCTCCAGCGATTTTCATGAAATTTATATATATTATGTATGTGCATAGATTTGGGGGCGAAAAATCGATCTAGCTAGGTTTCATTTTTAGAAAATGTCCTTTTATCCCTGTTTTCAGGGAATGAAAAATATAATTTGAATATGACGGTAAATTTCGCCGCAAGAGAAAATGTCAAAATAGCTCGGTCGGTAATCGGTAATCGTCGGTAAGATCGTCAAATCATTTACACATATTTTTTTACTCAATTTTTTGTATCTAAATGTAATTGCTTTCAAAATTTTGATTTTTTTGTTGATTTAAAAAAAAAAAAAAAACAAACCGAGCAAAGCTCGGTCTTCCGGGTACTATATATAATCGGAATCTCGGAAACGGCTCCAGCGATTTTAAGATCGAAAAATTTTATGTATATTTCATTCGGGGGCAAAATTTGTATCTAGATGTAATTTCCAAAATACACGATTTACCAAAAAAAGTAAACAAACCGAGCAAAGCTCGGTCCTCCGGGTGCTAATCTTTCATGCATGTAACTCTGAAGAGTATAGAGTTTCATACCCATACCCACTCACACCCTATAGCTCTCCTTGTGAGAACTCATTAAAAATGTTCTCTTTTTTAAAACGTACCTTAAAAAAAGCATATTTAATATCGGAAAAACATTTTATTAAAAGCAAATAGCCGCACTTGTCCTCCGACAACGGACTTAATGTCTGCATCGTATGGAACCTAGTTTTATCATTGCTGCCTTTAAAAACCTACCGCTAAGCACACTTTAATCCGCCATTAAATGTTAAAAGCCCGCAAGCCCGGGTAAAACTGTTATTAAATTTTATGCAGTACCGCTGACATCGTAAGCGATGCAGTTTTTAAAAGTACGTTTAAATATCAAGCATTTGTTTTTAATAGGTTCTAAATAAGATAATAACTTTGTTTGTTAACACTATATACAAGCTTTCACGTTTTTAACCTCTGTTGATAGCATGGATATAAAGTAAATGGCCAATAAATAATCTTTAAAAAACATATAAATGGATATTTGAATGCCAAAGTGTAAAACGAAATGCTTTTTTAAACGCCGCTGAGACTCCGTTTTTACTGTGGTAAAGCCATACAGTAGTTTCCACAATTCTCTGAATAAATAAATGTAAATAAATGAATAAATAAGTATTCCGGAACATACTTTTACACAACGTTATCCAGTCCCAAACTAAGCAAAGCTTGTACTATGTGTACTAAGTAACTGATAAACATACTTAAAAAACTTTTCTTTTATAAATAAATACATATTATAGACCTACATATAAACACCCAGACACTATATGACTATGTTTATCACACAAAATTTAGTAGTGGAGCTCGAACCCACTCTCTCCGGCAAGAGACAGGGACACCACTACGCCAATTGAGTCGGCCTATTTCGACAAACACCACGGTTTTATCCAAGATTGTGTGAGAATGAGAATGCTATCGAGCCTAGCATAGTCAGCGGTGCTGACCTCTTAGCGCAGGGTCATCCAGAATATAATTTTGAGGGCTGAAATAATAAGACTGTTGATGTGTGCTTAAGCGTATTGGACATTATTAAATTTCAGATTTTTCAATAGATATTAGCAGCCTCAATTAGCAAATTATAAAGTTACAATACAACGCATAATACTGATAAGGCAATATATTTATATGAGATAAAATAAGAAACTATTGTAACGGTGAACCTTCCTAAATGGTGAATCCTTCTATGACCGTCCCAAAATAACATGGGACATTCAAGTGATGAGGCTAGCAGATTAAATTTGAAAAAAGAGCTAAAATTATAAGTACCTAAGGAATTTTAATATTGAAAGTTGCATCGAAGGACGGCAAGGAAGTTGGTAAAAATATAATCTCGTTATAACTTCCGTAAACAGAATTATTAATAAGTAATTGTTTAATGTAGAAGAGTAACGTAACGGGACGCCTCAATTGGGTAACAAAAGGTGAACCGCTTTTTCAATGCCACCTTCTCTCTTGTATAAATAAGGTCATCACAACCTATACGTAAATTTCGCACGTTATAATATAAAGTCATACGATTTTATATTCCACCGAGAGTATATAATCCTAAGTACTTACGTCACATAATTAATATCCTCGAACCGCACATAATCAGCTTTGTACGCAGAATTAACTCTATTATCCCCGTTCCCTTGATTAGCTTGCTATATTACTTATTACACGATCCACAGTACAGTTAAAGGGCCCGTTGGCAGACACCACATGAGGCCGTAATAAGTTTACCAAACGTAATAATGAAAAAATCTTTCATGCGATCCTATTACTCGAGCCTATTAGCACAACCTTTTTAGAGATTAATTAGTACGTCTGAAAGAATATCAGAATATAAGAAAAGCGAAAAAAAATTGGTCATAGTTGTGGTTAAGGCTCGGATATTTAGGGCGCGGCTTTACTAAGACTCCGCTATGTCTGTATGTCCGTCTGTCACCAGGTTGTATCTAATGGACCGTGTTAGTTAGACAGTTGAAATTTTCACAGATGAGATTTCTGTTGCCACAATGACAAAAAATACTATAAATATTTTGCGGCTCCCATAAAACAGACATGACTTTTTTGCCGTTTTTATAGATGATGGTACATAATGCTAGATATACGTATCTACGTATCTGGGTTACGACCCATACGCGAGTTCGATGCACTTGTTTTGAATTCTGAACCATGGGTTCGGGATTTGAACTCGGGCTGCTCGAGTATAATCACTGAGCTATCACGGCAGATCGACGGTATCCTATTGTGATTATTTTTGTAATAAAGGGACACAACTTCAACTGAATGATGAAGACTCGTAACGGCTTTCAGTTGAACGCGAACCTATTACACCTGTGAGCAGATGCGTCAAGGAAAGTAAAGAACACACACAACAACACAGGAGATAGGATGTTTTTCTTGCTTGTCAGATAAGCCCATCCTCTTCGTTGCCTTTCGCAACAGTCACTTGCAATGAAGCGACATGCCATATAGAAAAAAAATCACATAAGCCCCGCACGAACCCCTGCCCTGGCGTGGTCTAAGCCGATAACAGTGATGGCATTCGCGTCACGCCGTCCGAAGCGGGGACCTCGCCCGCCTAATTCCACCGCAAATGGCGCCCTGCTATCGACAGGGCGCGCGGCCCTTTGATTAATTAACCACCGGCCCCGGTGATTAATGCGCGACGTGGGGCGAAAAAAATCCCGACCGGAATCAATTTTCTTCACGCACGCACCCGCGGCCGCTGGGCCGAAATTGCCGACGCGCGTCAAGTGGATCTGACGCGTCATCGATTAATCATCCGCTTAGATTGGATGCTGGTGGCGCCCACGCCTGCCAGGGTTCGGTGATGTTGGACATACGCACTCAGCAGCTTTGTCCCGTATAGGTCAGATAGATATCGCGTCTCAATTGTTCAACTCTCGGGGGCAGTGTCCAAATTTAGTTTCTCAAACAGCGAGTGCATTTCAAAAGTAGTTAGTGGTGAGCCTATCTGACACCGGGTAGATATGTGAACAAGTAACTTATGTGGAAAAGAAATATAAAAAAAATTAAATCATTAGCGTAGCAAACAACCGTCCTTAACCAACACTTTACAAATTTGATGTTTTTTATGTGAGAAGGTAAGTAACCAGGATTTACAAAACCCGTAAGGTTGCAAATGCGTTGCCACCTTTTAATAAAGTGGGCCCGGTTGCCCGACCACACAAGGCGAAACGTAGAAGTATAACACTTCTACTTCACGGCGGTCTTCTCTGAGGTTTTCGCCGGTTCTGGTACTGCCCCGGACGGACCTGCCCATTCGTGCCACAGCGAAGATTATATTAAATTAAATTTTTGCACTCGGTCACGTATCAAAAATGAAGTGAATGATGATAATCGTTAATAGGAACGTTTAAGACGAAATATAGGAGTTAGGGGGGAAAAGAAGAATAGGATAGACCTAAATTAATTAAAGAAGATAACTAAACTCAGTAAGCCATTACATGTGTACCAAGTACCTACTGAACTAAGTTTATCAAAATTATCACTGAAGTATGTCGTAAGGCAAATGAAACGAGTACTTTAATTATCCGATTGTAACATTATAAGCGCATGTCATTCCACGCTCACTCCCAATTATACGGTACGAATAGATGTTTTACGATACGAGTTTATTATTGATCGTTCAAGATTGTCATTAAAAAAGTTTCATTAAAATAAGTCAGAAACAAACGTCAAAACTTAACTCGGGTTATTTTTAACTATGACACGTAAATATGATTATATATGAATACTGTATACATTTCAATATTTTTAAAAACCACGTCAATCCAGTAACAATATAACGTAACAACTAAAGGAGTAATGAAATCTGCCACATAACAAACAGATACGTAATATCTTTCGTTATCACATAAGAATGGTTAATAAAACTGTTATTACTATGATTAGCTAAAAAAATTCTGGTAAATACAGGCCGATGCGCTTTTTTAAATTACATACGTGTCTTAAATAAAGTGAAGTGTTGACTTGCTGAATTGCTCACCAAAAATACCGCAGTCATGTACGTTTTATTATAAAATTCATCATACGACCAGCTTGAGGCAGTACGCTTGTAGACATGAGTCTATGCTAGAGAAACCATGTCTACGCTGAGAGAACCTCTGAACATCAAGCAACGGCTTAATTTTCAGCGATTTAAAAGTTATAATCATATCTAATTATATAAGATAATAACTTTTTAAGATACATAATTATGTATCTTACATCAATACTTAACAATTTTAAATTATGTCAAGTGCTTAGGAGAATTGACGTAGGAATCTGAGGATTTTCGAAGTAAAACTTTATTTTAATTGCAGAATATGCAAGAATCGATTAACTAAACTAAATCTTAAGTTCTTTAAAATGTTAAATATGTTGTTTTCGACCATGTTTGGGGCATGACCCCATATGTGGTCATCGTCCATTGTCATTTGTCGCCAATTCGCAAAAATGTGAAACTTTGTTTCTGTATTTTTGAAGGAACTACGACTATCACACTACAAAATATATGATTACAAGGATTTCATCAGGTAAACAGTATTTTCCCAATGTAAATAAACAGAGTGAATTGCAGAATGACGAAAAAAAAAAACATTGTCTTCATCTTTGTTTTATATTTCTTATCGAAACAGGAAACCTAAAAGTCCCCACGATAATTCATAACAAAATAATTACACACGATAATTCATAACAAAAAGTTGCCTAGAAAGTAATTGTTATAACTAGTATAACAATTACTTTCTAGGCAATTTTTGGTTAATTTTTAATAGACACAAACAACATAGAAGCAAGCTCCACTTTACCAAAAATCAAAGATGATAAAACAACAAAGCACATTCGTTCAAGGACATCAGCTAAGTGGAAACGAATAGAGAACACCCTGACAATAGTGCGAGAATAGACGTCAATCACGATAGCACAATCGCCGGTTGGTGGCTAATCCTCAATAAATAGCGTTGCGAGATCCGTGCCTGGCCGCGATACAGTCGATATGGGCACCGCTCTGAAAGCAGCCGCGATCGCGGTGGCGGCTCTCGCCGTCGTGGGGGGCATCGCAAGTAAGGAACCATCCGATTAATAAGCGCCTAACTTCATTCCAGACCTACTGGTTACAGCACAGACTTGAGCTATAAGGAGATAATTGAAATCTGCTCCTTCTACTTCCAAGACTGTTCCTTGATGTGTGAAAGATACTGATGAAACTATGTCTAGATCTGTTTGGAAAGAAACATTACAAATTTGAACTGTAATTTTCTATTATCACTCGAACTAATAATGCAGTAATTTTTATGTATTTATTCTTAATCGGACTGCATAATTGAACGATTGACGTTTATTAGGTTAGAATTAGATATATGGCGTAAGGTTTTGTCCTAATATTTACAAATTGAGGATAGTATACTCAGCGCATATTTCAATTTAAGCGTTTCGTACCTTCTTCACTCTACAACATTAGTTATTAATGTTTACAGTGTTTGTTTCAATTCATAGCACGCGTCGTTATTCAACTTTAAAAAGAAATAATGAAAGAAATACATTTATTCACGGTCTAACCACAATAGCTACACAAAATAGATAAAGAATAACGGAATTACGCAGAACATAAAATAATATTGCACAAAAATGACAACATATAAAAATAGTGAAAGCCTGTGTAGCAGCATAAGACCGTGAAATGGACAGGACTCAGTAAAAATCTAGATACAGATACATAAATTGTTCTGATCCCGACACTGGTTTACAATCCGGCCCACACTCCCAGACAACTCGGACGACTGCGTCAATTGCAATGATACAACGCAGAATAGCGGAACTTAAATTTTTCATGTTGAAACCTTTGATTTTTATATAGACAGTGGATATTTTTAGTGCTGTTCTTTACGAGTGACAAAATAAAAGTGTCAAAAAATTAAAAAAAAATTACATTTGTATCCTGTAATGACGCCCGAGCGCTTCTTTGTCCAAGTCATTCGTACGCATTTGAAATCCTCTCTAAATATGTGCCCCCAATGAACATTAATGTAACATTTTCTTTTATTTCAGTTGGTATAACCTTCGCGGTACTATCAACGCGGAACGATGCGCCGCCGCCACCAGAACTAATTCCACTTGACTGGTGGAAACACTGCGTACTCTATCAAATCTATCCAAGATCCTTCAAAGACAGCGATGGTGATGGCATCGGTGATTTGAAAGGTAAAAGGCCAGTTAATTAAGTTAATTTTAAACAGCACGGCATTGAGATCTTGAATTACGAATAATTCCTAAATATCTTCACCCACTATCTTAATCATGATATCCGAATAAAATTTATAATAAAAAAACCGAACCGCACAAGTTGTCATAAACGCACATATTTATGTATTCCGGGTTGTCTATTTTTGCGTTTGTTTTTCTTATTTCAAGTTATCTTCACTAAAGTATAAATTTAAATATATATTCGTACAAATCTTATGAACTTTATCACAACAAACGCTATACATACATCTATAAGTTACAATATGTAACAAACAGTAAAAATGTAACCTTCACTATGTCATTCGTCATAACCGCCTTGGTCAATTTAACAATGTTCGCCCATGAATCGTCATTATAAAGTCATCACGATTCAGAATAAAAAACACTTCAATCCATGACAATGGTTTCGACGCCACGAGAAAATTGCGCATGATCGCCGTAATTGCAGGAATCATCAGCGAGCTTGAGCATTTCGTGGATGCCGGCGTGGACGCGATCTGGATGTCACCAATCTTCGAGTCTCCTATGGTCGATTTCGGTTATGACATCAGCAACTTCTATGCCATCCATTACGAGTACGGAACCATGGAGGACTTCGAGGAACTGCTAGCGAGGGCACATGAGTTGGGCAAGTAAATATGATAAAGTATTGCTCTCTATGCTAGTCATTTACTATATTATAAATGCTTATATACTAATAGTAACCGGAATTGAAATCAATTTGTATTTGTTCGACTGTTATTTTTTGTAATTTATATTAATTAGAATTAACTGTTTTGATTTTTCTTGATTGAACTAAAAAACTAAAATTTAGATTTTTTTATATTTTGATTGAACTGAAAAACTTAACTTCGGTTCGTAAAAAACCTTTAAAGACCTACATTTTGGCGCCAATAATCCGCCATTGTTTTATACCTACTATAATCATAACTAGTGACACTCATACAACGATGACGAATCTAACGACATGACATTCATTAAAACCTGTTCAGCTGCTTCTTTTTCGTTACGAAGGACCATTTTGTATTTGTATTTTGTGTGGATGGGTTGAGGTAGTAATTGTGAACGACCACTGTGACCTAGAAGATCTATTGTAGTCTTCCCTTCGATAATCATCCTCTTACTGTAGGATAACATTATCCCGTGTTGCGAGGAATTTTACAAACATAAATTTCACGTGGACAGACACCCAGACCCGAAACAATAATCGGTTAGTCATGAAAAAATTTCTCATGTGGGAATGTAGCCCACGTCCCACGGCACCGAAGCCTTACCTTGGCAATTGTGTTACGGGACAGACATAGTATGAGTACATACAGGTAAAGCCCATTACCCTCCTTTTCAACCAAATTCAAAAAAAGGAGGTCCTAAATTCGAGTCTATTTTTTTATGTTTGTTACCTCAGAACTTTCGACTGAGTGTTTTGATGATTCTTTTTTCATTTGAAAGCTGATTCCCATGTGATCCCATATTTATTTAATTGGTATTGGATCTTGGCTCCGAAGATAATTAGGGAACTCCTGAAAATCAGTTATAAAATCAATACAGAGCGAGATATTTGAACTCGGTTTTGTCTTTCGTTAATAAAATATGAACTTGTTTGGCATCCGCATGCGGACGTACGGAATATGACTTTCTATAGAGTATGTTTAAATGAACATGTATAAAATTTATATATCACAATAAACTAAGTTGCGAAAGTAATAACGTTTTGAAGTTTAACTGTATGAGTTGGTGTTAATAATTATTATAGCATCCATTGCTAGAAATCCATTATTCAGCCATCGTAAATCTTGAGTTATTGAGCGCGGATATTACTTCGATACTGTTTCATTCTTATATTTGCATATTATAACATTGGACCAGCAGGCCTACTCCCGACAGATTTGAGTTCCGAATCACTCGAATTCACGACAGTTCGTACCACTGAATCTGACGCCAGGGCACAATAGAGTGGTGGCTCTAATTGTAACTAAATAAGATCGAACATTTTTTTCGGAAAAAATTAAACAATTAATATTTTATCTAAAAAAAGATGTTCTAACCGTAAACATGAAACATTTGTCTATGACGTAATAGATCGGTTACAGTTAACGGATTTGATAATGCACGATCTTGTTTCTAGTTTCGATTCGGTTCGGGAGTAAGCTTTTCAAATCGAGTTCGAATCAAGTGTGAGTTCGAATCGAAAACAAAAACAAATTCGAATCTTATTTGGGGAGTAAGACGGCAAGATCCAAAGAAGCCAAGTATATGTTCACTTCACGAAATTACTTGTGCATTATCAAACGAATAGATTACCAATGTGTTATCGAAAGGATTAGCTAAACATTTCCCACACATAATGTTTGATGTTCTATTAAATTTAAAAAAATAACAAAACCTGTGTAATTTTAATTATCTAGATGGACATCGGCGCATGATTGATTCGAAAACTATTAAACAAGCATCAAACACAATTTGTAGATTGTGATCGGAAAACCGTTAAGCTTGGTTGGGTCAGATATAAATCTCATTTATCTGTTTTTACCTTTAAACGAGCAAGTCCTGTATATATATATATATATATATATATATATATATATATCATATGAATCTCGGAAACGGCTCCGACAATTTGCATGCAATTTAGTGTGCGATGTTCTGGGGTTATAAATCGATCTAGCTAGGTTTAATTTTCATAAAATGTCGTATTATCCGTGTTTTCAGGCAATGAAAAACTGCTAAAATGTCATTAGAATACGAAGGTAAATTGTACAACCATACTGGTTATACTACAAGGTTATGATAGTTCAGGGTTTTTTTTTTGGTAAATAAATGTATTTTCTTTCTTTCTTTCTTTCTTTCTTCAGGTGGGAAATCGGGCGGTCCCGAAACCAGAAGACCCCGGTTCGAGTACAGACGATATTTTTCCCCTTTTTTTTCAAGTTCCTTCTTTTGTGAGAATAAAAGCCGAGCAAAAAATGAATAAGAAGCTATCATCCCGGTACTTTTTATTCATTTTTAGCTTCGACTTTCAAGTGATCGATAGGAACAGGAAACTGAGATACATAGAAAATAATTTTACGAAGTTATGAGAAAGGTAACTAAAGACGCGAAATAAATATTTGTCTGTATTCATTTACCTAAAACTTATCAGGTATTAGAGTGCTGCTTGATTTTGTACCGAACCACGCGAGTACCGAATCTGAGTACTTCATCAATTCAGAGAAAAAATTGCCAGGCTACGAGGATTACTTCGTGTGGGCAGATTCGCCTGGACCGGATCCAAATAATGCCAGCATTATGAGACCGCCATCTAACTGGGTAAGTACGAGAAAATGTTTGGTGCATTAGGTTTAGCGACAAAAGTAAGTTAACCTTCTGTTCTTCGCGTTTGTAGACAACAAAGGTGTCTTGATTATGCTAAGATGCCTGGTGCATAGCGTGGCAAGTCCTGGAGCGATAAAACCTACCCAATACCCAATCTCAAATATATTATTGATGAGATGTTTTGGATTCAAAGAAATATATACATAATACGTCATTATCATCATCACTGTAAGCGTCCACTGCTGAACACAGGCCTCCTCTAGGTATTTCCACTTTGAACTACGACCATAATACATACTTATGTGTAAATATATACTTATATATTACTTTTATGTAAGTTTATATATGTACCCAGGTAAGCCAATTCGGTGGCTCTGCTTGGGAATGGAGTGACGCCCGCCAGCAGTTCTACCTCCATCAGTTCGCGGTGGAGCAGGCGGATTTCAACTTCAGAAATCCAGTAGTCAGAAACGAAATGTTCAACATTATGAAATTCTGGCTCGACAAAGGGGCGGACGGTTTTCGGGTGGACGCCTTGCCTTATTTAATCGAGGCCGACCCCGCGGACCACAACGGCTCCTACCCAGACGACCCTCTCAGCGGAATAATTCATTTCGAACCACATCAATTGGGATACACGATCCCGCTTTACACTAAGGACCTGATTGAATTGTACGACGTCGTCTACGAATGGCGGGAGTTTATAGATAGATATCTAGAAGACAACGGCGGTGACACGCGGCAAGTAGATTTCTGTTAAATTATTTGAGAACCTAATAAGAACTAGTGTAACTTTAGATAATCTTAACACTTTTAACGTAATTATGATGAGAATTGAAACCTTTTAAATTTGACTACTGCTTTACCTACAATTTCTTTTTGTGTTTGCCATTAAATAATAACACTTATTAGGAAGTAGATCAATCAAGAAAAGATTTGCCTGTCCCTGCTATCATATTAAATTGCAATTGATTTATTTCTTCTGACAATTTCAGAGTCCTATTCTCCGAAGGTTACGCGAACGTGACAATGACAATGCTTTACTACGGCAACGAGAAAGGTGAAATCGGGGCTCACTTTCCCTTCAACTTCGATTTCGTCACTGACTTATCGGCCAAGTCAAACGCGAGGGATTTTGTATATATTATTTTGCGATGGCTGACATACATGCCCTACGGCGGTGTTCCAAACTGGGTGGTAAGACAGGCTTTCAAATACACGGACTCTGTTTATCTAGGAATTATACATCTTAGTCAAGTGAAGCAAGCTCCTTAAGACCACCAGAGTTAAACGCTCTACAAAAATAGACGCAGAGGACTGAGACAGATTCAATATAGTTGAAGTTGTATTAAGTGCTTTGTCGTCTATTACATTTTCATATTAAATACCAAGTATCTAGCGAGTAACTAGTAAATAACCGAGCTGATAGTAATGATATAATTCTAGATGGCAAACTATTAGCATTAGTTTAGCAGATCCTATTTGCATCTGCTTTCAAAATACTCATTGTAATCGGTGGCATGTTCATTGCCTTACTTCTGTGCTTACGACTGGTAAACTAAAAATCGAATGAATTGAAACACCGGTACAAATTAAAGCAATTTTTCTTGCAGTTTGGGAATCATGACAACAATAGAATGCCAACACGCTTCCGGAGTAACATGGTGGACGGTCTGAATTCTCTAAACATGCTGCTACCAGGCGTTGCAGTTACATATCAAGGCGAAGAAATAGGCATGAGAGATGGTTACGTGAGTTGGGAAGACACGGTGGACGTAGAAGCTTGCAACCGAGGCGACGAAGACACTTACCATCTATACTCCAGGGATCCAGCTAGGACCCCATACCACTGGAACAACAGCACTAACGCTGGCTTCTCTACCGCGGAGCGAACTTGGCTACCGGTTGCCGAAGACTTTAAAGATATCAATCTTGCCAAACAGAAAGAAGAACGGAGGAGTCATTTCAAGGTAAATGATACGAATAATAATGTAAAGTAAAAAAATTACAGTCATCTAGCCAGCTTTCATTTAATGTTTTATGTTTCATTTCGCAATTAAATTATAATTAATAAATCTTTAAGTGTCCTATGTTATGAACCTGATACTAGGTCGAATGCTATAAGGGAGATACTTATAAATGCCAAACCAATACATTCTATTAATAAATTTAATCAAGTTTTTACTAATTTCGTTCAATCTCTTTATTCTCTTTTACCGGTTTTTAAAGGTTTACCAAGCCCTGACGGCCCTCCGCAAAGAGAAAACTTTGGCGTACGGTGAATACGACATAAGAGCTTTGTCAGACCGTACGCTCTATCTCACACGGAGTCTGCGAACTCACGAAACCTTCGCTTTGTTGTTCAACGTAGCAGAAGTGTCCGATACCGTCCGATTGAACAGGGTGATGCATTTGAAACTGCCCGCGACTGTTTACGTCTCCAGTGTTCACTCGACCAGGGTGGCTGGGTAAGGCTGTCGAGTGTTATTAATCTTACATAATATCTTTTTATATATAATTCTTCTGTACGTGTGTATGTCACTGAACTCCTCCTAAATGGCTGGGCCGGTTTTAATGAAATTGTTGAGACGTTGTAACGAGAATGTTTTTTTTTAGATTCGCAATTCGTTTTTTTTGTTTTTTTTTTATAAGTTGTCGAATTTAAGTCATGTACGGACAACGTGTATGCGGTCCGCTAGATATGTAAAATTAAAGCAACGAATCTATTATACATATGTAAATGGAATGTATACTTAACTACTTAATTAAGATATAGTGATACAACTGTTCACCAATTTTTTAAAGACAATCATTACAAAAAATGCAGGGGCGCGGCCATTCACTCGTATATTATAACAACTCCTAGTTAACAATTATAACAAAGAGGGACAGGCTAAGCGCCCCCAGCGTCCATGTCAAGCCCGGTGGATCCGTAAAGACATCCTAAAGGCGATCCAACCAAAAAAAAAACATAATATAGCAGTGGCGACATCTCTCTTTTGAGTTATCGTTGTGAAAAGATATTTGAACATATTTCTGTGCTGTAAATGACATAACAATTGATGCGCCTAGCATTAATCAAAATGAGTAAATAACTATGTAGATAAAATAGATAAAATACGTTGACGTATATGCCGGTATGTCAATCAGTCGTCTATCATGGGGATTACAGCGACTGGAAGCGAATCCAGAACACGCGGATTCGATTTCTGCAGCGGCGAAAATCTTTTCGTGCAATCTTTCTAGAAATTTTAATAAACAATTTCTAGTCGGTTGGTAATGAGGCAAGAGTACTATTGTTAAGCCGTTGACCGCGCAAAAGCGAGTTAACACAAATGGAGTGACATCAAATTCAATAAACACGTTCATAAAATGAAGGATTGGTCATTTTATGATACATCAAGGTGGACGTCACGCAGAATTAAACCAGTGAGCGAATCTGACGTCACAGCCACTTTTACTGACTTTATATTGATATACTATTATAATGATATCTCAAATTCATTATTCAGGGACATCATCAACGAGGAGGAGATAACTTTACAAGCAGGTGAAGCAATAGTACTCCGGGCAGAACCAGTGTAAATGAATCAGTAATAATAGGAATGTGTTTATTTCCTTTAAATTGATGGATGGTGTTTTCTTTACGACTTAAGATTATTTTAAAAAGTGATGTGAATATTGTAAATATTTAATTTGCTTTAGAATTAAGCTTTAATTTTAATTTATTGGTTTTTACGTATATAAAGTAAGTGTAAATTGTATAACTTTATAAGTAAACTGTTACAGTACATTTAGTTGTATTCATCGCTTGCTTTTCTGTTATAAATAATTGTCATTTTTTAAAACATTTATTTTTGCAATAAATATTAGTTAAATTGCAAATCATGCAAATAATTTTTATTTATTAAACACAGTTTTAAGTTCATCACAATGGAGCTAAACGATTTATCTCTCAAAATATACAAACAGACGAATCTTCTTCGTTTAAGCGTGTGAAGAAAACGCCGTCTGGTCATATATCTTAATCGCGCCCGTTTTTCGTGCAAGAATCTAAAACACAGGACCACACTTTATAGTGTCTTTGAATTCTAACATTTTCTCAAAACTAGCATTCAAAGCTAATTTTTCCACTTGAATAAACAATAACGTAAATATTACAAATTTCAAAAATGTGATTTTGTGCATATTTCAATGACAACAGAAAAATATAAGCCAAAAATTTCATCCACACCACCTTGATGTCGAGAGTTCCACAGCAGCAAGGTATTTCCTGCCTCGAACAACCACTCTGTGAAACCAGCTGCCGCTGGCAGTCTTTCCGAAACGTTACGATCTGGGAACCTCCAATAAGAGAGCATACGCTTAAAGGCCGGCAACTCATTTGTGAGCCCTCTGGTTTTGCAGGTGTTCATGGGCGGCGGTAATCACTTACCATCAGGTAAGTCTACTGCTCGTTTGCCCCTTTTCTCCGTAAAAAAAAAAACGGGGAAAAAATATTTCGAAAAGGATAACGTCCATAAAAAGTGCACCATAATTGAACATTTTTTTTTAATTTCGCAGTGTAAGAGCCACGCCACAGTCTTCGCTGTTGCACGAATGGGCAGGTCCGTCCGGGTAAGTACCAAGACCTCACAGAAGTGAATTGGAAGCGTTATGCTTTCATCTATCATAACATCTGCGTTTCATCTTGTCGGTAAGGTAGCCAGGGCCCACTTTTTTAACAGAAGGCCAATGGCATCTGCAAACCCTACTCGTATTACAAATGTCAATGGAGGTTATCACTTAACATCATGTGACCCGCCACCAGCTCGTTTGCCACCTTTTTTATGTGAGAAACATAAAAAAAACTGTGGTAAAAGCTAATGCAATATGAACCTTTACAGTTTGTGCCGGAATACAATTTAGTGTGTTTATTTTATTCCGTAACGCTCATACCCGCCTTTGATACGGCACCGAATTCCGCGGCGGAATTCCGCCGCTCCACACTTGTTCCGAACATTTACCAGTTTGCGGTTCGAGTAATAAAAGCGAGAATTTAACGTTATAACATTTTCATATTTCTCCATAGGGGTAATTTTCTGGAGTTGATTTTGTATCGTTTTAATTAGAGGCATAATATCTCTTTGCCATCAGAAATATTGAAGGCTTCTTATATATTTCTAAGAACAAATTGTATAAAATTTGTTGCGAGAAATATCAAAGAAGACCGGAGATCTTAAGGGTATAAAATAATGTGTGATAAAATATCAAAATAAAATATAGATATGAAATTATTTTCTTTTTCTGGTTTCAGTTGATACTATTTTAACCATTAAACCAATTTTATTAATATAAAATAATATTTTTATCATTGTAGTCAGCATCTTTTCTGAGTGACTAATTTTAAATTTATACTAGCTGCTGCCCGCGACTACGTCTGCGTAGAATAGGCTGAAGGCGTAACATTCAGACAGAAATACAGATATGTATGTAAATTATAGCTTATGTCTTATTCTGATGTTTACGCTATATTATTGTAAAGTTTCATTAAAATCCATTCAGTAGTTTTGGCGTGAAAGAGTAAGATACATCCATCCATACATACAAACTTTCGCCTTTATAATATTAGTAAGGATTTCCTAGTCCTTTCGTATCACGGCCCAGGATAATAATTTTAAAAGTACTGAAAATAACAAAACTACTTTAATTCAAAATATTGCAGAATGTACAGTATGTGTTGACTTTAACAACTTAGGTACTCTTTGAGTTCAATGCATCCCCATCGACTAGAATTTCAAAGGCATTCCCTCATTGCATGGAATAGAGCCCGACCTCCGTAGAGGCGATCTATCAACTTTACGTTTAGGTATTTCCACGACAGCGATGTAGATGGAGTGACTTCAGTTCAAAAGGTCTACTAGATAACCGTCAGGTTCTGTGCTACCGTCAGTATTATTCCCTGAACTATTTTCAGGGCATGTTTTACTAACTCTATTATGTTCAGTATAATCATCAATGTTTAATGATATAACTTTACTTTAAAAACACATTTATAAGATATGTATTAAATGTGGAATAAATAGTACCGATAGGTAAGTTAGAGTAATAATATGTGACGCACATTTTGAATTTGCATGGATGTCAGTTTTCAGTTTAAGCGCCTGCCTTTTTCCCCATCATCTAAAAAAATACTTATTTTGTTCTGTAGGACGTCTCTGATATGAAAAAATAAAAAGTAAAGTATCAGCCTATACATCTCACTGCTGGACAAAGGCCTCCTCTGTACAGAGGGTATCAGGGCATAGTCCACCACGTGGCCCCACTGCGGATTGGCGGACTTCACATATCTTCGAAGTTTTTGGTATTAAATCGAAAATATGCAGGTTTCCTCACTATGTTTTCCTTCACCGCTGAGCACGTGATACTTCGGCACTTAAATTTAACAACCTCAGTGGTGACGGCACCGGGGATCGAACTCAAGTAGCTCGAGTATATTGAATTAAAGGCAAGCGCCCGGACACTGAGCTATCACGGCTCTGATATCGACTGAACCTTCAATGTAAAAACAACAATCAATGTTCAACTTACGAGACTAGATTATAATGGGTCTACAGACGGTGCCATTGACTGCAATCATGTCAAGGCATGATCTTTTACTTGAAACGTGTCTAATTTATCGAATATATGAGATAACATCTGATTAGCTTATATTCAAATTACATAAAGCAATCAATAATTTATAAAAATACAGCTATCTAGTAAGTCCCGGTAAGAGCGGTGTGAGGATCAATTTTTACGAATGCTTAAATTGCTATTTAAACGAATTCTCTCATTTACGACAATAATCTTTACAAATTATTGTATTTTTAAATCTTGTAAGTGTAATTATACTACAATACTTACTACTCCATGAAAGATACCTAAAAAGGTTTTTTTTTAAAGCGTATCTTTAGTTATTATGTTAATAATACTTGGATTAATTTGATTGATATTGTTAAAAGAAAATTGGAGTACGGCAGCTAAAACCATACCAACAAACATTGTCGTTAAACCTGCATTGCACCAGATAATTCTTTCTATAGGAACAGTATAATGTGTCACAATAAGAGGGGCTTATGTAAAACTAAAATGAATGTGGAATTTATAAATATTAAACGGTTAACCCCGGACTCATTTCCCGTCCAATTTCATGCACCTTATATGAAAATTCAACGGCGGGAGATTTCGTGGCTGTAACACAATCGTTGTATTGTATTCCCACCTGGAAAGGTGCCCGATTGGCAGCATGAATTTTATTTAAAGCAAAAGTTGTTTGAAAACTAAAAAAAAAACTTGTAGCAACAACAACTGTTATTGTTCGCTGTTATTTTGATTTTATTTTTGAATGACATTCCTATTGCGTTATTGTAAATGTAAGTAGCGGTTTAATCTTTTCAGTAATATAAATTTGATACTCACAGACAGCAAAGACTGTCACATGGCCCTACGATGCGACGGTCTTTGAACGGTCTACCACCGTTCGGCTTTGCCAGGATTCGAGCCTGCGTATTCCGATTAACGCTCCCAGACGCACTAAACACTAAGCTAAGCCGTCGTATATCCTCATCGCGCGAAAAGAAAGACGTTTATCAGTACGCAATACATTTCCTTTTTTTAAAGTTGCTAACGAATCTGCAACTACAACATCGGCTTCTGCGCCGAGGGTCATGGGTTCGATTCCCACAAGGGACAAGTATTTGTGTGACTCACAGACAATTGTCCCGGCTCTGTTATTCCTCCCAAGAAGAGTTGACCAATACCATTAACAATGGGCAGAGGTCATCACTTAATATCAGGTGTACCACCTCCTAGCTTGCCAATTTTTGTTATAATAACTGTCAGAGTTTTGAGTTACCTTCAAAAACTTCGGCATCAAGGACTGACAGTTTAACAGAAGTTTTAAATTTTTTTCATCCTATATTTAGGAAGCCTTTTTGGGCGCAAAGATTAATGGCCTGTCAGCAAGGCTCTGAGTTTGTGGTCCATTATATAGAGAGCGAAGGATATTGCGAAGTCTTGCTACCTTTGATGCAATCGAGCTATTGTTCAACGCGAGTCCAGTCCACTACACAATAGGTATAGTTCTTTCTATTTTATCGATCCTGTCGTTATTTGAGCTGAGCGAATTTTTCAGCTGTCACAGCCACCAGAACGTATTTCATCTTGTAGTTCAGGTTTCATGGCTTGGTAAATCAATGAGTGATGAGAATAAGTGACAATCTCTCAATCTGAATCGACCGACTAGTTTGTATTGAATTGATATTACCCTGTACCTATATAACCCTTAAATCCTGATCTATATCGCTATTCCGATACGCCAACCACCGAGCCATCAGTGACTGCATAAGAACAAATACGAAGAGATTTGAATTGTTATTGTAACAATCATAATTATAAATCACTAATTATTGTTTGATAGTATTCACGCGTTCAATTTGTTGCAATAAAGTGTGTTAAATCTGTTAGAAATAATAAGACTTACAAAATATCAACAAAATAAACGTTATATTATTACTGCTTGCGAGAGAATTGCAACGGCTGAGTACAGTCTAAAAGCGTTTCGCAGGAAATAGCTTTGTGACATATTTTTTTGCCAAATCGTTCAACGTTGCTAGAATTTCCCCAAATGTCCGAAGGATTGCATTGACATAATTTTGTTTTACTATTATCATAATAGTTTATTCAGAAGTCTTTTTATAATATTTTCTGTCTCCATAAATTTTACATTGCACACTATTGTAATTAAATTTCTGATTAACTTGGTCAGTTTATATATATTCAACGCCAAGATCAATAGATATCACCTCGAGTGCGTGTAAATTGATCGATAAGACATTTATTGATATTAATTATGTTAAATTTCTGATAAAAGTGTATATTATTATATACCACTTTATTTAGTCCGGATTACGAATGATAATTACAGATTATGGCCCCAATGGCATTTTAATCTTTACTTATCTTTGATATAAATGTTCTAAAAGCCAACTTTTGAGAATTTTGTGCACATGGGACAAGAAAATATTCAAAAGTTCATGTAAAGCGTGGTAGGGCCACGTAACAGTCTTCGCTGTTGCACGAATGGGCAGGTCCGGGTACAAGTACAACGACCCTATAGAAGACTGGCTTGAACTGGAAGTGTTATACTCCTCTGTTTCGTCTGGTGAGTGAGGTAGCCGGGGCCCACTTTACTGGAAGGTGGCTAAGTATTTGTAGTTCTACATTGGGTGTTGCAAATGTATCAGCGAGCATGCATCAGCTCCTGTTGTTACGTGGGAAATCCTACGGTCTCACCGTTTTAAAGATGGCCAAAGCATCTGCGAGTCCTCATATGTTATATATCTTCATAGGCGGCGGTGATTACCTAACATCTGGTGAACGCGCTGTGCAACTTTTCACATATAAAATGCATATTTAAGATGTGATACTTCAGGCCATGTTCAAAAATAATGAAGAAATGGCTTATCCAGCGTCACGGCAACGAGGTCATCATCCACTCTCTTCATTATCTCTTACGCTTACGGTCTATTTTAGTAAAAGACGACTAAGCGGCTATTAGCATTTTTGCCCGTCAACAAATGACACGGCACAGCCCGGAGCCTCGTTACTCCCGTATTATTTAGTACGTACCGTAATTTGTCTCCTAACCGACGACGATTACCGATCCGGTAATAGCTGACGGCGCATCCGTCCGCTAGTGACGGGCCGAGTGCACTCCGCGTACCGCATTTACGAGTTTACGGTATTCCGTAACGCCGCATCCAACTAGATATTGCGGCGGTAAGAGCCGCGCCCCAGATTTAAATTCGAAACGCTTTTACGAAAGCGCAGCGCTCGCTCGTAATGTTGCGAGGAAGAGGGATTATTATTTTATGAGAGTAACGCGATAAGTGATTCAAAATGCAACAGAACACTATTTAAATTCCTTTTATCAGCCGTTAAAATTTTATTAAGTATTATGGTATAAAACGTTTGCAGTAAAAAGCAATGTGAATTGCTGTGCATATAAATATAATAGCAAGCAAAAAAACGGTAAATGATATTGCTATCTGTTTGCGTCAGGCGCTTTACAGGCTGTTGTTATTATTTATATGATTTACGTTAAAGAAAAATAGAGATAGTGTGCATTGGTCTATTAAAAGCATCTCGGCGAAAATCTCTGTAAATACGGTTTTTCCTAAATACTTAAAAAACAGAGTGAACGATCATGTTTTTATATATTCACATTTGTTTGTGAATTTATGGTCACTATCATTAATTTAATCTCGCAAATTAAAATACTGGATTAGATTTCTCTTAATTACACTCTAATTTGTGCCATTTAAAAAAAATCATAAAACCACGTACCAAATCCAGAAAAATTCGGTACAAAGCCGATGCCACGTCCCAGCTCTATCCCTACAAGGTCACGGTTTACGGTAAACGATCATTAGTGGGCCAATCTCGGTTGACATGTGGTTCATCGTGTTCGCATTAGCGGTGGCCGTTTTGGTGGCGGGGGACCCACCGGGGCCATGGTGGGGTAGCGCAGTGTATTACAGGATCCTGGTCGACTCCTTTAAGGATGGCGACGGTGATGGCTTGGGCGATTTGTTAGGTAACTCTTCAAAATTACATTTCAAAAAGTTTGTTGTGACATCAAAATACATTCAAATGAAGCGGCTTAGTAGCTTACCAGTAATGATAGGTACTTTCTGCGTTGAGCATTTACATTCTGAGGGTTAGAGAAGGTGTGTCACAGGCTTTCGCTTTTTATTTTAATATATTATTATTCATGTTTATGTCTGTTTCAGAATGCAATCAGCTAAGTAAACAAAGAAACGTTTCAACGTACAAGCTCATTTAATAGACATATGTGTATTTATCGAATTACCCGGATGATTAAACTATAGATAGTTTTATCAAACTTAAGTAAATTCGTCTATTTAACTGTACTTTACGGAAATTTATTATGTATTTATTTTTAATGCTAGTGTAATCCAAACCGATATTATAAAATGAATATTATTATCAATCGAGAGCTTATAATTATATATAAACCAAACACCCTTTAAACCCCTTTAACGTCTAGTTGAAAAAAGGATACCCTCCTTTTTTCAACTAGAAAAACCAAACGCAAATCCCGATAACTTTTCACTGTTAGGATTAACGTAAATGTCGATAAGTAAACTCGACCTGATTTAATGAGGCATGTTAGTTCAATTTACATCAGAATTGTCATAAATATTACGAAAATCTTATGTATAAATCGAGTCGAATTTATACTTTTTGCCCGTCAACCAAAGACAAGCACAGGCTAGATGCATACAAGACAACCTGCCGGCTATCAGGGCGTCCATTACGCTATGCTATCTATTCACTAAAAATGAATTATATTAAAAGATGCAAATCATCTCGGCACGTGTACAGCCGCAATGAGCACTCGTCGACACTTTTCTTTAATTAGAACAATAACTCTCTCGGGTTAAGCGTTGCTAATTAATGCTCTAATTAACTGGATTTAATTGCAGGTGCGGCGAAACAGATGAGCTACGTGCGGGCGCTGGGCGCCGACGCCGTCATTCTCACGCCGCTCTCTTCTAAGAGCACGGACTGCAGCCAGCCGGGAACCATCGACTTGAAGCAGATAGATCCTCGGTACGGTGATGTGGACAAATTCGTCAGCCTCCTGAAGAAGGCCAGCAAACTGGGTAACTCCTAAATTGCGAACTTTTATTATTATGCCTTCGCTTTTCGTTAGTTAAGTGAGGTAACTGGAGTCCACGTTTTTAACGGACAGCAACGCGTCAGCGCTGATGATGTTGTCAATATGAGCTAACTTTAACATTTTTTTTAAACTAATGTTAATATAATTAAAACAAAATAGCCTTTTTACGGTGATAGGACCACGCAGCAGCCTCGGCTGTTGCACGAATGGGCAGGCTCGTCCGGCAAAGTACCACAACCGGCAGAAGACCGGCGTAAATCGGAAGTATGATACTTTCGCGTTTCGTTTGGGGAGTGAGGTGGCCGGAGCCCAATTTTCAAAAAGGTTGTCAACGCATCGACAAACTCTCGGGTGTAACAGATGTCCATAGACGGCGGTATTCACTTTACATCAGATGAACCGTCTGCTCGCTTGGCAACTTTTCACATAAAAACGCCTATTATGTACTATTAGCAATTGTAAAACTAAGATTAATATAATTAAAACCCCAAAGGAGCCTTGTGCTCCACTGAGACTTAGTTAGTAGCGAAATACTTGAAACGCGAGGCGTACACAATACCATCGCTTAAGGAGCACCCCAACTTCCCCAATTACTATTTACATTCGGCAATTCGTAGTGCATAAATTAAGTGACGCCTCGTTTGCCCCCCGCAGAGCTTAAAGTGGTAATTACGTTGCAGTTAGAAACAATTAGCGTTGCGTCCGAATGGTTTAAGTTGAGCGCAGGCCGCGCCAGGGGATACGAAGACATGGTCCTGTGGAAGGAAGACGAGACACGAGCGGTGAGTTCTAAGCATCAATGTGGTAGTTTCGCGAACTTGCGTCGGTATGTTTCCTACTTAACCCAGTATGTTGGTTTATATAATAGTAGAAATGATATTGAGGTCAACACTGAGCGTACATTTGTAATATTTTCTCGTTCCCCACCGTTATAGCGACGGTTGAAGTGTCTACGCCGGATTTGAGAAAGTATAATGGATGAAAATATCACGTAAAGACTGATGAATAACGCTTTCGACACGTAGCTAATCGGTTCGCAGTTAATTTAATAATGCATTTTGAAGACAAACCTTTGCTCCGTCGTTATTTTCTGTATAATCGCATGTTATCGCTATTGTCACTTAGTAAGGTTATCGGAACGAAACATCCTAAAGCAACAACAAGATTGGTTCGAAATGGCGCTATATGATGGTGTTATGCAAAAACCGGTCTAAATTATTTCCAGTTGGCGAAAAATTCCAAAAAAATTTTTTGTTATTTAAAATAAAACCTATGAATAGATCATGTTTCAGTGCACATTCCAGGTACACTGAAACGAACACGAATCGACAAAGAGAAAAAATCTAAATAGACGGGTAGGAGTGAAACAGTTTTGTCGTTAAATACTGTTTGAAAAATATGTCCAACAAAGACATACGACTTACAAGGGGACAAACTGCACGCTGGTCCAAAGAGTTAAAGGTGGGAAGAACATCCACTGAGGAGGAACACCGCGAAAGATTTCCATCCACGTCCCCCACTAAAGACAGGAACAAGTTGAAGACAACAGGAAACACGTCGAAGAAGTCGTGTTGGTGGATCGAAGAGTGACCTTCATGCATGTAGCTAATCACACTAAAATCTCATGGAAAACTTTCGGAAGAAATTAGCGAAATAATGGCCATTAATTAGCGAATTAAAAGCCACTATAAAGGCATTTTGGATACTATCATACAAAGATTTTTTTTTTCTAATGATAATGGGTATAAAAATATAAAAAATATGAACTAAATGTATTAACTTGTTGGGAGACAATAACTGTGTTTTTGATATAGGAGTTAATTAAATCATTATGTTTGCAACTTTTAATTAATTAGGAGTAGGTATAAGTCAAGATATTGTATACTTAAGATGTACAAAAGAATGTTAACCTGTAAAGTAAAGTAACAGCCTATACATGTCCCACTGCTGGGCAAAGGCCTCCTCTATACAGAGGGTATCAGGGCATAGTCCACCACGCGGCCCCACTGCGGATTAGCGGACTTCACATATCTTCGAAAAATATTTTTTTTTGTTATTATTTCGAAAATATGCAGGTTTCCTCACGATGTTTTCCTTCACCGCGGAGCACGTAAGCGGAGCGCGGAGCGCGGATAAGTCAGCACTTAAAGTTAAAAACTTCATTGGTGCCGGCACCGGGGATCGAACTCAGGTTGCTCGAGTATATTGAATTAAAGGCAAGCGCCCGGACACTGAGCTATCACGGCTCTGTTAACCTGAGGAAGTTTATAATCAACTAGTGACCCTCCCCGGCATCTCACGGGTGCAATGTATTATAAATATAAACCTTCCTCTGGAATCACTCTATCTAATAAAAAACCGCATCAAGATCCGTTGCGTAGTTTACATAGGGACAGACAGACAGCGGGATGACTTTGTTTAACACCATGTAGTGATATCGGATATTTCGTAGACGGAGGACGAAAGCATTCGATGGAAATGGTCAGAGGCTCGCAACGCCTCCTCACGGTGCAAAGAACAACGAAGCTGTGTTGAATTTATGTTCGGAGAACACTGCCGCCGCTCTCGTGGAAGCCCTGTGCGTCTGGCTCAAAAGGGGAGTGGCTGGGGCAGTGCTGAAGGTAGATCACCCCCCGGATCTTGGATGCAGCGCGGCATTGGTGAAATCACTTGCGATGGACGCCGTCAGGTGTGCACGCAGCGCTAACTTGGAGGTGCCGTAAGTATTTTTTTTATGTGATCAGGTGGCAAACGAGCATAATAGCACATTTTGAGAAAGTGAACCCCGGCTACCTCACTTACCAGCCGAAAGGCAGAGGTATAACTTCCACTTCACGCTGGTCTTCTGTGAGTTCGTGGTACTTACCCGGACGGACCTACCCATTCGTGCATACAGCGAAGACCAATTCATCAGACAGCGATGACAATTTATTGCGTGACCCTTAATTAAACCTTTTTAAAACGCCTGTCACCCTACGATTTTGCAAATGTCCATGGGCGGCGGTTATCACTTAACGACAGGTAAACCGTTAGCTCGATTGCCACCTTCAGACATAAAAACTTGAGAATAAGTCAAATTACTGTACTACCACCACGCCCAAGTATACGTACTTTTTAAGTACACTGTACACTAATCGATGTGAGAAATTGACAGGGGAAATGGCTAAACCTAGTGTTATAATAATGATGGCTACAAGATTACTACTACCGCCACTAGCGCCAGCTTGTATAATTATAATTATACACAAGCCGATGAGCGCGAAGATTATGTCCCTAACAAAATTATACACCAGTCGATGAATACAATTTCCATAATCCGTTTATATTTCATCCTGAACAATATTATAATAACAGTCTTCATTTGTTTAAAAAAATGTAGATACGACAAATGAACAAAAACACCGCAGGGTAATTATCATGCTTTATTGTATTCGTGGCTTTTCGTGTTTGTGTTATTATATTAACTTGTATAGATAAAATATTAAAGAATAACAAAAACGATGACCTCAATGTGTCGACCTATATGAACGGAATATATTTACATACTAATTTAAGGGTCAGCGATACATCGGAGGACGGAGACAGCGTCGTGCGATAAAAGCGTCAGTCAGTTTTAACAAACCTATACCGGACAAATACTTTTATTCGGTACTAGCTGTGCCCGCGACTTCGTCCGCGTGGAATTTAAAATAAAAAAAAATCTAAAACAAAAGTAGCCTATGTTACTCCTTATTACATCAGCTATCTGCCAGTGAAAGTCCCGTCCAGATCGGTCCAGCCGTTTCCGCGATTAACCGGAACGAACAGACAGACAGACAGACAAAAATTGTAAAAAAAAATATTTTGGTATATGTATGGTGGATACATCCATATGCATTTAGTAAAAAGCGGCTATTTTAATGATACAAACTGACACTCCAATTTTATTTATCTGTATAGATATCGATTAAATACCGCGCTAGTGACGAGAAATCTAGCGTAAGCACTCGCGTTCTTAACCCTTGACGGATTATGACATTTTTTTGTATTTTTAGGGAGCTAATTAAGTTCTTTCTGCTTAACTTGGGTGTATGTCGGTCGACATTATCATATGAATTGTATTACATTCCACTGGCAACATTGCCTAATATAATAACAATTACATTCCTAATAAACATTAAATCATACGTAGTATAACATTATGTAATAATACATGGTAAATAATAATTTATAATTTAGTAAGCCGAATTGATTAGCAGAAATTATTGTAATTTTATGAATGGTTTGATTTGGAGTGTGGTTGTAATAACTCATTTGTTTTTGTATTATAAGCGCATGAGGTTTTTTTAGTTTTAGAAAGGAACTTTCTTATCTTTTGTACAGACGTCACTCTGTCCTAATAACTAGGAAGGAGCCTAATCCTTACTAATATTATAAATGCGAAAGTAATTCTGTCTCTCTGTCTACTGAACCGATTTAAATAAAATTTGGTACCGACACAGATAGACTAGATCCTGGGAAAGGCACTAGGCTATTTTTTAATTGTAAAAAAGTGTTGTAAAGGGTTGAAAGATATTTATTTAAGGGTTAAAACGCGAGCGAAGCAGCGAGTAAAACTAGTTAATGTATAAAGTTGTTTACGCTATTCTTACTATTTTATTTTGGCCAACCAACCTACAGGCTTTAGTAAAGTGACTTGGGGCTTTCGCTATTGGGATTTTAGCAAACGATCCAAAATCTTGAATCGACCTCCTAACCACTAGGTCACGACTTTCCAGCCACTTTTAACTCATCGACAGCATAAGAAAAGACATTTAGAAGTAGAACCTTCGATGAAACGTAAATTTCACAGAAATAGATCTTTCAGACGGTCCAGTGAGTATGGAAAGGGTTCGAAACATGGGGAATTTAAAATCAAACCGTAAACTAGTCTCGTTCAAAATTGTAAAATATTCGCGTAAAAACTAAAAATCATTAACTAATAATCTTTATACGTTATAGCTAAACGTAGTAGTAGCCATTAAGCTCTTAAATATATTGAAGACATCTATTCTATCTCTCTTATTATTATATACTAGCTGCTGCCCGCGACTGCGTCCAGATATACAGAAAAATATGTATATATATTATAGCCTATGTCTTATTCTGATGTATAAGCTATATTATTGTAAAGTTTCATTAAAATCTATTCAATATTTTTTGCGTGACAGAGTAATAAACATTCATCCATACATACAAACTTTCGCCTTTATAATATTAGTAAGGATGGTAAGGATTTTGAAGTTTATAAGCTATCAAACGTAACGTTACGGTGTTAAGGTGCCGGGTTGTTCTAATTAAAATTTCTGAACAAAATCGCCTTAATTTTTTACTGAAATTTAATACTGAACTTCTGCGAAACTGCGGGCGACAGGTGGAAACTAATAAATAAGAAAATTAACTTTACTATCCTTGCTTACTCACTGCAGTTTACAAAACTTGTATATGAAAAGCAAAGAATCACGGGCAACTCGCAAACTTTACATAATTAAGCTGTTAAAGAGCACGCGGGCGGACGTAAGTACGTGAATCTCAAGTGCCACTGGCAATTACGGAGACTGTAAATAAACGGGCGGAAAAAGCGCCCCTTGCCGTATCATTACTGGCCGGCTTCCAGATGTTTCGCGTAATAAACGGGCGACTTAATGCATCACTTCCCGCCCGTGCAGCGTGACCGTCGTGGAGACAGCGCTGGACGCCGCTGCGGCCGAGCTGTACGCGGAGGCCGGCGCCAATAGCGTGATAAGTAAAGCGCTGACGGCGCTGGATAGACCGAGCGCCGCTGGCTTGGCACTGGCAATGCACGCGACCGTGTTGTTCTCCCCGCAAGATGGGCCGGCTTGGACGGTGAGTCGCTATATTGCAGCCGTGTATTCGGAGCACGTACTGATTGCGTCTTATGTTGGACGCAACGGTTATTAGCGTCTGCCGCAGTAGGACGTTCGGGGCATGGTCGTCTACTGAATATCGATTGTACACTATCCAATATGTTGTGTCTATTATTATTGGATTTTGCGAATGCGGTCTCGCTCATATAGGGCAAACAATAGGATCTCTTAACACCTGCCTACGGGAACACTATTGCTTGAAGGTTAAAAATCTACAGTTCATGACTTCATCATAGACCCCCCAAACCCCCCTTTAAATTTATTAAATCGCGAATCTAATAAAAGGCCATCAAAGAAATTAATGTGATTGAAAATGTGAATGAAAAACCCTATGAATGATTTGAGAGATTAACGAAATATAAGAACATCTTTACTTCATTTGAGGTCGAGGTAGCAGGGCTGTATTTAATTAAACCCAAGCATGCCAACTCTCCATCTGCATTGATTTGACTAAATTGATAAAAAAAACCTTACCGTAGCCCGGCTGAACGATTTTTTGTTATATGATTTAAATTGTAAAAAAACGTCTTTCTCTTATAGTACCCTACCATAAAGATACATAAAAAAATTTGTTTTTAATTGTATTTGCGATTCTACTACCTAATAATATATAATATATACCCGGGAAATATTTAAGTATCTATTAGGCAACTCGATAATATTCTTATAAATTCTGGTAAAAGTCCGAATGTACCATTTCAATAAAGAACTTTAATTTTCTAAAGTTATTATTGTCTATAAATTAAAGAAAAATATCACTTAATGACAAAATTGAAATCGGAGATATAACAATATATTGAGACGGAGCAGACACTAAAACCCCTCAGATTCCGAACGACTTAAAATAATGCACGCTAAGCATGGAACTTTCGTCCTTACAGACCAGCGAGACGGACGAAAATCGCATAGCGACCAGGTACGGCAGCGACATAGTGGACGCCATTAACATGCTGGCTTTGACCCTACCCGGGGCTGCCATCATCCAACAAGGTGATGAGCTCGGCGCGGCAGACACGCTCCTGGAATGGTCTACCACTACAGACTGTTGGCCAGTTAAGATGACCCCCGCCGCTGCACCGTTCCCTTGGGACGACGGGCCTAGCGCGGGGTTCTCGACGGGACAACCCTGGCTCCCTATTGCACCGAACTATAGATACGCCAACGCTAAGACGGAATTCGCTAATGATTTTAGCCACGTTGGTGTGCTGAGGGTCGCTGCTGCAATGAGGAGGTCCCCGGCTATGGGTCCCCATGCAGAGGTAAGGTCTTTGAGAGAAAGGCGACAGAAAGACAGCTAAAGAAAGAGAGGAAGAACGATGGAGGGCATAAATTTAATATCTAGTCTCCAAATATATTTTTTGTATGTAAAGTCTGCACGCGCCACTCGCTTCATCTGACGTTAGGTGTTTACCGCCGTGCATGAGCATCTATAACACCTAAGGGCCATATGCATTGATAACTTCAAAAAAAGTGGGCCCCGGCTTCCTCAATCAATCGACGAACCGTGAAAGTATCACTCCCACTCCTACATCACGATGATCCTTCTGTGAGGCCATGGGCTACCCATTCGTGCAACAGCCGAAGATATTGAGTGGTTTCACTACAGCAATGTTATTCCGTGTCTGGTTTTCAAAAACTTCTTTATTTGAAAAGCTGTCAAGCGGTTAATGTGTTAAATGAGTACCGCCTATGGACAGCTACAACACTCGACGGCTGGCTGATGACAACCTTTAAAAAAAGTGGGCCCCGTTTACCTCACTCACCAGACGCACACTTCACACCGGTGAGGCCATGGTACTTCCCAAGACGAGGTTACCCATTTGCGCAACAGCATAAGCTATTGCGTTGCCCCAAACCTCTTCACGTTAAACACCTAGGCGACGAGGTGAAAAAACTTAGCCAATACTAACAATTATGATTCCCACGTGATGCCGAATCCAGATTGGATAAAAGCAGGAGTTTAAAGGATTACGATTGTCGATGCGGAAACTATGCAAAAGACTTGCAAGGATACATCGCTTGGATAGTACGCCAGGCTGGCGGTGACGTCAGAGCGTTTTCTCTTAGCGGCTCCTGGCAAACGTGTGCTCGTTCCGAATTTAAATTCAAAGTTGCTACATGAGAATAATGGGATGCAGGCCGCAACGAAGCCCTTATTTATGCCCGAGTGGGTATTTTCACATCGCTTAATCCTTGCGAAGCGGGCAGTCGCAGACGGTCCCGCGGTTTAAATACTAGCGTAATAAGACACTAGTTTGCCGTGCACAGTGCACGCTCTCCTTTACCTTGGTACATTTACGGATCTGGTAATTTAAGTATATACATAATGTAAAAAATTTGCAAAATATGTATAACTTTTTTTTAAACTCTCATGCATTTATAAGCAACAGTTACATATAGTTTTTAACAGGTCTAGAAGTTTTTTTGAGAGTATGATTAGTTTAGAGTTTTGTTTAAAAATTAGTAAATTAAGTTTCGTATGAACACGGTAAAAGAAATCCAACTCAGAAGTAGATTAGAATAGAAGTGAGCTGGTGAATCATCTGATGGATCATCAGACGACCCGAATGGCGTAGTCGGTAGTGTACCTGCCTTCTGCGCCAGAGGGTGTGGGTTCGATCCCCACTACTGGAAAAATATTGTGTGGTGAGCTTAGTGTTTTTCTAGTGTCTGGGTGTTTATATATGTATAATGTGTATTTATTTACAAAAGAAAAGTATGTTTAAATATGTCTATCAGTTTTCTAGTACCCATAGTACAAGCGTTGCTTAGTTTGGGACTAGAGAATGTTGTGTAAAAAATGTGTCCTAAAATATTTATTTATTATTCATTTATTTTAAGTGATAGCCGACCAGACCCGTAGCGTTGCATATGCGTTTTCGCCTTTTAATAAAGTGGGCCCCGGTTACCTCACTCGCCAGATGAAACGCAGAAGTGTAACACTTCCACGTCACGCAGGCTTTCTATGAGATCACGGTACTACCCGGACGGACCTACCCATTCGTGCAACAGCGTAGACTGTTGCGTGGCCCTGCCACAATGCTCGGATTTTAAAAGGAAATAACGCTATTATTCGCTTTGTATTATATTAAAACATATTATTTCCAACAGCATAAATGCAGTCCAGTTTCGTGTTTCAGAGCATTTCGTGATATATTAGCCGTCGCTGTTATTTGGAGAATGCGCGTTGCTCCACGGAAAATGTGCAAGCACTTGTCAAAGGCATTTTCTTTTGCAGCCTCTCCCAGAAACCTTTGCTCGGGCTTCTGGAAAATCAACGCTCACTTTAAACTTGATATCTTTTAATGTAATGCGCTAGATCGTCGGAAGTACTTGCTATTTCAACATCCCTATTAGTTTAAAGAGGTTGTTTTTAATATATATACTGTTACAAATACTGTTATAATTTAAAAAAAATAAATCACCTATTTTTTTTAATTATAAAGATATATTTATCGCATTATCAACAGAATTGATCCATGAAAATGTTTAAGATTAAATTATCATTACGAATCATTTGTATGTACATAATTTATAGTCGTCTCTATCAGAGTATACAGAGGTAACTACGTCAGCTCACGAAATTTGCGAGCAGTCTGCCATTTAAGAAAGGGATCCCGTAGGCGACATGCCATAATTTACGCACGCATGAGTACAGGCGCGGCCCTACCCGCTGAGGAGGGCCTCAAACCCGTGGGTTCTGGCTAGCCCACCGGTTCTGCGTTCGATGATGCTTTAATAGTCTAAGGACTGAAAGCATAACAGCAGTTATACGAAAGGCACAAACATAGACAGGGATTTTTCACACTCGGAAATCCAAATAATGGAGACTGCTGGATTAAACCAAACTGGCTTTTTATGGAATTACACATATCATACACAATGGTAGAACTAGTCTTTTGACGGAATATGAACGCTCAAAAATTAAGAGGTAATAACGATACGGCAACAAAGTTCAAACCAGTGAAATTTCAATCCCAACTCCAAAGCGACGTTATAGTTACTAGGCTATCACGGCAGACAGAAATTATAGGTTGACCTTGTTATGCAATGTCATCATCATCATCACCCTCCTGCCCTCATCCCACCTATGTGGGGTCGGCACGACATATGAATCATGTTGTAAGCGGTTTTGGCTATATCTTTATACGACCAGCCGCCTGCCTGACGTCAAGCCTCCTTGGGAAACAAACACCCATATCGGGAACAACTATCTGTGGGTCGCACAAACAGTTGTCCCCTGTGGGAATCGAACGAAGACCTCCGACGCCGAAGCCAATACCTTGGCAACGGTGCCAACGAGTCAATATCCAATGTATTGAGGGAAAATATTAAGCAAATACACAAGATAGATTTAAACATTAGTTTCAGTAAGAGATTGACAGCTTTTATAAAAGTAGTTTATTATCAATCTTATTTGTTAAGTAGAAACAAACGTAGGAGAGTTATGATATTTGAAAACCGGCCAAGTGCGAGTCGGACTCGCGTACAAAAGATCGTGTACCGTTATCTATCGGCAAAAAGATCATGTCTATTCCGTTTTTTAGTATCGTTTGTTATAGCGGCAACATAAATACATCATCTGTGACAATATCAACTGTCTAACTATCAGAGTTCATTAGATACGACCTGGTAACAGACGGACAGACAGACAGCGGATTCTTAGCTTTGGTAGGGAACCCTAAAAAGAAAAAAAAAACTGGACCTCTCCGCTAATTTAACAGTTCTTGCTTAATACTACTAAATTTCTCTCAAAATATTGTGTACTTAAGCATCCTACTCTTGCAATTAATATTTTTTTATCTATTGTGCAGCTCCACGATACAAAACTATTAAAACCATTCTTTAGTATATTAAAAATAATTCTTAAAACATGTTAGGTATCTTTTTGCGTAATAATGACTATCTGTCCACAAGAAGTCCGAAGGAATGTCCGATCGGTTGAAAACAAAATGTTAATAATTTCAGATACAACGCTTGGGAGATGCAATCGCAATATTAAGATGGGGTGGCGCCGGCTCTCTGCTCAACGTTGCCAACTTGGGCCGAGGTGCCGTCGACGTCCAGCTGTCCAAGATTCCTGGTCTGCCGTCCGTCATGTCGGTAGCAGCCAGCTCTAGCGGTTCGAGCGTGTCCAGCGGGTCCCACGTGACCATAGATAGGGGCATTAGACTCAACGCGGGCGAATCGGTCCTAATGGCCGGACCGCCCAGACATTGTGGTGGGCCCGGACCGGTGGACAAGATCGCCAACAAGCTATCCGAGGGTTGGCAGAGGATCAACAAGTACTTCAGCGGTGCATAACCGTCCTACGCATCTTTTGATAGCGACAGCTCTAGATTTTTACATGGCTTTGGTCATGATTTGAAACGCAAAAATGTAATCATCGTGGAAAAATAATAAATGATAAATAATTTACATTATGTTCAACCCTGGGAGGTTTCATTATGCGAAGCAGGGGAATTTTTATAATACGTCCGACCGGAGAATTTAATTTCAATCCCCGATATCTGGTGGATTAATGAAGGCGAGGCAACGCTGCCACACGAAAATAGGCCTCGCATTCCGTATCAGGGGGGAGGCCTTAAACAACAATATCCCATGCCAGTCACAAAACTAGAGCGTAGCGTAATGAATTGTATACGATATTACACGCGCGCGGGGGTGGCGCGCCACGCTTCATTTCGTATTGTCTCTATGACCTATTTCCGTTATGAGCCGCCGTAATTTCACACACATAATAGCCTCTAAATGCTCCTTTGAGCTAATCGTTTCATTCTTTCGCTAGGAATCAAATCATCGGCACCCCTTTCGGGTGTTTAATAAGGATTGCATTTTCGCGGCGGTTTTGCTGAAACAAAAATCGTTCCGTCTCACGCGTCTACGTTGACTGTACCTCCCACACCCTAATATGGACTTAATCAGGGCAATCTTCAAAATGGAGCCACGGGGGCCGCGGAAACCGCGAACCGCGCTTTCTTCAGGACCGCCAACCGCTAGGGGGCGTTGTGCGGACGCCGCTGGCTGGCTAAGTGAGGAGAGAAGGTAGAGAGGGGCAGGGGTACTTACAGAACTTGCTCTTCTCCGCGTTGCCGGGGCAGGTGGCGAACAGCGCAGTGACCAGCGTGAGGTACGCGCGCGCCTTCATGGCGGCGCGGCGCGGCGCGGGCTCTCTTGGACCCGGCGCGGTGCGGACTGCCCGCCGTGGGACCTATCGACCGGGACCCGCAACACGCATGCGTCCCACTCGCAGTGTTGCCCCCTCTAAACGATGGGGGAAATTCCGTCACGATAGTTGGGGGTTTTCAGGACTTTTTTTTTTTTTTTTTTCGATGTTCGCCTGTCCGTTTGTCCATATAGACGTGCGTTTCCTCTTTGAAGTTTTCTGATCTTGTAGTCTTTTTGTTTAACCTGCAATTAGGTGATTGTTATTGTAGGTTTATTGTGTATGTTTCTGCGAGTTTTTAATTGACTCTACTTTAAATTTATATTTACTGGACTAATTTCGCTGCCTATTTAATATCCCCGATAATCTAACAATCTCATCCATGACCTATTTCCTTCTCGGTTTTATTTGTTATTCTTAATTGTCTGTTAACGAAATTATAAAAGATTCTAATATCGTAAAGTATCGTAACATGGGGGCTTATTAAAGCTTTGCAGAAATATTTGTTCGATTTGCTTCGTCACACAACAAAGAATAAATGATTATTAAGTACGTGCCGAAAAAATTTATACAATTTTTTTCGTAATGTTGGTATTTAATAATGATAGTAAAAAAAATTTGATAATTCACGACAATTAGTTTCAATTTCAAAATTACTATTAAAAACAAGTAATTTCGAAGTATTCTCTTTAAAAAAAAAAGTTTTATAGATTCCCGCGCGTTTTTCGTATATTTTTTTCACTACTATTACTATGAATTTGTAATATGGCAACTTCTCGAGCGTACGCTACGCGAGTGCACCCTTACGGTCACTACTCGGCAATGACTCATTCCTCCAGCGAACGAATGAATGACACGGCGAAGTTTCGCGCCACCAACACATGTCAATCAATATTATACTTCGTTGCTGATTAATATTTCATGCCAGTTCGCACCCCACATAAGAAGCACATAACTATTAACGCACGTGTGCAGAGAATGTGGAAAAATTTGCATGTTTTGTTAATTCATTCGCATTTATAATGTACTAGTTGTCCCGTACAATGTTTTCTCATGGTACAGGTAGAAGTCACCGAATGGTAATATAATGTGTAAATGACAGTAAAGTAACAACATATATATTTCCCACAGCTCGGCAAAGACCTCCTTGGGCGTAGTCCACCACGCGACCGCACTGTGAATTTTTTTTCAATTATTATTTCGAAAATATGCAGGTTTTCTCAGGATGATTTCCTTCACCGCTAAGCACTTGATGAGTCAAAACTTTAAATTAACAATTTTAATCGATTTCAGTTTCGATTCGAACTCAAATTGCTAACTATACATTAATTTAAAGCGAGCGTGGACAATGAAGTAAGTAAATAAGTATACATATATTAATGAAATCCTATTACAGTTATTTTATTTTGAAGAATTTACATTCGATGGAAATTACAGTCTTCATTGAAACAAAGTGTTATTAGATCGTATCGTAATTTTTATAAAAATGTTTAATCGAAAGTTGATTTTTATCTGAAAGCATAGAGTTTTTTGTACTTGTCTATTTTGCGTCAGTAGTGCCAAATATAAGCTTTCAAATTAATTGTGTTTGAAACAATAAATTTGATGAAGAATTCTAAATGTTACGTACGCCGTACCCAAAATAACACTTTTGAGAAATAATACATAGCGATAATAATTTAAACCTGTTTTATAACAAATTTTTAAAATTATCAACACTTTTACATTATAGATTTACGATAATTTTCATCAAATAGCCGTGCATTTAAATTAATTAGCAACATTCTTTTTTAATGTGAAAAGGAGGCAAACGAGCTGGCGGTTCACCTGATGTTAACTGATAACCGCCGCCCATTTAAATTTGCAATACTCGTAGCTCTGTGAAGTCGTGGTACTACGGAAGCACCTGGAAGTACCCAGACGGACTTGCCCATTCGTGCAATAGCGAGGACGTGTTGCGTGGTCCTATCACAGTGCGGAAATTTAAAAAAAGACTAATAAACTTAATATCAAACGTACCATTCAATATTGGTTGGCTCAGACGGACAATTCGTAATTGAAGCAACTGATTGTCAGCAGCATACTTTTACATTTTCCCATTTGAAGTTAAAGAGTTGTCCGAGACAGCCGAAGCAGTGTGTTGTGAACGCAGTTTAGAATGCGCCGGAACGGCTCTTGCATTCACTCACCTGTTGATACAAACGGAAGCCGAAAATCCGACATACTGCGCAACCACCTATACTTCCGGCACGTCAAGGCAAAACCCTGACGTTGTGCAGTGGACAGTTTTATTATAACCTAGTCGTCTTCGAAGCAAGAGTGAGTGGGCTTGTACTGAGCTAGCACACTCACTATCGTCGGCTGCTTTCGACTTAGCATCAGGTAGGATGGTCAAGCGCCGGCCAGTATCGAATAAAAAAAGCTATTTATAGGTTCTATCACCTTGCTACAACTCCGGTTGGGTGATCTCTTTTCTACGTTTAACCTCAAGTCAATAACAATAAGATGAGTCCGTGGCGCTGTTGCCAAGGTATTGGCTTCGGCGTCGGGGGTCGTGGGTTCGATTCCCACACGGAAGAACTATTTGTGCGACCCCCAGATAGTTGTTTCGCATCTGGGTGTTTGTCCTCGTGAAATTTATGTTGCGTGGAACTGCCACCGCTACGCTAGATTTTCCTTAATTTGGATATAATACTATTTACCTTGACCCAACAGACTCTCACGAAATATTTTTCTGTTTTCATTAATTGTCGACGATAATAATAAAACCTCTCTATTTACCAAATGACTGAAAGATTTGCGTACCGTGTAAATTAATAATTTTGAACAAAAAAACCCGACTTCAAACAGGAAACTAAAAACGTTGTCAACACCTATGACATTTGAGGATTGTCCTTGATTTCTCTGAGATGCCATTATCAGATCCGGTATTTCCTTATCATGGAACCATCCTTGGGATATCTCCTTTCCAACAAAAAATGAATCATCAAAATCGGTTCATAAATGACGAAGTTATCCGCGAACACACATAAAAAAAAATATATACGGTCGAATTGAGAAACCTCCTTCTTTTTTGAAGTCGGTTAAAAATAATGTTGTATAACACAAAATTTGACAGTTTATTAAAGTGGGGTATTTTGTTGAACCTTAAAACAACCTTCCTCAGTATATTCGTACAGGTTCGTAAGAACCATCTGTGATCTTTATAACTGTTTTTCAATTGCCTAATCTTCATCTCTTGATGTGTAATGTACATCAAGATCCTTACGTATCCTTACTAATGTTATAAAGGCGAAAGTTTGTATGTATGGATGGATGTTTGTTACTCTTTCACGCAAATACTACTGAATGGATTTTCATGAAACTTTACAATAATATAGCTTATACATCAGAATAAGACATAGGCTATAACTTATATACATGTTTTATGTATTTCTGTCTTTCTGTCTGAATGTGGTAGCAGAATGCAGGCAGCAGCTAGTGCTATATAAATTCTCAATCTTACATGTTCCCGTGAGTACGTGCTGTTCGCGGCCATCCTGCCTGCCCCTGGGCTGTCCCAATCTCACATACTGAGAGAATTAAATGAAATACGATGCAAAAATCAACTTGAAAATGTACGTGAAATTTCTAACCGTGTATCCCTCGTTGATTAGCATAGAAAAATATACTCTTTGTTATAATTTAATGAAGATGAATATTATTTGAAATCGACACAAATTCATCATTCTCACGAATAATATGTAGTATGCGTATATTTACATTACATAACAAATTAAAGTCAGTGAAAATGCAGATATTTATAGTTAACCTAGATGAGGGTTGGGTTGAGAAGAAATCTTTCCCCTTCGTACAAAATGAATATATTACATTAAATTAGATTGGCAATGTCCAGTACATGTTTAGTAGCTAAGGATATATTTTGAAACACTATAGATATACAAAATGCAAGAGAATTCTCGCATTATCAGTGCGATTGACTGATATATTTAATTTTTTGTGGCCTCAGAACATACAAATATCACATAATTCAGGAAATGCTATCTCTATTGGTATTTGTCACGTTCGTCTTACAATATATTATATTTAATATAAGTTTAAATTAATATAAGTTTTATCTGTTTTGAGAATTCATTGCAATATTTTACAAGAAATTCTAGCGATATTGACCTATTTAAAAATATACTCTGTGATATAGACTTGAACTCAAGGCAGACCATGTAGTCTTAATTTAACATACTTTTTGGTGCCTTTCGATAATGTTTCGAGACTGAGGTCAGCATCAATTCCTTAACACTAATAAAACCTCATTCCATATTTATTATTCGTTTGTTTTTTTAATAACGCTAATGTTATAACGCTTTTCTTTAACAGTTTCTGCCCTTTTTTTTAAAATAACAATTTATCTATTTGTTACAAAAAAGTGAAAAAAGATGTAATCATTGTGATAGTTTACAACTGTGTTACAGACTACAGTGTCTTCCCCTAATAATTAACACTCATTGTTATTGTACAAAAGATGAACACAAAGTGAATACAATAAAAATAATAAAAAATGTTTCGAATAAAGGGATATGATTAAGTTACAAAAACATATTAAAAATCAGAAATTAAAACTAAATTATACAAAACGATCAAAAGCAATATAATATTTATAAATTTTTTTTTTTTATAGTTATCATTCAATTCATTATTTATCTTTAATTCTCTAGAACATTAAATAATATTACCGCCATCTATTAATCGATAACAAAGACAATAAAATATCTTGGTCATTATTTTATGTACTGTATTTTTTTTTTTGGAATTTCTATTTAACAATAAAATACCATTAATTACTTCTTTTAGTGTCCTCTGGGATATGCTTAACTGTGAATCTACCTTTAAATCTCACCTTTTCCACGCGTGAAGAGTTAAAACTACCCAAGAACTGAACCTCATTTTGAAAAGCCGAATAAAATTGAAAAAAGTGGTGAGCGCCATTGATAAGGGATGCACCGTCCCCTAAAGTCGGTATTAGTCTCGAACCACGAACGGATCGGTCCGCCTGACCAACGCCGACTTCTCAAGTGGACGCTGGAAGGGTACCCTTGCTGATTGCAGCCCCCCCCCGGGCCCCTCCGTCGCCCCCTCGCGGCCCCCGCCGCTCCTCACCACTCAAACCCACTCGAGCCACGAGGGCTCTCGACTTTGCTTGAGAACACTTCATACGCAGGTATCTTTCTGACAGGTCCTGAACGCGATGAATTCCGAAAGGCCGCCGAGATTAGTTCAGTTGGAACGTGCCGCCGTTACAACCCCTCGAGGGCGTGAGTGCGTTTTTAAACTCGTTCAATTCCTTCCTTTTATTTAGCGCTTTCTCATTTAGTTAGTACAGAGGAGCTTTGTCGTTAGTTGTTGCCATCAGCCAGTATTAATGCATTTAATGAGAGTTACAAGTCAAGTGTTTCAAGTCAAATTAGCACAACATAAATGGTACTGTCATTTATTTATCAAATACGTAAACACTTTTTCAATTAGATGATATAAGTGGCTATTAATAGTGGGAGTAGTTTCTTAACGGTTATTTTGAAATAGATTTCATTTAAAACAGATAAATATATTTTCTCAAAAAGGCATCGCATTTCAAGTGAATTTTTATCATAAAGGAAAAAGATACATACACATTTTCTCATCTACGTGCAAAATATTACGTACATACATCTTTTTTCAAACTTTATCAACGTCGATACCACAATCTGTTATCTGCGCCATCCCCGTTGGATTTAAAAGGTCGGAGAGCTTGCGTTTTCTTAAATAAAGTATACGCCGAGCAAGATGGGAATCTCGAGGCATGCGACGAGCCGAGAAAGATCGCGGGCGATACAATCAAAACGGAGTTTCCGAACGGGGTCGCAATCGAAAGGCAGGCTCCACCGCATTGAATGGGCGGGCAGCCGCGGGCCATAGCCGCAACGTCCAAGACGGATTTTAATTACATCCGCCTATTTAAGGGGGAAGATCCGCGCCTTGCATTCTTTTATTGTAGCTTTCTTCAAGTCTGTGCTCCTGGTGCGTGATGTTGAATTTTTGGGTTATATTATACAAAAGTAGGCTTTTAAATGTAATGATTTCTTGTGTATGCGCAATCACTAAGTGCTTATTGATAACACAATCGTTTTACGGATTATAATGCGTTAAATTTTGATTGAACGTATCAAAATCTATTGCGTCCATATTGAAAGAACCGACCCTATTTGGAATATACACCAAAATGAGTACAGGTTGTATGGTACAAGCTATTAAGCAGCTGCTTTTTAGTGAACGGGACCCTATCATTAAGACTCCGCTGTCTGTCTGTCCGTCTGTCACCAGGCTGTATCTCATGAAACGTGATAGTTAGGCAAATGAAATTTTCACAGATGATGTATTTCTGTTGCCGCGACACAGAACCCAAACTAATAAACAGACATCATTTCTGCCATTTTTATAGATAACTAGCGACCTACCCCGACTTCGCACGGGTGCAATGTATTATACATACTCGTATAAACCTTCCTCTTGAATCACTCAATCTAGTAAAAAAACCGCATCAAGACCCGTTGCGTAGTTTTAAAGATCTAAGCATACATAGGGACAGACAGAAACCGGAACGACCGTTTTATACTATGTAGTCTTTACGGTGTTAGGGCCACGCAGCAGCCTCAGCTGTTGCACGAATGGGCAGGCCCGTCCGGGTAAGTACCACGACCTCACAGAAGACCGGCGTAAAGTGGAAGTGTGACAAATACTTTCGCGTTTCGTCTGGTGAGTGAGGTAGCCGGAGCCCAATTTTCAAAAGGTTGTCAACGCATCTGGAACCCTCGGGTGTAGCAGATGTCCATGGGCGGCGGTATTCACTTAACATCAGGTGACCCGTCTGCTCGTTTGGCAACTTTTCGCATAAAAAAAAAAAAAAATGTAGTGATGATGGTACGGAACCCTTCGTGTGCGGGTCCGACTCGCACTAAGACAGTTTTTATAACTAGTTCAAAGTAGCACTAAGTATGATCTCGCGTAAAGTATAAACACTAACAAGTACTTTAAAATGTCTGGGGAGTGAGGTCATCGGGATACACCCAATAACTTTATCCGCTGTTGGTCTCTACGATTAACGTGGGAGAGTACTAAATGGTCCTTTGTCATATAATTTTTTAATAATCAATGTTACATGTATACTTACAAGTTAAATAGTGTATCCTAAATGCAACATTAACCTATGTAAATTGTCAGATACGTCGTTCAAAATACTTTTTAAACTATATTACAGGCCAGTTTCGCATTGGATCAAAACGGCGTTACGCTGTTTACAAAACACACGCCAATCAATTTGATTGACGTTACACGAAGTTTAAATCAAGGGAATTAAGTGTACGCATATTCCATAATTGGTAATCGTCTATTATAATATTAGTGATTATTTAAATGGCAACACAATGAAAATTAATTGAACACATTTCATTGTCAAGTAATGGTAAATAAAAAAATAATTGTCCCGCTGGGTATATTTCGTTGTATTTTCTCAGATCAATTGCTTTTCTTCCCCGCAACGGTAGTAGAATTTTGATAATCATCATGTAGTTGTAGATTTTGAATCGAATTTTAACTTAATGTTGTACGCTTAGCAAAAAAAATCTGCATTGTAAGTCTAATTTTATAAATGCGAAAAAGTGTTCGTTGGATTGTGCTTATAAAACGCAAAAATGAATCGATACGATTTTTGAATAGACCGTTGGCTTAAGTTTGACTCCAGTGCAATAGAATGAAATCTAATAGTATACAAATGGAGGCAATGTGAGATGTAGTTCTAGGCTTTTATTTTGAGTCCACTGATCGGAGAAATCGTAACGGAATTCCGCGAAACCGTGTTCTGATAATTAACATAGGAATTGAGTTAATGTTTAGGAGGCGAGATATCAAGATGGTGATCTGTAAATCCACGTTTCGGATACCAGTGGCGCGAGTCAACAACAACAAATTTACCGGTTTTCGGACTTCATATACGAAATTCACTGTTAGATTAACGTTTGGCTAACCTCTGTGAAACCAAGATACCATTCGCTCTTATCTTTGTTCTTAGTCTCAAAAATCTATAATTATTTTAGGTAGGGTGATAGTTATTTTTATAATATATTTTTTTTTTATTACGGACAACTATTTTATAAATGATTCTGTAGCAGATCAATTACAGCTTCAGGTTGTTCTCGTAAATACCACACAGAAGATCAGAATGAAGCAGAAGTATTTTGATAGCTACAAGTAAGAAAAGAATTTGTGTTTTATCCGTGGCTGTGATAACAGGAGAAACACAATTAGAGCATGGCAGTGCACCTGCAATATTCCTGGTGTTAGCAATTCCAAGCGGTTATAATCTTCTCTCAATGTAAATTGAACCGCTTGTTTAGTTGAAATAAAAAGGCCCGTAGCTCGACTTTTTCTAATCCGATGTGTCTATAATCTAATCGTAATACCCTTTGGCGCCTATGAAATTGAATTAAACTAACGTGTCACAAATGCATCCGCTGCATATGCACTTATATATGCACTTATTATCCTACAACGCAGCTCAGCGACTCCTTACGCTACTATATATAATCAGACTAGGATGAACTTTCAAAAGAGCTTTCGTCTAAGTGAGGACGAACTTCTTCGGATTCCGTGACATAAATCTTTTGCTTGAACAACCTGGAGATTAAAGAAAATCTTTTAAGAGAGGCTATTAATCAAAGAAGAAGAAGAAGAAAATTAAAGAAAACATCGTGAGACCTGCATATTTTCGAAATAATAACAAAAAATATTTCAATAAACAATATTTTACAATGAATTCAAAATATACTTCTGGATAGTTAGAAACAAAATGTGATGATAGCTTTAATTTTGACGGACTAAATGTTGGCGAGTAGTATGATTAAGCTCAAACATATATGTTTTTCCAACTAAATAAAATGATATAAATTTCACGAAACACCAAGAAAAATTCTAAAAGCCAAGCTCCTATTTCCAGACTTAAAAAAAGTAAAAGAAATAAATATAAACACAATAAAAATCAAAATCGTCCAGATTACGGAGCAAATTTAAGCCTTGAACGGAAAAATATTAATTTACGGAAAAAAATCGACGGAGAAAATAAAATCTATCGCCCACCTAATCGGGCGTCGATCGATTAATTGTCCAAATCAATCATGATAAATGGTTGGGCAAAAAAAAATTAAGATAAAAAACTGGGCGGTCCAGGATCAGCAGAGGTCTCGAATACCAGTCAGCACACGAAGGGCGAAAGGCTGCCGTTAGGTACCCCAGACCACCGCCGATGATAAGTGAGCGCCGAAATTTACGGCTAATTCTGCGTATCAGCGGCACTCGCGCGCGGTATCAGCCGGTATCTGATACGCGAGCCTCCGAACTGATAATGCAATCGTCATAATTCCGTTCAACAGCACATTAAAACTGCCACGTGACGTCTGCTAATGATGCGGTGTCATTAACGTGGGTGTGTCAGTGCTTGGCTGCTTCCCATCAGGTGGTGCATGGCGATGCCACAGACATTAAATGTTGAAAACTTAGATTGATAGCCAACTCCAAATGTATATGTTCTTTAAGTTAAAAGGTGGCAAAGGATCTAGCGGTTCACTTGATGTTAAGTGACTAGCGTGGTCCATGGACTCTATAACACCTGTGAGGCAGTTCATAATGGTTCCACTTCCGGCTGCTCAACTGTCAGACCCACGGTCTAACTTTCTTGGCAAGCCTGCCCATTTGTGCAACAGCAGAAGCTGCTGCGTGACCCTACCACAGAAAGATGAGTACGATGATCGCGCAGCGCAGTTGCCAAGGTATTGGCTCTGGCTCTGGAAGTCGTTAGTTCTATTCCCACACTATAAAAGTATTAGTGTGACCTGTATGATAACTGTTTCGGGTCCGAGAATTTATCCACGTGCAATTTATGTATGTAAAACCGTTTTCGGGGGCAATGTTTTCGAAGGGAAGACTACAAAAGATGTTTCTATTTCGCAGTGATCATTGGGACTTACTACCCAACCACTTCCAGGCAAAATACAAATACAATACAAGACACACATGTATTGCGGAAGAACCGAGCAAGCGGAAGGATTTTACGTCAGAAAATAACAAGTGAGGAGGCAGTTTATCTAATGTTTAGTGATCCTCGTGACCTATGGACCTCCATGCCTGTGTGGTTCCAGACACTTACCCAAAGTTAAGGAAGTGCTCTGTATCTCACTCACCAGATAAACCACGAAAGTATAATTTCCACTTCACGTTAGTCTTCTTTGTTTTTGTTTGTTTGTTTGTATATTCTTTATTGTGCTAAAAGTTTGTACAAAGGTGAACTTAACGCTAAATAGCATTTTCTTCCAGTTAACCTTTGGTGGTTGAGAGCAAGTTACGGGTGGTAACGCTAAAATGACATACAAGATTTTAAGTGTCAATCATAAAGAATATGGCATAACTAAATATACTTCAACATAAATAAAAATAATTACAATTTTACATACTTCTTCTATATTCTCTTATTCTTATATATTACCTATATTCTTTGTGGCGTTATGGACGAGTCTGCTCCTTCTAGTAAGAGCAGAAGCGGCTGCCTATTGCAGGTAAATATTAAAGAAAAAGCTCCGTTTGTAAAGGGGCAATTATTTGATCAATCAGTATGTTCATAACATTTGGTTCTTTTACTTCCAAACACATAATATAAAGCTTCGTCAGACGTATGATTGACCAATCAGATTGACGAAATCGGAATTATGTATGTAACAAGTGAATCTACAATGATTGGTTAGTCAATGTAGATATACTTGTTACATACATCTATCGTCAGGAGTTTCAGAAAAAGTTAATTCCAAACATCACGTCCAGCAAGTTCATCCCGTTTTATTCCAATCGTACACATTGATGTGATGATGATTCCACCTCAAAATTTCAACAAACTGTATAATTTTTATTACACTTCTCATCGGCGAATAAAGTAAAAGGCGATGCAAGAACGATTAGCATAATCATCATTTCCATTAAAGATCAGACTTATCAAGACCTCTCTAGTAAAATGCGCCATAGTTTATATTACACACCTCCACTAGTTTATATTACTCACTCAGCGAATACCGTACCGTGATATTGCGGCGTCTGTCATTACAATTAATTAGCCTGATATTCAACCGAGGTGTCCGTTAATTAATGCATACCCGGAATTTGCGAATTGCAGGGAATGTACAGCTGACACGATCGCGCAAATTAATAACAATTCAGTGGATACGGACCGCAAAATCTGGCGGGCGCTACTAGGATACACGTGAAGTGTAAGTAGCGCCCGCCAGGAGGGGACACATATGGGCATGAACCTATCTCCTATACTTTAATCATTTGTATTAAATAACACACATACCAATGTATTGTTATTGCACACATGTAACACGTAAAAAGCGTTTGTAACTTTTTTTCGTGGTCATTGGTAGTATTTTCAGAATAAAAAGGCAACCCAAACGTATGGGGTAGTACCATGGTCTGGCAGAAGATTGGCGTAAATTAGAAGTATTCATTTGTCTGCGCACTAAGTTAATGGGGAATTTGATGTTGGTAACGTACTTACTTGCAATTTATTTCCGAGCCCCCTTGGAAAGGTAAACGACGTTCTGTTGTCTCTTTTTTATGAGTGATAAGGTTACGATGATGATGTTCATCATCATCCATAAATGTTATTACGGATTACCTACCTTTAATCACCAAAGGTGCTCTTGTGATTGGCTGTCCTGAACTCACGTGTCCCTTCACAATCTCTACTCACTGGAAAATCACTCCTCCTGGGGAGGAATGATTTTCCAATGAAGACATACATCGAAAAATGAATTAATCAAAAAATATAATAAATCTTTAACTTCGATCATAAAATGTCACGTCATCAACTATACAATTAGTAATTTCATCTATTCAAATATACCAGTACATATGTTTGGATCTCTGGGAACATAAAAATATAATTATGATAAAATATACCTGCTACAATTACATAATATGTATCGATCGCAGCTGAAGAACGGTTTAAAAATACAGTTGATGGCTATTGTGATGGCTATTATTTTGTCTATGCAAACACAATTTATAATTGTCAGTTTATCGAGCTTTCGAAAAAACACATGTAATATAAAGTACCTATCAATGATACAATAAATATAAAATAAATAATTTAGGAATCAATGTATTATTCTATCGTTGTTTTTTTAAAGTATGTTCTGTCATTTACAAATTTGATAGACTTCCAAGCTTTACAAAAAATGATACATTCCGACTGTGACATAAAGCTGTCAGTGCGGTTTGGTAAGCTCACAACAAAATCAAGATTAAAATCTTTATATCCTATCATGTGTAATAAAATAATATAATTTACATTCGATTTATTTCCAACCAAAAACTTGTTATAATAAAATGCACACTCTTTGGTTTACGGGTGGGTTAGGGAAAAAAACTGCTGACATAAAAAATATTAAATGTGTACAATATTGCAACTATAAAACATTGTGAGTTTTGTATGTTTGCAACACTAAAATAGTTCTAGATTTCGTTAATTATTGTTTTAAACTCAACAAGCTTTTTCACTGTTTCATCATTGCAAGTACACTAAAGAATGTTCTACGTTCGGTACTACAATGTTTTAGATTGTACATTTGCACTGGGTTGTCTTATGGCGTGTGTTGTTTCAAATCCATTACACCAATGCCAACATGAAAATATATTTAAAAATGTATACTCAGTGAAAAGTAAACAACATTACCTGTCTGCTTTTACAGTAATTGCACTTTAAAAATTCATTTATATATTAAGCAATTACGCCTCAAAGAAGTTAACAGATGTTTAAGTTTTACATCTTAATTACAGTTTGTTGTTAAATTATTTTAATTGTCCATTTTTTCTGATATTGTAATACTCTATACGAAGTTATAATAAATAAAATAAAGGTTAATGGGGCTATGAACCTTTTGTATTACGCTGATAAAGAATAATTATCAGAAAGTCAATAAATGAATATATCTAGAAACCAGTAAGCTAACTTCGTATGTCTGTTACTGTAGAAGGAAGATTAGTCAAAAGGTACTGGGATATAATGTGTTCTAATCTATCTCGAATCTTCGTTTCCTCTAAGAGGCAGCAAAAAATGTAATACGTGTAATTAAGGTTCCAAATCGCAACAATACACTAAGCTATACAATTACAGGATGGCAACAACAAATACGACCGACTTGGTGTCGATTACAAACCACTTTTCGCAGTAAACGCGGTAGCTGTGTCCGTATGTACGTATTTAAATGGTTCACACTTAACACGATCGCGTTTGTAAATTCAAGTGCCACACTGAGTTGTATTCCTTGTACTCAATAAAGGTCAATGTTATTAATAAAAAATACCATGACGCAAGGTGCGCAGTCTTTGTGCGACTGTTCATTTATTTTTAATAACGTTGCGTAATCTTTCGAAACCGTCGACATTGTGAATGAAAAGTGTTGACGCGTTTTGTAATTCACGCGAGTACACGAAGACGAACAGCACCCTTAACTTTATGACGAAAGAGATTAAAACAATCAACATGATTTTATGCTTGTGCCGTTTTGCACTTTTAAATGTACATTTCAATGCAATGGTAGAGCGTCGCTTATTCACAGTTTACACCACGACGTCAGAAAACAAAAACACTCGAATGGTTTTGTTATCGGCAAGATTAACACTATTTTTTCAATGTAATTATAGCTCATTACTGCTTATTTGTGGTAAACAAAGTCGGTGACGACTGTACAAGCAGGGGAACTCTATTAAATTCAATTAGTGAAGCTCGGCGGCGCCTCGTTGGCTGCTGCACTAGTTGCATACGCAGCCGCGCGCGACGCACGCAACGTCCGTCTGTCCGTCGCAACGTTAGTTTCGCCAAGCAACGAATTAGCCATTATTCGGTTAAGGCTCCCTACAGACGAGTGATAACGCCGTGGAGTTAGTGCCACTGCCTCTCTTCCCTGACTTTCATACAGTATTCGGGTAATTCTAGTGTAGAGTCGGTGGTAGAGTAAGCCGATAATCGGCTTTCATCAAAATTACACTCGTTAAGTCAATTAGGGTGTTACCACATGTGATAACCGTCTCTAATCGGCCATTTCGCTCAGATTTCTAGGGCAATGGACTAGATAAATACGGTTTAATTATCGTTTTGTAAAAACATTTAGTGTGCAGAAGCCCTTACGCTGCGCCGGATAGCAGCTCCTCGTGACGCGCTCAGTGCGCCCGCGCTCGCCGTCCGTGCGCGACATGAATCTCTTCAAACAGACGCGCGTCAACCTGGAGTCGCCGGTGCACGTGATAGAAATCGTGGAGCCCGACCCCGAGGGCTGCCCAGCGGTCTCCCAGCCTCCCGAAGGGAACGTTAAACTGCGCAACTACCGAATGTTGAACGAGAACCTTTGCACTTACTCCCCGACCGGAGACATCAATACGTCGCCCGGCAAAGGAAAGCTGGTGCCGAAGTACGAGGTCTTCTCGACTTTGTCGCCACCGCGCCAGAAAATCCTGGATCTATTAAGGCCAGACGATCCCGGGAGGGACGCGTTGGAGGCGATAGTCCGGCCGGCACCGCGACGGGGCCTAGCGCGGCCTTACGACGAGGACACCAGGAGGTTTCTCCAGCGGGCCCTGCTGACTCCGAGCCCGCAAATATCAAACACTGCCTCTCCTGAACCTCGCCTATTGCAGGAATCCAAAGAGAGCAGCGTTCAGAGCTCTAACGAAACACCGTCCAAGAAGTCCGAACGGTCGCTGGCCGACGAGCTGAAAGAAGCCGAGGAGGACGAGAAGTCGGGCGGCATACGGCGGGAGCTGTTACGCGAATTCAGGAAACGGGGCGGCGGTGTCAAGGAGGCTATGGAGAGGGAGAGGATGGGCAAACTAGCCCTGTCCGTGGAAGAGGACGAGGACGAGGACGGCGGGCTGACGGCGGCCGCACGGCGCCTGGACGCGCTGCTGGCCGAGTCCAGGGACCTGCACGAGGAGCTGGCCGGCATCCACGAAGACATCCAGGTGCTGGCTCGGCGCGTCGCCCGCCGCGAACAGTGACGCGTTGGTACCGATCCTCGCGCCTCTATCACCGCACGCACCCCTCCCACGCTAACAGCTTCAGGATGTGCTCAACCATCCTAACTACGGTTGCGGGTATTTTAAGAAGTATATTGTCTGCCGTTGTCGGGAATTGCTTAAAGTTCGTATAGCGTGACGCCCGCGATGCGCGCGCTATGTGTTCGTTTTTGCGTGCTCGATAAGTAGTACGAGGATTCGCGGTGCGTGAATAAGAAACGAGTGCAGTGGTACGGGTGGGGTACGGTTTGAGATGCATCCAAACATCTGTAAGGACAGCTGACGTATGCACCTGCATCTGGTTAGTATGATAATGCTAAGTTTCAGGTCCATCACGCAAGCAGAAGGTAGATTATAGGTATTATTTATGAAAATATGACCATAAAATTTTAAAGAACCATAAAGGAAAACAATAATTCTTCTTACATCATTTACACATTGCTTACAGACCGTTTTTTTTTACACGTCAAGTCAAAAATATCAAGAGAAGTGTGTCATACAATAAATCACTCAATTTATTTATTTATTTGAAAGAATAAAGTAATACATAATGGTCTTAAATCTAATACACAAGTTCACTTATTCTGCTTCTTTGATATTATTTAAATATTAATTACTTTTATTTCAATTTAGACATTATTAAGATTTAATACAAAACTAAAAACCGCAATATAGATAAGTAAATGTTATATAAATTGTCATACATATGTCAAAGAGAAAAACAAAAGAACACATGTCATTGTCAAATTGCTATATATGTCACCTATATTTATATGCCTATCACGTATATTTATTATTCACTTTTACTTTAATATTTAATAACAAAACTTCCCCAAACAAAACATAAAATGTCTCAAATATTTTCCGCCTGACACCAAAATTTCTGAAAACCGTCTATTACATCATTATTTAATATATTTCATAATTATATCATGACATACGTATGGGGCTGAAACCACAGAAAAGATGGTGTAACTTTGGATAATTAGTTGACTCAGACACAATGTAAATAACAGTGAAAGTACTATTTACGATTTGCTATCATAAAACAATACGCTAATGAATCTGCTCTCAATATGTTATTTTCATTCGCGTCTCCTCTGATAAGGTTGTGATAACGCGACGTTTTATCTAGACGCTAATAACTGGGGACGCTACACGGCATATCGATAAGTAACTCATAATTACCCTTAACAAGTCTCGTGTTTACTAACATTTCCACAGCGGGCTCGTCGAAATGTTTCTCAAACTTAATAAGGCCAATCGAAACAATCGTCAAAACATATTTTTAACGAACTTAACCATAACATCGACGTGTCGTCCGATTTGCCAATCGAGGTACAGGCTAGGCTAGGCTAGGCTAGGCTCAAGCCCGGTGAATCATCCGTAAAGGTCTCCCAAGGTCAACAGTGGTTGATGCATAAATTTTTTAAAAAGTTGGATTTGTAATTAAATTACAGGCGTATGACCTCTCTTAAAAGTTACCAATGGCTTGATACAGAATCATAGTAGAAACTTCGGTCATGTTGTTCTTTAAACTACTTGACATTAAAGGTGTAATTAGAGGTTTATTATTAAGTAATTACACCGAACGTGCTGTAATTAGTAAACCTATATTCACGAGAAATATTAAAATAGTAAACAAATAAAATAGTAAGCGGATGGATGCGGGTTGCCCAGGACCGGGATAGTTGGGGCACTTTGGGGGAGGCTTACGTTCAGCAGTGGACGACAATAGGCTGATATTGTAAACACGTAAATTACGACTGTCTATGAGTAACGCGTTTACTACGTATAAAAACTATGTTTTGATATGGAAAAGGCAAAAGAGATGTGTGAAGATATAGGAAAAAATAATCCGTATGTATGTATGTTTTATACGTATTTTTTTCTATACGTTACATACTACTGAAAAGCTATAATCAACTATTGCATTTGAATACACACAAATTGTACATATTATGTGTTTAACCTACTCGTAGTTAAAACGAACTTAAAAATAAAACATTTTTATGAAGCCTAAAGGATATTAAAAACATGTACATATCCTAAACCCGAAACAGATTGCCCTGAAATTTTGTATTTGTGGATTTTTTACTTATTGAAAATACTTGTAAGGTTTAGAAAATTTGAAGCACTTTTATTTGTTTCAATTTCGTGCGATTATTGAAGTAAGAACTCATAGTCAAGTAGCTTTAAAATAAATTACAAGATATAACCCAAAATGACACACCGAAGCAATTGATTACAAACGTTGCAAAATAAAAAAAGAACTTTCTGACAATTAATGTACGATAAGTTAACTTTAAAATTATATTGTAATAGTCAAATAGTTTGCATAAACAGTCGGGCCAAGAGTATCTTTATTGCGTTTGATAAACATTAATTGCTGTACTTGCTGCCGAAGCACAGGGTCGTTACACGAATATAGATAAAAATAAATAGTAATGACAATAACAATATGAAAAATATGAACATTTTAATCAGCCTAAACAGTTTCGTCATAAAGCAATACACCGCAACGGAAACCGGTTAGTAATATTAGTTAGCCTCCCTTATCATAACTACTCTATGTGTAATAATACGCTTGACGTCACACCGCACTCTATAAATTAAACGCCGACATCAATCGAACACTTCATCTTCACTTCCGTCGAAAGAGTTTTTTGCAATTTTTTTAATGTTCTAATATGGCAAGTGAGCTGACAGTTCACTTGATGTTAAGTGATAACCGCCGCCCATAGGCATTGCAACACCTGTAGTTTTGCGGATGCGTTGCCACCAGTTGCGCGTTGAAACGCAGAAGTGTAACTTCCACTTCACGCCGGTCTTCTGTGTGGTCGCGGTACTTCCCCGGACGGACCTGCCCATTCGTGAAACGGCGAGGAACCTTGCGTTGTCCGGTAGGACTGCTGTCAGTGGTAACAGATAAAACTTAAACTTATACATATATATATCGAGTAGCAGAGTAGAGTTTTGTTAATGTGGTAGGGCCACGCAACAACCACGACCTCACAGAAGACCAGCGTAAAGAGGAAGTATGACAAATACTTTCGCGTTTCGTCTGGTGAGTGAGGTAGCTGGAGCCCAATTTTCAAAAGGTTGTCAACGCATCTGTAACCCTCGGATGTGGCAAATGTCCATGGGCGGCGGTATTCACTTAACATCAGGTGAACCGTCTGCTCTTTTGACAACTTTTAGCATAAAAAAAAGCCTTTCTTTCGAATTAAACTACGAAACCCATACGAAATGTACACCAAGCCAAGCCATACGGTGGTAGGGCCACGCAACAGTGTTCACTGTTACACGAATGGGCAGGTCGGTCCGGGTAAGTACCACGACCTCAAAGAAGACCGGCGTAAAGTAGAAGTGTTACACTTCTGCGTTTCGTTTGGTGAGTGAGGTAGCCGGGGCCCACTTTATTAAAAGGTGGCAACGCATTTGCAAACCTACGGGTGTTGCAACTGTTCATGGGCGGCAGCTATCACTTAACATCAGGTGAACCGTCAGCTCGTTTGCCATATAAATATCACGTAACCATATAAATATCACGTAAATCGGATAAATGGTTCTCGAGCATAAAAGTGGAGGAGAATTTTATTAGTCGTACCGTATATACGAGCCCGGCTTAAGAAGACGTTGTCAGCCACTAATGGCCGATAAAACTCTCAAGACCAAACTTAAAACCCGGTTGACCACTTGACCTCCAGCTCAATTCCTTTTTTAGGGTTCCGTACTCAAAAGGGTAAAACGTTAGCCTATTACTAGGACTCCACTGTCTGTCTGTCTGTCCGTCTGTCACCAGCCCGTATCTCATTAACCGTGATAGTTAGACAGTTGAAATTTTTACAGATGATGAACAAATACTAAAAACAGAATAAAAAAGTGAGGCTCCGACATACAACAGACATGATTTTTCCCGTTTTTAGGGTTCCGTACTTTAAAAGGTAAAAAAGGAACCCTTATAAGATCACTCTCTGGCATAAATTTCAACTCACTTCAACTTCAACTCGTTCCTGAGAAAATCAGTTATTATTTAGTCATTATTTACCAAGTTTATTATGCCGGTATAGTGGGTAAGTACGGAACCCTTGGCGTACCAGTTCGACTCGCACTTGACCAGTTTATATCTTTAAGGCACGATTGTATAGGCTTTACGCCTAAGGTTTCATCTCGCATCACGCTCGAATGATCTTTGGCGAAAAACGTGTTAAGAAGACCTACATTTTCTTAACCTTTGACCAGACAAGTTGACAGCTGAAATCGCATAAAAAACATAACTAGGCGATAACATTTATTTATACTTTTTTACAATACTTTATGTACTGCTATGTCTCTCTTAGTCTATATTGCACAATTGAAATTTTAATTGATTAATACTACTGCCTTTTTTTTTGTTCTTTTAAAAAACATACACGCGGACAAAACACCCAGATCCGAAACAATTATCTGTGACTCACACAAATAGCCGTCCCGTGTGGGCATCGAACCCACCACCCCCGGCGCCGAAGCCAATCAAAATCAAAATACCTTGGCAATACCTTGGCAACTGCTCCACGGAGTCGTCAATTCTTTACCCTTCTAACTTACTTAATTTTTTAGATCATTCATTGTTAGCGTACCCAATATTCAATATTATTACGAATAAAAATACTCTGCTCATTTTTGAGTAGTTGAATAAAATTACTTCCCAATTAACCTTCTAACAAAATTATAATTGCGTTATAAAATTTGCGTCCTACACGCCGTAACGGGCTTAACACGAAATCGATTTCGGTTAATTTATGCGAGGATCGGCTAAAATATTAACAGCGACATTGTTAATTCATTCACTAGGTACTGGGCTGCGCGAATTTCCTGATTCCTACGGTGACCAAGAACATAAAATATAATCATGGACAAAATGTATATCTTGCTAATAAAACTTTATGGTTTATCTTAACTAGTTTGTATCTTAAATGTTTTTTCTACATATTTTAATGTTCAATCTTAAGTGCAAAGATTAGCACTATAAACTATTTAAATTTCTAGTTTGTATCTGTTGATTTATGTATTAAAAAAATAATTAACCGCTAATTAGGTCGAGATATACTATGATAAAACTTATAAATAAACTACATCACTATCTTACTGGTGTTGTAAATGGCTCAAATCGTGTGGAGAATTTAAAAGTAAATTTAATACGATTAAGTATCTTTCTTCGATTATTATCATTTAACAATTATAAAAGTAATTAAATAGTAAGACTTAAATTACTGTTTTACGGATTTTATCGCGTTTAATTTTTATTTTTAAAATCCCATAGTAATAGGCGTTGACATTTAGGGTTGCTCGCCTTTTTATAGATAAGATATAACTTTTTTATCAAGAAAGGACAAAAATCTTATTAATAAATACTTATTACACAAATCATTCCCTTAAATAATTATTAACAATGGATGCGCCAAGCATTGCGAATTGCGAAAAGCTAGAAATGCGAAAAACAATGTCGGTATGGCTGTCAGCCGTTTAGGTTAGTTGTTAGAGCGCCTGGGCGCGAATCCCTAACACGTGGGTTCGATTCCCACAGCGGAACTTTTTTCTACAAATTTTAATCCTTAACAGTTCATAAGCATGGCCACGTTTGTTACTGTCGCTTGTATTAAAATAATTTCACTATTCATAAAGCGCAATTCGCACCCTGCGTAGAACAACGTGACATCTGCAAAATTGTTATTGTTCTGGACGGCCTATTCAAATTATTTTTTTTATTTTGGTTATAGTTTTCTTATACATAGCAGGTCGAAAGGTGGTAGGGCCACGGAGGAGTCTTGGCTGTTGCACGAATGGGCAGGCTCGTCCGGATAAGTACCACAACTTCACAGAAGACCGGCGTAAAGTGGAAGTAGGTATATTACTTTCTCGTTTCGCCTGGTGAGTGATGTGGCAATCCAATTTTCAAAAGGTTGTCAACGCATCTGGAACCCTCGGGTGTAACAGATGTCAGTTGGCGGCGGTATTCACTTAACATCAGGTGAACCGTGTGCTCCTCGTTTGGCAACTATTCACATTAAAAAAAAACATAGCAGGTGCTATTACAATTTTTGAGGTTTCTAATATGATTAGGTATATTAACAAACAGTATACTTTTTGAATTAATAATTATATAAATTTAGGAAATAAGAGGTTTCATGTGTAGTAGTGATGTTCTCCTACGAAACATCGCAAAAACTGATGGGTCACAAGTTCATATGTACACGTTTATATAACGTTGTTCAACGGAACATTCCAAAAAATTATAGGTAACATGTTCATATGTGTTGTTCTATTAAAAACTCAGAAAACAGGTATGACATAAACGGATGTAGAACTTTTTTCAACGAAAAAACCATAAAAAGTGGGTGGCTGTGCAATAATTATCAATTGACTCTAATAGAGTATTTTACACTCGTCTATTACATTAGCAAGCTTAGTCTAGTCAGTACAAAAAAACAGTGTCTAAACGTACATATGTCCTTGTACTGCGGAGCACAAATCAGATAGAATTTTGTTCTATTCTGAATCTCAATATCTATAAGTCAGACGAAAAAAAAAATAATGTCATGATGCGATTATTTTTTTTTCTTCGTGATGTCTGAAAGCGTAGACAATAATTAAGACTTTCCGGCGATAACATCAAATTCGTTCTATGTGACCACAGAACGTTATTCTACGCACCGTGCGAATTGTTCTTCGACATTCAATTTACCCTATTTACATAAAGATGTTAATATGTAAAATTAATATAGACTAAAATATGAATAAAAATTTTATTAATATTATTTTATTATACAAAATACACAATCCCACAAAAGCCTAATAACAAGATTCACCAAAACTCCTGAGTATAGTAACGAACGCATCCTAACACGGTGCCGTGCCGGACGAGTTGTTTCGTCATATTTTTCATTTTTAAAACCCTTCCCTGTATTTTTTTAATATGATGTGAAAGTGGCAAACGAGCTGACGGTAACCGGATGTTAAGTGATAACCGCCGCCCATGGAGATGCAACACCCGTAGGGTAATAAACCTTCAAATAAAGTGGGCCCCGGCTACCTCACTCACCACACGAAACGCTGAAGTGTAACAATTCTACTTTACGCCGGTCTTCTGTGAGGTCGTGGTGCTTACCCGGATGGGCCTGCCCATTCGTGCAACTGTGAACATTGTTGCGTGGCCCTTTTTATTAGGTTAACTTCAATAATTCTTCTTGTATAGGACTGACTTTCCTTCGTAAACTACGGATTTTATCTTGGTTAGTTTTTATTTCAGTTATTGTTCTTTATAGCAGTCGCGGTCACGGCACGGGCTTAGTGTTAGATGTCCTTATGTCACTGGTAGCCCGAGCTGTCGTCAGCTTGGAAATTATTAAATTCAATCCGATCCACGTGGCAGATGCTGTCTTGAAATTATGCAGCGGTAAAGCACTGAGTGCGCTTTAATCCTTTATTATTGATACAATTCCGGATTTAGCTTTATTGACAACCGGATCCAACGCCGATGGAAGAACACAACCTTCTCTTCTATTGAAATTTGAATATCTTTTTAAATTGCTATAATAGTAACAACCATGGCCTGACACTTGTAATAGATGGATCGTTAGCATATACCGTTAGTTATTTAGAATTTCTATATGTTATATGTCAAAGGTGTTTTTCGTCGATGTGCCATAATTCTTCATCATAATTAATGATTCAAACACCATTTTAAGATTATGTTTGCCAATATTATACTAAAAATGGACACGTGGAATATAGTTAATGTTTTATAAAAAAAACTCGCTAAATAATTTCTTGCAAAGAACGTATGATGATGAATCATTCATCGACAATTTGTTCAAATCAGAGATGGCGAAGTATACTGCTAACTAAGCAAAACAATGGACCCTTCGGTGACTGACACAGTAGTGTCCGAGATTTTCGCACCGGTCACCTAATGAACATTTATAGATTAAATACATTACGAGAGTTTTAAACGATTGAAACTAAACCAATTAATTAAAATAGGGGAATATTTAAAATTTCAGAAAAAAGTACAGAAAGTGCAAGACAACGACCAATTTACAAAGAAACAAGTTACGGACATTCGCAACGAGACATACTTTTTTGATAACACGGTATGGAACAATTTGTCGTCATGTTAGGGTGTGCCATTAAATAAAAGACAAAACAAGAATTCATCTTTAGATCTTTGTACGAGAACGAGGCTAAACTGTCGTGTCGAAAGTACTGGAAACTGGACTGTAAGTAAAGTAACAGGCAATACATGTCCCACAGCTGGGCGAAGGCCTCATCTATACAGATGGTATTAGTGCATAGAAAAACCCGGTTATTGTCGCGCTATTACCGGGGAATTCCAGTCCTGGTCGACCTGGATACGCGCCACCTGTAGTGTGAAACTTCTGAGCGTTCACTAGTTTTAGCTCACAGCTAAAACTAGTCACATTGTTTCGTCCACGAACGGGGAGCGGACAAAGTGTCCTAATATCGGTGCTCGCGGAAATGAAGTCTTGTCGTTCCATGTGTCGAGGGGGAATGTTCCAGAGGGGACGTGCCGCCGGCTCTCGGCGGAATTGCAGATTTCTGAATTGCATTTCGCTATGTCACGCCAGAGAGAGCTGTTGTTGCTAATGTAGTGTTCTTTTGTTTTTAAATTGAATGTGTCAGATAGTTTTCATACGAATAGTCTGTATTTCATCAAATACCTAATCGCGGGTGTGTAGAATAATTAATCTAGAAAACTCGTGAATAACGGAAAGTAATTTACGTATATTTTTTTTTGTGCGTAATGTTTGGATAACATAATTCATTTAGACATCAAAAGTAGCTGCCACTCTCTCTAATGATCAGCAGTTGATTTTTGAGCGCAGAGTGCGGAATTATATTTCTTCTTCCAACTTTCCCGGAAAAGCTAAACGTCTACACTTTGACTAAATTTTTACGAGGCTTGCGACGAACATTAGTTTTAGGTAGCTACCTATCTACGCTCTATCGTTTATATCAGGGGTGAGCAACCTTTTTAATCAATGGGTCAATTTAAATTTATTTTTTTTTGTCGAGCCGTATAACAATTTACACTAAATATTAGAATAATAAAATATAAAATTAAAAAAGTAAAGATTTCATATACAAATTTTAATGCAAGTTAAAAACAAACAAGAAAAGAACAGAAAAACGAACAAAAAATATTTCGGTTCAGTATGTACTACCATTTTATTATAATTAATTTTATAACAATATATTGATAACTCACTATTGTTTTGTTTGTGATAATAGATAGAACTTGAACCATTACTTGATAGAACCATTTTTTTATGTAATGTAAATTAAAAAAAATGTAATTGATATATCGGTTCGCCTGATATTAAGTGATAACCACCGTCCATTAACATTTGCAACACTCGTAGTGTTGCAGATGAGTTGCATTTATATAAAGTGGGCTCCGGCTACCTCACTCACCAGACGAAACGCAGAATTATTACATTTCTACTTCACGCCGGTCTTCCGTCAGGTCGTGGTTCTTACCCGAACGGACATGCTCATTCGTGCAACAAAGAAGACTGTTGCTTTTACCTACAGCAGTTAAGAATAAGCCTATAAGTCTTTTAACCATTTTTAGGTTTCATTTCTATGACCAGATTAGTACTGATAGGCTTGTCAAGCCTACCATAGCGGAACACCGCACATAGGATACTTGTAAATAGATTTAAAAGAATGCACAAATATATAGAATCCGCATTATAACACCTTCATATGTAAATCTAAGGCTTCAGCAACATGCACAGTGTACGCAATCTTAATTCAATTTATATCGAATACCGACGTTGAAATTATTCTAAAATAGCTTTAACTAGTAACTTGCTAAAATCACAATGCATATTTTAAAATTCTAACTATGAAACTCATTTTTAAAAGTTACAGAAAACAGGCCAAGTGCGAGTCGAACTCGCGCACGAAAAGTTCCACATCTCTATCTATGAAAACGGCAAAAAAATCATGTCTGCTGTAGAGGATATTAGCTGCTGCCCGCGACTACGTCTGCGTAAAATAAGCTAAAGGCGTATCATTCAGACAGAAAGACAGATATACATAAAATCTGTATATAAATTATAGCCTATGTCTTATTCTGATGTATAAGCTATATTTTTATAAAGTTTCATTAAAATCCATTCAATAGTATTTGAGTGAAAGAGTAACAAACATCCATCTATACTAACAAACTTTCGCCTTTATAATATTACTAATATTCACTTAGGATCACCAAAAACTTCATCCGAGCCTCGATGAAACCACGCATTCAGTACAGTCGATTATGACGTAAACGTTTCAGTACATATTACTCGCACATAAATTCCTATTACGAGGTGAGAGAGCGCACCTTTGGAGCCGTGTACGAAACCAACTTGGCCCTTGTGTGCGGCAGACGGAGTGCGCGCGCGCGTGCCGGTGCGCGGCCGCCGCGCGGGCCCTCGCCGCGGAGTCCCGCGCTCTGGGCTACCTCGACGACGTGGTGGCCCTGCTGAGGGGCGACGTCGCGGCCGCGGCGCGCGCCAAGGCCTGGCCCTTCGCCCTCGGCCGACGGGAGCCCGACAGGAACTACATCGTATGATCTCAGGTGATTCGATGGAAACTTTTACGGAGGCATCAGTAAAGCTATCCGTTTATCCGGCTGTATTGACTCATAACAATCCATTCATATTTTTTTGTAATTTGCCCTCGCCTTAGGACAACATTATTGTGTTGTAAGGACGTATTATAAACATGAATTTCACGTAGACAAACACACAGATGCAAAACAACTATCTGTGGTTCCCGTGTGTGGATCGAACCCACGACACGAAGCTAATACTTTGGCGCCAATACCTTGGCAACTGTTCACATTGAATTTTTATAAAATTATATAGCTACTGGCTTTCAAGGCAATTGGTTAAGAGATAAAACATTCTATATAGCTATGGCATATCCAAAGCCACTTACGAGGTGAAAATCTTTATCTTGATAAATACATCTATTGTTCCATCAACGCTTGAAGATGTAGCGAGAAAATGAGATTCGCGTAAGCTGATTACTTAAACGTATGTTAACTTCCAGGATAAATTCAGTCAGTGCTGCCTGATAATCGCGTTATTCGGAAGCACCATATCATACGTCAGAAACATGACATGGTTTCTACGCATTTCGCCTGTTCTAAAATGCGCAAAAAATGTTAAGCCATCAACAATTATCAAACGAATTTACCTTTTACCAGTAATAAAAAAATCCATAACCTATTGTTAAATAAAAGGGATCACTATGACTATTGTAGTTTAAAGTACGTTTAACTAATAGCAAGGCAAAAAACTCGATAATGCATAGAATATTATTTTAATAATGTATTAAGCAACTAGAATATAAACAGAACAGTAACTTTATTCAAAAGACTTTTGATGAGAACCTTAAATTATCTTAATAAAATTTAAAACAGAATAAAAACGATGAGCATGCAATAGATATGAAGTAACAAATGCGTACTATATAGATCGCGTGTATCCTTAATTTTATACAAAAAATTAAAAAAAACAATTCTAATCTGATTCCTAAAATTGAAACTACATTTTTTACCATGTCTGGTTTTTTATGGCATCCAATGAGTGATTTTTGCCTTTTACAAAGGCATGCAGTCGAAGACAAGCTGTCGATTAACCGGTTTTTGTGTTTTTCATATCAAAAACAGGATACAATAAAATTTCAAATAGTTAAATTATGACAACGCCTGTACTAATTTTTAAATAACGTGGGGCTCAACAAACTAGTAGTTACGAACGTAAACTTACATAAACCAAATGGAAAATTTATATCAGTGCCAAATTAGATATGTTTGTATAGGGTCTAGCGATAGGTCGTTGAAGGTATTTTCTTCAACTTAACGTTAACGTTAATTCATGTTCGTCAACTAGTTGATCAACTAGTTAAATTCGTCAACTAGTTAACGTGACACATACATAAGTATTTTAAATTGCAAGCCCTTTCTTCTAAGAAAACGGATGAAAACTATCTATGCATAAATCTAACAAATCTGAATATTTTTTTTATTTTTTTATGTGAAAAGTTGCCAAACGAGCAGACGGTTCACCTGATGGTAATTGAATACTGCCGCCCATGGACATCTGCTACACCTGAGGGTTATAGAGGCGTTGACAACTTTATGAAAATTGGGCTCCAGCTACCTCACTCACCAGACTAACCCGAAAGTATTTGTCATACTTCCACTTTACGCTGGTCTTCTGTGAGGTCGTGGTACTAACCCGGACGGGCCTGCCCATTCATGCAACAGCCGAGGCTGCTATGTGGCCCTACAACCGTAAAACTAATTTATTTAGTTCTTTGAAACTAATTTTTTTTCTTATCAAAATTAACCATCATACGCTGGTGTTTAAAGATTGGTACTAAAACACTAATGAAAATATTTAAATACATTTCCGCTTCAAGTAGTTTTTAAAGTTAAAGTGGTCTATTTGTTCGATATTTTCTCCTTGCATACATTACAAACAGCTTTTACGTATGAAGCCATAACTCACTGTTAATACGTTCAATTATTTTGAATTTTGTACCCACAGTTCTCTATACACTTAAATAATCATAAATTAAAATAAAAAAACACTAACCACAAAGTAAAATTCTGATAAACAAAATTAATAACATAAAATAAAATTCCAAATATAATAAAATTATATTTAAAAAAATAATAATAATTTATAATTAAAAATTAACAAATTCACAAAAAAAAACACTAAACATGAAGTAAGGTTCTGATAATATTTACGCAAAGCCGCAAAATATTCTATAACCTCGCGCGCAACTATTCACAAACTTTCAAACAAAAATAAAGAAAGCGAACTTAAACATGTCCTTCATAAAATTAAACAAACATTTCAACTCAACTCTGTGACGTTTTTTTCAACGTAAGTTTTTTTCAACGTTAAGGTTTTCAATTCGTTACGATTATGTTTACGACTTAACGTATCGTTGACTGCGTTTTTAAACGAATTGATTCAACGACATAATTTCCGAAACGACGTTAAAGAATTCAACTAGTTGATTTCAATGACAGTTAAAGTTAATTCGTTAACAAGAGATCAACGGTTGATTCAACTAGTTCGTTGATTCAAAGCTCATCGCTAATAGGGTCCAACAATGATCTTATATACATATTCGAGGTAGATATGACAGTAGCGCCTAAATAGAGGCATTCAAATTACACCAATTAGTGTACACCCCGCCCGCGCTTTTATTAAAAAAAATCCTTTACAAAATGGCCGCCAATAAAGCATCTACAATCCAAATTTGAAATTCAATTTCTTAGTGAATAGATTCTAATGCGGCTGAATTCGCAAAGCGGGCATGCCCGTTTCGGAACCTCTTCTGGTTAATACACGAAATTACTGGGTCACAATCAACTGGGACTTGTTAAAGCACGTACCCTTCATAACCCCCGATCCACGGACCCGCCCCACTTTCACCGTACGCCACGGGCACGAGACGACATTTTGACATAATGTTTATCAAAGCCTGCAACACTTAATGCAGATTTAACTTCTATTTGTTAGTACTATGTTGCGCGAATGGGCAGGTCCGTCCGGGTAAGTACCACTACTTCAGAGAAGATCGGGCTGAAGTGGAAGTGTTATACTTCTGCGTTACGTTTGGCGAGTGAGGTAGCCGGGGCCCACTTTATTAAAAGGTGGCAACGCATCTGCAACCCTACGGGTGTTGCGAATATAAATGGGCGGCGGTTATCCCTTAACATCAGATGAGCTCGTTTGCCAGGCTCTCACATAAAAAAAAAATACAAAAAAAGTGACGAAAACAAATGATAAAATTTATTACTTAACTTTTTTAACAACTTGAATCCTTGCTCATATTGTTATAAACTTTTTACCAACTTTGCTTTAGACAACACTATAATGTGCAATATTTATACGTTTATATATAAAATTCTCGTGTCACGGTGTTTGTAACTGAACTCCTCCGAAATGGCTCGACCGATTTTTGTGAAATTTTGTGTGCATATCGGCCAGGGCGGAGAAACGGACAACATCTATTTTTCATCCCCCTAAATGTTAAGGGTGGTCCACCCCAAACATTATTTTCTAATAATTTATATGGCAAAACAACGTTTGCCGGGTCAGCTAGAAATATCTATAATAACCACACGTATTGTGTGATTATTATTCTTAAAAAAATATTTTACGTTTTTAAAAGGTTTATGTAAAAAAATATATATGTAAAGAAAAACAGATTAATATTAATTATTTATATATAATATAACACTATTTTCAAAACATGTTTTCCAGACTGAAAAGTTGATTATTACAAGCCCAAAGAAAACAAATAGCCAACATAAGCTGATTGGAAATTTTTCACGAAGAACATTTTCATTAAGTTTCCTAATCAGTCGTTAAAGTTAAGCACTAGATAGCTTACTAGACTAGCTTATGTAGAGATATTTTAATAAGTAAAAGACGGTTAGTTTTCTGGTTAAGATGGACACGAAGGCGACTTTTTTTTACACCAATAAACGGGAAAATAACCAGTTTATCTTCGAATTGCGAAGAAATAACTTTACTTCTAATTTGCTTACATTAGCTGAGATGCAGTATCTTTTGACACCAATTGAAAGAATGCTTCAAGTCCACGTCCATAAATTAAAACGATAAGATTTTTATTGCTCATAATGTAACATATGAGTGAATTAATACTACCTACATACATACTCATTTGATATCTGATACTCATACATACCTCATTTGATATCTGATTTACCGTCTGTTAAATATTCGGGATGAAACATTTATTGCTTTTACATCGCTATGATTACTTGAATACTATGCACCTTATAACGGAATAATGGAATTTGAAGTGGAGTTGGACCTCGATATTATGGAATTTATCGAAATACAACGAGATTTTATAACGTGTTTTAGAAAAACCGGATATTTACTTTTTATTTAACCTAATATGTCGGAGAAAAGTCAACATTTTTAATGTGTTGTATTTTAATAGCAAGATTTTGGGGACGGATATTTTTTATTTATTTATTTGCCACTATGCAAGGTGTCACTTATGATGGTACAATAAATTTTTTTTTTTAGTTCCACTATTATAGCCACTTTCAAATAGCATATAAATATAAACATAACTTTTCGTTTTTTTTATAACTTAACGCCTCGATCTGGCAATCAATCAACGAGTTGACGCAAACGGGAAATGCGTGTTACGTAGGCATGCATTAATTCTGGTATGATACACTTTCTAGACTATACAAACAGGCCTTCGGCTTGATATCTATCGTATGTTTAAAGTTGATGAAGTGTTTATAACGAACTGACTGACCCTCGATTGACAATCGAATTTTACACATAAGCGTAACCTGGGGCTCACTCATGTAAGAATACAAGTATTTTTATTAACATAAAACAAAACCGATTTGAAGTGCCTACCTCACTGTTAATACATTTTTAATTCACTCTTTTTACATTGATTTAAAAGAGTTCCCTGACGTATTTCTGGAGTCTATGATTAGACACAAATGAAATGAATATGGGAATACTTTGGAACTAAAATAAAACCAATGCGAAAATAATTTTTAAAATAGATTCATAAAAGACCTAGTTCCAAGGTTCCAAACATAAAAATGAAAAAACACAACCGAACAAAGATGGAATGGGAAAACACCAATTCCTTATTTCCAAAATATATGATTTACCAAAAAAAACCGAGCAAAGCTCGGTCCTCCGGGTACTTGTAATTTAAATATATAAACAGCTTAGTGATTGGCTTAGTAGTTCTTATCATTTTTGTAAATAATATAAATAAATTATATGTAATATATATTAATAATTACATTATTAAATATATTATTATTCAGGTATTAATATAAATATAAATATCAAAAACAAATACGGCATAAATAAAAAATAAAATATTTATAAAATATACTAACTATGCAATAGCTTTATTTTATTAGTTTTTGGAAGGGCCGATCAAATGAGCTTTATTTTAAATCGTAGAGCTTACTGATAAATCTATGTGGCGAAGTACCACGGTCTCGCAAAACCTGGGGTGGGTGAGGTAACAGGGACCTACTTATTAAAAGGGAACACATCCGCAAATCCACGGTTGATATCTTTTGTAAATAAATACATATCATACATATGTAACACCCAGACACTGGAAAAACACTAACTTCATCATATTTTTCCCGTAGTGGAGATCGGACCCACACCCCCTGGCGCAAGAGGCACTACTCCCCACGCCAATTGGGTCTCCCCACGTCAAAACGGGCAAAACAAATCCGGAATAGGTATTTATTTATTTATTTAAAGGACACCAGCAGTACATGCATTTCACGTTTAAACAATAAGATTACAAAAAAAAAATTCTGATGTGTGTACCTTATTAGGTGACACAGCATTGTTTCAGCTAAATACAAGAATAATCGAGACAATAGTGCAAAAATATTTAACAGCAAATAATTTCAGTAAAGTTAAGGAAAAAAAAATTAAAGAATAAGAAGCAAAAATACAAATACAAAAATAAATTTTTAGGTGACACAGCATTGTTTCAGCTAAATATAAGAATAATCGAGAACGATAAATGCAAAAAAAATTAATTAAGGTATTAAAATAAATGTATATTAATGCTGTTTTAAACGAGTCGCCGTCAGCGGCCGTCGCGTAGACGTCTCGTGGGCGTCCCGTGAGGCGGTAAGGGCGCCTTAATTACCAGCGAGCGGGCCGGTGCCGGCACGGGCCGCGCCCGCCGACATAGCATGGAAATTACAGAGCTGTCACGACATTTCGGCGCTCGTAAGCCGCTCCGTAACTAATTACGGAGTAAACGGAGGCCCCGCTCGGCCCACTACGGCATTATTTATAGCCCGCGTCGCGGCAACGAGGATTCGCACGGCATTACGCTGAAGCTATTCTTGGGGAGCCTTGAGGTATTGCAGTCTAACTAAGGCCCGTACAATTTACATACGAATTGTTGGTAGCATAGTTGAAGAGAACTGTGAAAGAAGCTCTTTAGCCTCATTTATTGATATAAGTTCAACTAGTGATCGTAAAAGTAACAGCCTATAAATGTCCCACTGCTGAGCAAAGGCTTCCTCTGTAAAATGGGTATCAAGGCATAGTTCACCACGCGACCATACTGCGGATTGGCGGACTTCACATCGTCAGGAAATCTGCATATTGTTTTCCTTCACCGCCGAGCAGGTGATAATAGTGATAACTAGTGATTAGCAAAACATAATTAATAAATGTTTGTAATAAATAATACCTTGTTAGTAGTTTTCTAAATAGTTACCAAGATTCGTTTTTCAATAATTCAAACAACATCGCAGTAACCCTGCAACATCGCAGTAAAACAGAGTTTTGAAATCCTGTACAACCACTAATCATAAACTATTCAAATTAACCATTATAGCGATGTGTAGACGATCAAGGAATTTATTAATTGGTGAAACTCGGTTTCATATAGCTAATTATCCGTTACGACCTTGTGTAAATATTCTAACATTTTTACTGCATTCATTTAAGAGGGAGACAGTTTCTTAATATTAGAGGCTCCTAAAGCAAATAAAACTCTCGCGATCTTAAGCTATAAGTATAATACTGACTGATTCAGTGACCCACTTAAAATTTATTACATAAAATACCGATAAAATAAATCAATGAACTTGTTTTATAACATTCACCCAAATAAATGTGAAGCTCCGAATAAAATACAGAACATTCGCTACTAAACATTTTCTATTTGAATTATATTTCATAATTTTTATGAGATATAACATTTCGGCCCACAAAAATTTCGACCGCACTGTTGAAAACATCCCCATTTTCTGTTCTTGATTACAGGAATATTTTGATTGATGTCGGTAGATGGTCGGTTTGAATGGTTATTCTACGTACATACCCGACAAAGACCTATTGAGTGTTTTTGTCAGGCATGCAAAAACAAACGGGTTGTTTTAAACTAATCTCATCCATACTAAAGTTCTGTTACATACCCATATAAGTAACACAACGATGACACAGCCCTCGGAAAGGGTTCGACGTTCCTCGGCTTAAACAAATCTATACACTTGCCTGATCTGTTCTCTGACCATATGAAGTGCACATTTATCTGTCTCCAAGTCCTTTCCCGCGCAACTATAACAAATAAACTTTACTATATGTTGTGCTGTATATGTTGTGTATGTATTTATGTATATATACCAACCTAATTAAACAAAGATGCAAAATTTAGATAATCTATGTCATTCCACCCTCTAAAAACTGGTCTTAAGACCTATAACAATAAAGTACTGATGGAATAAATCCTCCTAAAATATTAATTAAAGCTTGATATTAACCTGCCACGTGGATTAGGTTTATTAGATAATATGTAATTTTAGATAGATTTAATGTTGTAAATATTGGATAAATAAAAATATCTGAATTTATTAATCTGTCAATATTTTGAAAATGAAGACGAAAAGCTTGCCTTCGCATAAATTCGGTGAAACATATAATGGTAATTCGCAAATTGTCAACCGTAATGCATATTCGGCTAAAAACTCGTGGCAGCACTCTGGCTAGCGATAATTTAAAAGTTCGCCGGAACCAACACCGAAGTTCGCCGGAAGCGCTCGCTGTTCGACAGCGAAGTTTGAAAAATTGATGTAAGCTGTTCATAAAACGAAAGAAAAAGGGAAGATAGCAAAATCCGATGAAACTTGGAACAGGATTCGGAATCGGGGCATACCTTGAAAAGTTTTTCCTGTATAGATAATTATCGGAGTGGTAAAACAATACAGCACATAATTGAATATGAAAATTAGGGTCTGAAACAACTAAGAGAAAAGGACGGTAATGTTATGAGGAAAGGAGACTTAAAGACATATTTTTTGGTAAATAATGTACTTTCTTTCTTTCTTCGTTCTATATCACATAACAAGACCGTGGATATTTTATGGCATCAAATTTTTCTTTTTTCTGTTCATAATCTGGGTTGCCACATTAAATAATTTTAAACGGTAAAACTTAACCAGTTTATTTCGATCAATCCCGAGAAACGGAAGAAGCTGATATGAATGATGTTTACATATTTATAATATGTTATTTTTTATTTTTCTTATTTATTCAGAAACTTCACAATCACAGCATACAATAATCACATTACATAATATAATTCATAAAAAGTATATAGCCAAAACTTTATTGAACGAAAACAATTTGAACACAACTTTAATTGCAAAATGTTCAGACATATTTATCGGCTACATAGAACCCATACATACAAGATTTGCTTAGTTTATACCATATAAATTATTTATTTTTAATAATACTCTTTACATACTACTTATTAGATATATTACCAGGTAGGCGAATTCCAAATACCAAAACCATAGTGTGTTTAACATTTTAGATAGCGCCACCTGTAACTTTCTAATGATACTAAAATGTTTAATGTTTTAATTGAGAGCCGTGATAGCTTCAACCGAGTTCAAATCCACCGTTATGTGAATTAGAAGTTTCCGAATCTCGGAAGCAGTATCAATGATCTGTAACCCAGTATCAACCAAAACGCATTGAATATAAATAACACACTACAACTGTACAATCTAAACGTTTATTTGTTGCAGAAAGGAGGGACCCAGACTCGCGGCCTCGAATATATTGAGCAAAGTCGACCGCTGCATCGGACCGTCATCGACATGACCCTTATTCAACGCTTATTGTTTGTAACCTATAGACCGCTTTAGCGTAATAAGAATGTTAAGAAAAATACCAATTTAAATACTCAATATTAATATCTCAATAAGTCACTGTAGGGCCTCTATCAATAATAGGACTACCTTCGTTAGGGGCTATTTCGAGGCATAAGTACTGCCCAAATTAACATAACGATAGATAGACTTCCATCGAACGCTTCAGTTGGATCTTTCAATTTGAGAAAACACTACATTTTGTGTAATAAAACTATTCTACGGATTTTATCGCTTTTAATTAAAATAGTTAAAAAAAAATCTTAAATGTATTTATATAAAATGTTACGAGTAGTTGCCATATTCTCCGAAACTGCTCGATCGATTTTTATGAAATTTTATAAATGTGTATTTGGTAGGTCTGAGAATCGGTTGCCATCTATTTTTCATACCCCTGAGTAATAAGGGTGCTCCACCCCAAAGGTTCTTTTTTTTGTTTGCGTTTGCCTGGTCAGCTAGTATGTATATAATAAGACTGTAATCGGAGAGACCTACGACAATAGAATGTAAAACACTTCAGTCGCTCCGTACCATTCAACGGTGTAAAGCGTTAACAACGAAAACATAAAAAAAATAAAACGCGATAAAATCAATACAATAATTCTACTTAACTATTAGTGTTCACAATTATGTGTAACAACATCAGTTAATTACTAAAGACCGGATATAAGATAAAGCATATAGCATAGATATCCGTTGATACTAATAGTTACAGTTACAAAATATATAAGCACTGTATTAACCAGAATGATCTTCTTAATGATCAATTCAAAGAGTTTAACCATCCTTTTGACAATTTTATGTTAAATAATTAAAAGCAATGAAATCATTTACAAACAATATATTTGGTTTAAAACAGGGAAAAAGGTATTTTAGTGTCGTATTATCCTTATAACAGCCATCGTATATACGTATAGACATTTCCTCGTACAGTTTAGAACAATAAAACTGTAACACAGTGTAACTAAAGCTCTTTGTGGTCTCGTATCTTCATCGAATAATTACGATATAACTACCGTAACATTGACTCCTTCGAACACGCAAACAGGACATGATTATTTTTTAACATTTTGTTTTGTCAACACTGCGACGTTACATTGAATTCAAAATAAATGATTTAATAACTTTGAAAATAATTTGTAGTTCGAATCCATAAAGTGAATATAATTGATGACTCCGTGGCGCAGATATTGGCTTCAGCGTCGGGGGTCGTGGGTCCGGTTCCCACACGGGACAACTATTTGTGTGACCCACAAATAATTGTAAAACGTCCTTACAACACAGGATAATGCTATCCTAAAGTAGGAGCAATGTTAAATATATATATATATATATATATATATATATATATATATATATATATATATATATTATTAAAAATTGGGTGGAATTACAACAAGTAAGTGTTAAGGGCAAAGATAGGTCCCTCACAAATTCTGTCAATAATTGTTGACATTAATGGTTGAGTGATTGTATTAATGTATAGTGCCAAACGAGTGTATACACATCTGACAAACAACCTTATTAAACTAATTATTATTAACTGGTTTAAAAATGTTAACTATAATTGACTACCCATTAAAATGTGAAGTAATTATTGGTGCATTACCTATAATTGTCTGTGGAGTTTTTTACTTAAGCGCCTAAACCGAGGTCACTCAAATAAGAACCGGCTTCTATTCTAGTTTAGTTAGACGTAAAAAACCCAAATCATATGTTTCGATCCTAGCAAGAAACACTGAATAGTTAAATAACTAGCAACTTATCCTTGACATTGTGTTGTAATCAAGGACTTTTTCTACTACCGATTGATGCTAGATGATTATGTTATTATTGTTAATATTTAGTTAGTAAAGTAATTAAACATACTCATTGTAAACTCATGGACATTATAATTTTCTAGTTCGTTAGTGAGAATTGTTAATAGGATTACTGCTCTTATGCTTATGTTCTCTTTTAAGACTGAATTTTCGTGGGTTAGTGATTACTGTAAGTGGCTTATAAAATTAACTTTATGTATAATATGATAATAAATGATTACTTATGCGGTAGCTAATTATTTTTATCCTCACAAAAATTTGAATAATTAAGAATTTGTCTGAACCTGAAATTAGAACTGTAGTTACGATTTTTATATGGATTAAAATAATCAAGTGAATTCATTTATCGAAGCCAAATAAGTAAGCCAAAAAAGCCGCCCAAGTGCGAGTCAGACTCGGGCACGAAGGGTTCCGTACCATTATCCATTTAAAAGGCAAAAAAAATATGTTTGTTGTATGGGTGCCTGACTTAAATATTTTTTATTATTTTTAGTATTTTTTGTTGTAGCGGCAACATAAATTCATCATCTGTGAAAATTTCAACTGTCTAACTATCACGGTTCATGAGATAACACCTGGTGACAGACAGACAGACCGATAGACAGATAGCGGATTCTTAGTAATAGAGTCCCGTTTTACCCCTCAGGTACGGAACCATAAAAACAGATATCAATCCTTCATCTACAAGAATCGAATCGTAAAAAGAACGAATGGTGAAGGTACGAATCGCGCGTTCATCATTCGTTCCATTATACGGTTCTTACCTATCGCGGAAGGTTGAGTGGTCTAATTAAATTTGAACCGAAAATTACCGAGAGCCAAGGGCCATGTGAATGAACACGCGCTGCCTTTAATTAATTTTTTAGATGACGAGCCCTACGCAAAACGCCACCTTTTCATGTCCGACCCGAGGGCTTTTATTTAACTTGAAATTCGGCCGCGGACAGCTTTGACCGGGAATTAACTCGCCCCGCGTGTAGGTTACGACTAATTATGTAATATATAAGATTTTTAATTAGACTTTCGTAGCGCGCTTTGAAGCCTTAATTTGTTGCAGAGTTTTCCTGGACCGGAAGTTAATATGCTTTGTAAAACTTCATCCTTAATATTGAACTACGTGGTGTCGTGTCAGTTATAACTCAGTGATATCACTGAGAAGACTCGATGTGCTGTCCACTGTCCAATATCTTTCAAGTATTCTTAAATTCGATTTACCGTCAGGGACGGTGAAGGTAATACGACGTAATCCAATACAGATTTAATGGTGAATAATAATTTAAATTATTCTGCCGATTTCAACATTCGATCTACTTGGTTACTGGAGATAGTATTTTGACCCTAATATTATGGACGTCTTCCTTTTTTCCTTCTCATATCTCTTGGAATCCATTCCTTCAAAAAGGAATAAAGGACGACCAAATAAAAGGTGGAGAGACATCTTCAAACTTAGATGTGGACCCCTATGGATGCGCAAGGCACGTAATCGAAAAACCTTGGAAGGATTAGGAGAGGCCTACGCCGTCGACGCGACTACTGCCTAATCATATTTAATCACATTATAAAAATAAAAAAAAAAATATATATATACATATATTCATAAAAAAAAAGTTTAAATTGGTTGTAGTAATAAAGGCTATTTTTATTTTATTTATTATGGAGGTTATGTCAAATACATAACGTTGGTAACAAAATCTATCAGTTGATAGAATATTGAAACTTCCTTATCTTCTTGACTTGGCCTTCATGACCTATTAATATAAGACACATTTGTTTAACTTTTACACAAATAATGTATATATATATGGGCTCAATGCCCGAGACATTCTCTACAAGTCGAGCAACTGTGTGATGCAGAGTTAAAAGAGGTAAGTGTAAACGTGAAGAAAAAAAACTTGAAAACAAATGTAACAAATACATGAATACACACTAATCAATAAAAAATACTATCATCATCATCGTTTCAGGCTATAATTCCACTGCTGAAAATAGACCTCCTCCACGGATACTGAGCGACCTGCGTCCATCCACTTTCCGCACATTTCAGTCCTAGACTACGATTTCCATTTGAGAACCTTTCTCCCCCATTTGATAGCACACGATCATATTGATGTCTTGATTTAACGCGAATATTATACATATTAAATCATAGTTTACGGATTTCATCGGGTTTAAATTTTGATTTTTAATTCCCGGTGTTTCTAACCTTTAATTGGTCGGAACTGTATGTATCTTACAGATGTATACCGTTTGTATAAATGTACACATTTATATAAATGTACATTAGTTGATGTACCTTATTAACTCTTCAATTTCAATGGTTTTTAAAAAAAATTAAAACAAACTAAGCATTTATAACTGCATTTGTAACTGTATATGAAATATTTTCTTATACAGTTACCGTTTTCTGTATGTTTATCGTAGTCGAGTCATAAATTGAATAATAGCTATTAAATTTATTAATACTATATTAATACTAATACTACTAATATTAGTAGTATTAATATTTTTTATTAATACTACTAATATTACTCTACTATTAAGATTAACACATGGGTTCGATTCCCACAGAAGCGACAGTCTTTTGTTAATTTTTCTACAAATTTTAATTATTAATACTAACCAAAAACACTACTACTATTTTCCCTTGAGAGGTTTCATCCGATGCTAAGTGTTATTTTATTTTGATTATTACAAGACATAGTTTTCTCTACAATTTTCCGACTAGCGAATTCGTTTTTATATAATATTTTTAGAATTAATCATCACATAACCGCCGATTCCATTGATTTAAATGTTTATCCATTTTAAAAAAGAATACTGTGCAATTAAACATTACTCATAACAAACAACAATTTACGAATTCATCAAAGTGGTTAGAAGGGTAAATAAAAAATTCAGAAGCTTCTACATGAGCCTACCAGTGAAACATTAACAATTCAATACAATATAAACAAAGATTTGAAATCATGATGGAATATGTAAGCAACCGATCAGTCCCTTATTCATTTTATTCATCAGTCCCTTATTTATTTTTATTGCATCGTAAAAAGCTACAACGCATAGGAGAAAATAATTTGAGACCAATCTCAGAACCAGCTGCAACTATGTGCATAGCACTTTGTAATAATTT